TCGTGGGCGGCAAACTGTTCGTGATTCGTGTATTTTTACTGTTCTAATAATTTATAGGCGCATTTTCACGGAAAACACTTGCGCCTTGCCGTCTAGTTTTAGATGATTATGGGCGCAATTGGTGGTTTTATGTGCGCAAATTTAAAATAAAAAGGGCACGTCCAGTTGGAAAAAAAGGCACGTCGGCCAGTTTGAAAAAAAGGGCACGGCCTTTTTGGCCGTGAATAAATCTTTTTTTGGGAGGGCACCGCGGCCAGTCATAGGGGCATCGACGGCCTGGCCGTCGATGGCCGTCGATTAATTTAAGGCCTGTGAATGTACAGGTTACCCAAACAAATCATTATGGACATTTACTTATACTGAAACGATGTCCAAACTAAGAGTCACTTAAGGTTTTCAATGTGATGAGATCAATATTATTGGTCATAATTTGTCAATAACGTAGGTAATGTTGTTGAGTATGTACGTCAAAGGTCACAGCTAATTGAATATGCAAAAATTGCTAGATACAGGCCGTTTGTACCCGGTGAGGGAATGCTACGCTTTGCAGTGCCTTGTTTTCATTATTATGTTATCTAGAATCATCATTATTTTATAATCTTAACATTCTCTCTATCTTTCATTTTATCCTACCAGGCCCTGCGAAGGAAAGCTGTGAAGAGTGTTGGAGACAAAATCGCCCCCTACCAGACGATCATTGAAGCATATGGCTTCAATTGAAAAACATTTGTCAATGAACTGTGAATAACATCACCACACATCGTGCATACAGCAGTGAACAATAAAGTCATCTGCAAAAAAAAGGAAACGTGTGTTACTGTGTATCTCTTCGAGTTGTGATTATAACATCTTCTATGGGTTTCTTGTGTATTCCATCCGATTAAATTCCTGTTTCTTTTATCTTTTCATGTAGTAATATAACATACAAAATACATGTATACATACACAAGACATAAATATAAACAATTCAATATATACATTAAAGTGACTCGGTAACATTGTTGCAGTTCAATGAAAAAAACTGTAATTTTTGTCTGAAATGTTACTTAGTATGTTCCTTTTACTGTACTTGCCCTCAAACATGCAAAAAATCCTGAAAAAATTCTCAAACCACAAATATATTTATGGTTTGATTTGAAGGCGTCCCTGTGCAACACCCTCGAACAGTAAATTCTCCCAACCATTTTTGAATTTTCCCAACCGTTTGTCCATGGACATAAGACAGGCTTTCAAAAAGCTGATTTGTGACAATTTAAATTATCTTAAAAATGTAATTAATTTTAATAATATATTAGGGAGAATTACGGAATCGACCAAATCAGTTTTTCCCAATTTTGATGTACATGTAGATTGATATCAATCGCAAATATTATTTGCTATTAATTGCAACTGTTAATTAGATGGGGCCCACAACAGACCTGCCAACCAGTACGATTTAGTCGTATTTAGTACGATTTTTAGAAGCAAATACGACAGTACGATTTTCCTTAATAAAATACGATTTTTAAAAAAAAAACGATTTTTTTTTTTTTTTTTTTTTTTTTTTTTTTTTTAAATATTTTTTTTATTAATATTTTGTGTGTGCGTCCGCCATTTTCAATGGCAAAATGTCCATTCTGTCCTGTAAAGTATCCTACAAGCATCTCACATCAGCAATTTGGGGATGTTTATTGGTTCATTGAACACACCAGTCGTGACGAAATCATGCATATTCAACCAATGATCAAAAAAAAAATCTTCCTGTAGGTAGAAACTGTAAGAGGCATTGATTCGCGTAACAATCCGTGTTTATTTTCAAGAATACAACTTTTGTCAGTAAAATACAACTTTGACACTAAAGAATACAGTTTTTTGAACTCCAGAGGTTGGCAGGTCTGCCACAAGCGATTCTGTTCAATTCCGCAACTGAACAAAAATCTATATTGAATTCCTGTATTCACCTGCAGAGATTGGTCCATACAAAATATGTTTTGATTTGTCATTTTCACAATCGCAGCTGATATGAGGCACTAATTGCTCGATCCAGAAAAGCTGGAATGGCTCGGTACTGCAAGGGTTAAATCCATAATAATGCTGAAAATAGGATATAGTCATATATTTCTGTCACTTGTCCAGCTTTCAGATCTTTTAATTACAATTTTTTTTTTTAAGTGAAGTCACCTACCTCGTTAGTCATAACTTGTAACTTGTTGTGTGTTGGAGGGAAGATTGAAAGGAACTAGACCAAGAGGGAGAACCAGAATCGACTGGGAAGAGAATGTCAAGAACGGGAGTGGACTAAAACTGCAAGAGTGTGCCAGAATGGCAGAGATGTTGCAATCAACCCCCGAACCGGGAGAAGACAGATAGATGAAACTTCCTATACATGAAGGACTTTCATTAAACATAAAGGTTGTTACTATTCATATAGGCATAAAGACCGTTGTTCATAATGTGAGATGAGGGTCGCTATTCATAATTTATATTGGGGGTCACTACTCGTAAGGACTGCTATTCATAATACTTATTATGAACAGGGACCCTCATCTCGCATCATGTTGAGTAAAAAAAAAAAAAATCTGGGGGCAAAAAAGAAAAATGAGTGCTCACACCCCCCCCCCCCCCCCCCCTTAAGAAATCCTGGATCCGCGCCAGAATGAGAGCATCGGGGAAAGCATGCATTACATTTTTACATCGTTGACCAGACTTGCAGATAGAAAATTCATACCATGAACTGAATCTTAATGTTTATCCATGCAGTGACATCTGCCGTTCATAGTGACCATGCAAAACAATATAACCCCCAAAGTTAGAAATTTTTGAACACGTAAAATGCAGCTTGGAACATGTACAATGCAATGCAAGTTTGTATAGTTATCAAAATCATATAATACAGAGGATGGAAATTTTGGAACACGTACAATGCAGCTTGGAACATGTACAATACAATAACTTGATTGATGCAAGTTTGTATAGTCATCAAAATCATATAATACAGAGGATGGAAATTTTGGAACACGTAAAATGCAATAACTTGAATGATGGGAGTGTGTATATAGTCAAAATCATATAATAGAGAGAATGGAAATTTTGGAACACGTAAAATGCAGCTTAATTGGAACATGTACAATGCAATAACTTGAATGATATGGGAGTGTGTATATAGTCAAAATCATAATACAGAGAATGGACATTTTGGAACATGTAAAATGCAGCTTGGAACATGTACAATGCAATAACTTGAATGATGGGAGTGTGTATATAGTCAAAATCACATAATACAGAGAATGGAAATTTGGAACTCGTAAAATGCAGCTTGGAACATGTACAATGCAATAACTTGAATGATGAGAGTGTGTATATAGTCAAAATCAAAATACAGAGAATGGACATTTTGGAACATGTAAAATGCAGCTTGGAACATGTACAATGCAATAACTTGAATGATGGGAGTGTGTATATAGTCAAAATCACATAATACAGAGAATGGAAATTTTGGAACACGTAAAATGCAGCTTGGAACATGTACAATGCAATAACTTGAATGATGGGAGTGTGTATATAGTCAAAATCATAATACAGAGAATGGACATATTGGAACATGTAAAATGCAGCTTGGAACATGTACAATGCAATAACTTGAATGATGGGAGTGTGTATATAGTCAAAATCATATAAACAGAGAATGGAAATTTTGGAACACGTAAAATGCAGCTTGGAACATGTACAATGCAATAACTTGAATGATGGGAGTGTGTATATAGTCAAAATCATAATACAGAGAATGGACATTTTGGAACATGTAAAATGCAGCTTGGAACATGTACAATGCAATAACTTGAATGATGGGAGTGTGTATAGTCAAAATCATATAATACAGAGAATGGAAATTTTGGAACACGTTAAATGCAGCTTGGAACATGTACAATGCAATAACTTGAATGATGGGAGTGTGTATATAGTCAAAATCATAATACAGAGAATGGACATTTTGGAACATGTAAAATGCAGCTTGGAACATGTACAATGCAATAACTTGAATGATGGGAGTGTGTATAGTCAAAATCATATAAACAGAGAATGGACATTTTGGAACACGTAACATGCAGCTTGGAACATGTACAATGCAATAACTTGAATGATGGGAGTGTGTAGGCAAAACAATATAATCCCCAAAGATAGAAATTGTACGTAAAATGCAACTTGGAACATGTACAATGCAATAACTTGAATGATGGGAGTGTGTATAGTCAAAATCATATCAGAGAATGGAAATTTTGGAACATGTAAAATGCAGCTTGGAACATGTACAATGCAATAACTTGAATGATGGGAGTGTGTATATAGTCAAAATCATAATAACAGAGAATGGAAATTTTGGAACACGTAGAATGCAGCTTGGAACATGTACAATGCAATAACTTGAATGATGGGAGTGTGTAGGCAAAACAATATAATCACCAGAAGATAGAAATTTTGGAACACGTCCAATATGCAGCTTGGAACGTATACAATGCAATAACTTGAATGATGGGAGTGTGCGTAGGCAAAACCAGGGTATGTGAGTTTAAATATTCCTGGGGGGTGTTTCACAAAGATCCTAAGTCGAATTTATCTCTAAGTTGGACTTAACAATTATGGAAAGCCGTTAGCATCTTTGAAAATATTTTGTAAAAGTTATTTTAAAAAGCATAACATTTTGATTGAAATCATTCATATTTTCTATTATCAAGGAGATTTCATGTTCCTGATGTGGAGTTGATAAAAAGTCTAAAACACTTGAATTTTCACTTTTAAATATATTTTATTTTAGGCTACAGATGGCTCTCCATAATTTTTAAGTCCAACTTAGGATCTTTGTGAAACACCCCCCAGGCCTAGCAGTACACACGCCGTGCAGGCACAGGCATAATGCATATTCATTAGGGGGAGTCGACATTTCCTTTATGTAGTGACGTGCGCAGCACGCTACATAATGTTCCAAAATATTGCCTGGACTTACACTGTGTTAAAGGTATTAATTTAGAGCTCTGTTGGCATGATAAGTTAGAGACTTAGGAGAGAGGATTTGTGAGTTTGGCAGTGGTTTGTATGATTGGTGTTATGATTGATTGGCAAGAGGTTAATTATTTTATTAGTTTACAACACTTTGCACACGTCGCGCAAAATTAAAAGCTAGCTAGCTTGCTCTCGTAATAATTTGTACCTTGTGCAACATTGCTCTCGACATTGACAGTATATCGTCATATTCGTCGTATTCTCAACTTAAACTTAATAAAGAACATCAATACATCATGTCTGTCAAAGCTGTCTGTATGCTCGTAGGTGAGGCAGTAAAGGGGAGAATCGAGTTCGAACAGGGAGAAGGGGTAAGTATTTATATTTGTTAATTTTTAAGCCAAAACGTAAACGGCACACAAGGCAACATGACGATGCAATATCGCCACTGCAAAACCATGCGCATGCTATGTAGCACGATCACGAGCGGCTAGCGGTGCAGTGCGTACCTGAATACCTAACTCCGGGAAGCTCCAACACCGGCGCCGCCTGCGGCGCCGGTGTTGGAGCTTCCCGGAGTTACTGAATACCCAGGCCAGGTACATGTACGGTCAACAGCTTTTACATACATGTAGTCCTAGACCTACATGTTGTGTATTGATATCCGGACAGTTGATATTTTTTTAATATTCGGAGCTAGTTCAGAAGTAGAGTCGGGCTAACTCGGAGTCGGACCAGGGGACAACTTGGCCCAGGTACAAAAATGGTCAGTTTTTGCATGTTTAGATTAGGGTTAGGGTTAGAGTTAGGGTAAAATGAAAAAAAAATGACCGTTTTTGCAGCTGGGCTGAGTTGTCCCCTGGTCCGAGTTAGCCCGGATCCTTGGCTTCAGAAGTCTATCCAAACTTTGACCTGCAACTCCGGCGTGGAGATAGCTAGGCCGAATTTTTCTGTCTCTTTCGTTCGTTAGCCTCATCTGATTTGGGTAGAGTCGGCTCTCAGTTTTAGAGAGGGCCGACCCTACCCAAATCATGAAATCAGAGGCTAACGAACGAAAGAGACAGAAAATTCGGTCTAGGAGATACCCTACTAAAACTAGCCTTAAGGGCTCCCTCGAAATGTTTTTATGCCTCCGTTACGAAGTAGCCGGAGGCATTATGTTTTCGGGTTGTCCGTCCGTACGTACGTACATCCCTTTCTTGTGATCGCGTTATCTGAAGAACCGATCGATGGATTCCTGCCAAACTTTGGTCATGTATGTATCTTGCAGAGCCGATGAACTGATTAGATTTTGGGGTCACGAGGTCAAAGGTCACAGGGCTCATTAGGTATGCAAAAACAGCTCGTGATCGCGTTATCTGAAGAACCGATTGATGGATTCCTGCCAAACTTTGGTCATGTATGTATCTTGCAGAGCCAATAAATTGATTAGATTTTGGGTCATGAGGTTAAAGGTCAAAGGTCACAGGGCTCATTATGTATGCATAAACAGCTTGTGATCGCGTTATCTCAAGAACCGATTGATGGATTGCTGCCAAACTTAGGTCATGTATGTTACTTGCAGAGCCGGTGAACTGATTAGATTTAGTGGTCATGAGGTCAAAGGTCAAAGGCCACAGCACACATTATGTATGCAATAACAGCTTGTGATCGCGTTATCTCAAGAATCGATTGATGGATTCCTGCCAAAATTAGGTCATGTATGTTACTTGCAGAGCCAATGAACTGAGTAGATTCTTGGTTCATAAGGTCAAAGGTCAAAGATCATGGGCTCATTATGTATGCAAAAATAGCTTGTGAACGCATTCTCATTAGAACTGACAGATGGATTACTATTTAACTCAGGACATCTTGCAGAGCCAATGAACTGAGTAGATTTTAGGGTCATGAGGTCAAAGATCAAAGGGTCATATATGTATATGAGAAATTGCTTGTAATCACGATATTCTGAGAACCTGTCAATGGATTACAATTGAACTTGAATCCGAAAAATTTCATCTGTTTTGGTTTGTAAAATTGCTCTATGACGGAGGCATCATTTTCGACTGCGCGCAGTCGAATTCCATCTAGTTTTATGATATTATTTGAGTCGAATTCCATCTAGTTTTATGATATTATTTAAGGGAGCCTTAAACGGCACCCATAGGGTCCCACGGAGAGGTAGGTAAACAACAACTAAAATATGTGTCCAAAATCACACTTTCCCGCACCCGACCAATATTGGACAGTGGCTTTGATAAATTTTGTTGTAATTGTAGTCCTAATTACCTCCTGAATTTATAAATCGGAGGTAAAAATAATAAAATAAGAGCAATTTTCTTACCAGACCGATACAGCTCAGCTCCCTTTTCACGTGTACCGTGTGAATTCACGATCTCTACGATGATGACCTCTGACTGGCACTTCCGTGATTGTGCTGCTTCCGTATAATGCGCTGTATGAGTGTTATTCAGCGCATTATACCGAAGCAGCACATTTACAAAGTGCCAGTCAGAAGAAGAAGAAGAAGAAGAAGAAGAAGCTGATGAATGCATACTGACTTGTCTTCGAAATACATCAAATGTGCTGTCTCATCATTACTACTTTCGTATTTGTTTGTCAGAGAATGTAGCCACCACCCCAGCAGAAATCCTGGATCTGCCACTGATGTGACAAAGACAGATCTAAGCCAGCACCATACTGCTCATGATGATCAACAACTTACCTACATTGATATGCAATGAGAATAAACTAATTCTGAAGCAGGTTTATGGTACTGTGGCCTTCTCACTCCACGTATAACCAACTAAACATATTTCATATAGAAAAATCAAGCTTTACTGACAAACATGTACGCTCCTAGAAGCACAGTTTGGGCCAACAGAGCCTTCTACTTCTCTGTACCTAAGCTGTGAATTAGCCATTCGCAATCATCCAGGAGTGCCGAGTCTATGACAACGTTCATGTCAGCCATCAAGACTTTCCTGTTCCCAACTTCCCATCATATACTCACTATTTATCAATTGCTTTATATATTTTATCCCATTAATTTCCCTTATCCCCCAAAGCTTCATTTCCCCATGCCTTTGCCCAGGTTATATGATTTTAATCATATTGCGAGCATGACATTTCACATAGATCTAATCTTTTATTAAAATTTGAAGAATTCATATTGTTTTCTGATGATTGATTTTTATACAAATAGTTTTTCAAAATTCACATTTTTCATGATTTAAACTGAAAAAGAAAAAACTCTATATTAGTGCATCCAATCAAAAACATATCACTATCAATATAACTTGAATGCTGGTGTGAGGAAATAATATCTATCCTTTTGGGGGGAAATGGGAAATTTGTATTACCGGTATCAATATAAAGAAAACAATTAGTGGATAGTGAGGCAATGACGTCACAGACTCATGAATGAGTTGCCAATTAGTCTTGTAATTTTCAAAGTTTTTCATGTCATTAAACATTCATAACTTTCTTATTAGTTATCCGATTTTGCTCAAACTTTTTTTGATTGTTTTGTTTGGTTTTTCTGCTTCTATTGAAAGTAAGTTATTTTTGGAGTGGACTAGCCCTTTAATGGATGTATGATTAGTACCGTATACTGACTTGTCTCCGAAATGCATTGGATGTGCTGTCTCATCATTAGTGTACTGTTATATCACACAATTTCAAAAATCATTTGCAGGGGATTACGTTATTCTACCAAACTGACATAAAATATTGTTTCACTTTTTCAAGAACTCAACCATGTCTTGAAATCATTGGCCCGTATTCTGAAGTCAGGTTTAACTTTAAACCAAGGTTTAAGTCTAGTCTAAGCCTCGCCTAACTCTCAGATTTAAACCTAGGTTTAATTTTGCGTTTCTGAAGTCGGGTTTAACTTAAACCTAGGTTTAAGCCTGGTCTAACTCTGTGGAAATTGTACACATATTTAAACCTGGGGTACACCTAGTTTAAGTCTGGCTTAAGTCAGGTCTAACTATTTGTTGGATATTCAGAGGAGAAGAAGACAACATTAAAAGACATTACGACGAATTATTGCAAATAATGAGACCGGAGAGAGCTCTTGTGGAAAGAAAAAACCTTTCACAATCATGGCGACGATGATTTGTTTGTCATCGCTGTCTTTTTTTAAATACCAAACAAACAGCGATTTGCATTGACTCCAACATTGGAGAGACACACACATCGCTTGCGGATAAAAGTGGGCCTTGCGATTTTATGCCTTCGGCAAGTTTGAACATTAATTTGGATACTTCATGTGCTTATTGAATCTTTATGCCTAATATTTTTCTAAGTCTTAAGATTTTATATTTTATATAAGATTGTGTGATTTGTATAGTACGACAATCCTTGAAACTAAAAGTTGCCAAAGTAAATCAACACGTATCACTTTGTTGCAGAGGAAAACAAATATAGTAGCCCCATACCTTTAGTTTGACGTTATGCTCACGTAGTTTTGAAACTGTGAGTGCAATACACATTTTCAAATTGCGTCCCAACGATGTAAACAAATGCGAGATGAAATAAAACTGTAGGCCTAAGGTTGGATTAGAATAATCTATATTTATAAGACAATCATGGATTAGTATAATTAAGAGCCGACGAGTGTATTAAGCCGGAACTCTAGACCTAGATCTAGGAGAGTTTTGGGTAGAATCTGCCCTAGATCTAGTCTAGACTCTAGACCTAGACCGATTAGGCGCGCCTAGTCTATTTATATTATGATGTCAAAACATCGAGAACATCCTTAAGATGCCCCGAACGATGCACTAGACTAGAGGTCTAGATCTAGATCTAGACCTAGGCCTTAATAAGATTAAAATGACTGAAAGCGAAATGATCACAAATACCTTCTTGATGCAGAATAACTAGTCCAAAGTCAACATTGAAGCTCATATAATATGGTCGAATTTTAAGCGTTTTTTGTTAGGACAATGCAATATTTCTAAACCGTGTGTACTTGTACAAATGAATGCGCGCACGATCGATGATATGCGCGCACGGTGACCGAGAAGGGGATCATGATACCCGACATTGCGGTTCGAAAAAGGATTCCATTGTCCTAAAAAAAAACTAAAAATCAAACAAATGAGCTTCAGCAATGTTGACTTTGGACTAGTTATTTTGCATCAAGAAGGTATTTTTGATCATTTTTAGTTTCTCTTTTAGTCATCTAAATCTTATTTAGAGCATTTTTATGTTGTTCTGGAAGTTTTGACTAATCTGCATGGGCATGCAGAAATTGTAGAATCCCGATTTTTGTATTATTTATTATTCGTAAAGATCAATTCCACCTCGATTCAGACTTTTTCAGCAGTTTAACAATAAATCAAAGGGTAAAACAAAACAAAAAATCATGTCGTAACGTTCAATGGTTGCTTCGAAAGAGATTTGTTTGTGTCGAATATTTTGAATTGAAATTATTAAATTTGCAGCACGAAATCCAGCTATAACAAAGCCTATAAAGGCCATATCAGCTACCCTTGAAGATGGATGAGCTGTACTGAGCATGTGCAGTAGAAGCAGACTACATCTCCATGGTAGTTAAACCTTGGCTTAACTTTAAACCTGGGTTTTAGACTTAAACCTGGGTTTAACTAAACCTGGCTTTCAGAAACTGAAATGATACTTAGACCTGAAGTCTGGCTTAGTTAAACCCGGGTTTAACTAAACCTGACTTCAGAATACGGGCCATTGTCTCCAATATCTTTCTCTCAGGTTGTGAGCTACATAGAGTGTGTGAACCTGCTGTTAGAAATGCCTGTAATAAAGACATAATTGATTGAATTAGGACTAGTAGACATCTGTGTAACAGTGATTCAAGTCTGTGGCGTGGGTTCATGTATAATGTACATGTACTGTACGTTCAACACTGTTCCACACTGTAAAATTATTTGAATTGAAACAGGACTGGACTGTTTTTCCAAAGCTGCTTTTACTCTGTGGATAAAATACTGAGATTTTCCCACATACTTGTAGAATCTGTCCATTTTATTTTTGAAACCAGAGGCATTTAAGGTATTTTTTTCTTCATTTTCTTCATATCTCATTTGAAGGCTTCCAGAACCAAATCGCTCTTTGCCCATCCCCCCCCCCCTTTTTTTTTCTGGTTGGATTGAGCTTGTTATACATGTAGTTGTACATTACACGTACTGCCACTGGTGTTTACTGGAAGGTTTTAAAGATCATCATCAAATAGATACAAATTTTGACTAAGTAGTGCTGAAAGTTACATTCTGTGTACATGTACACATAATTTTGTATACTGTACATGTACATGTACATGTATATACACTGTGGAAGAATCAGGAGTATATTAAAATAGAAATGGTCTAATCATATGAATGAACATAAGAATGAAAATGACTGAGGGACCTCTTTAAAGGTAAAGACCAGTATTGGAAACGCCCCATTTTCAAAAAATGAAATGGAAGCTCTCATTACCAATCATGTGAAAGAATATGTTTTGACTAATACATGATGATACAAAATTTGGCAGGAAACCGCCTACTAATTCATATATTTGGTAAATTTGTTTCTCTCATGGTCTGTGAGAGATATAGGGTAGTCCCATATACATCTTTTTGTGTATACGGTAGTGCTTGTAACTTTACTAAGAATGGGCCAAATTTCTTATCATTTTGATGATTCCAGAACCTTGCAGATGCTAGATGCTAGATGATCAACCTTTTTTGATCGATTCCACAACGTTTCTTTCACAATGCAATCGCATGACCATAACTGGTTTTACCTTTAATATTGAATATAGTTGAAGGTGCTCTCTCAGTAGAAAAAGATACAGGTACCAGGCAAGTCTGCCTATGGCCCATGACCCCCCCCCCCCCCCCCAATAGTCCATACCAGCATTTGTACATGTACATCCTAATGTACATTTGTGACGGTAGCAACAAATTGGAGAAGGTTGTTTTTTATGTAGTACACAACTACTGATGTGTACTGGAACGTTTTGGAATTATCAGAATTAAAGGAAATTGGCTCACTCTTGCTTCACACACAATGCACCAGGGTTTAAATTAATCCAAGGCCGTCATGGCCGTGGATGCCCCTTTGTTTGGCCTGAATGCCTCTCTCATTGGCCTTGGGAGATTTGTTGTGCCCTTTTCAATTCTTCCTATTTGTGCTGTAATATAGAAATGTGCCCTACAGAAAAGTGGCCTTGCCCTAAAAAATATTGAAATTTAAGGCCTGATGCACTAGTAGTATTGTCTACCTTGTAAACGGGAATACATAAACATATGGCATAAAAGTTTGGTCCAAACACTAACGCTAATTCTTTTCATACTGTATTTGAAATATTTGGTCATACGAAGAGCAATCCCTTCCAGGGGATACCTTTCCTATGAAAATTCTCACAAACTATTTTTCACCTCTCCCAGAACTTGACCTTTTCTCTAATTGATAAACAAACTATTCCTGTTTTGTTTGTCTTTTCCTTTTCAGAGTAATTCAGTAAGTGTGAAAGGTGAAGTGACTGGCCTTGCACCTGGTCAACATGGCTTCCACATCCATCAGTTTGGAGACTACACTAATGGTAATTACCACCATTTATTTGTATTTGCAATAAAGCCAAGTTTCCTTGACAGGGGAAGTTGGAAAATACTGTAACAAGCAAAAAAGGGTCCTCTGTTTTTTGTGTGTACTGTTCTGACTTTAGAAATATTTTTTTTTACTGTAAGCCCCCCCCCCCCCCCCCCAAAAAAAAAACCTTCCTCATTTTTGTAATCATACTTTCTTTTAGGGGGTACATGCCCCTTGTGCTTTGCCCCCCTCCCCCAAGAATTTGCCCACTGACTCAGTAGATTTGTTCATGATCGTATTAAGCAATCAACCTGTACACACATTTTTGTTTGTTGTAAAGGAGATGTGATAGATATATGAATATCATATTTTACATGATTTTAAGGACTCGCTTTAGTTACTCCAGGCAAGTATCATCTGATATCTGTTCCAGACATAACAGGTAAAACTAAAGGTGATTGGTGATTGGCTGGATGCTTCCCATTGTTCAAAGAGCCGCAGGAAACACTATGAACATGACGGACAAAGAAAAAGGACAAAATATACAGTTCCTCATTCTACCCTCAACAATTGCTGTGGTAGACAAAGGATTATCCCTTCACTGCTATTATGTAAAAATGTGTAGAACAGGTGTCACATGCATATTCACCTGTTCTACACATTTTTTACATAATAGCACAGCAATTGTCCTCTTTCTTTGTCCGTCATGTTCATAGAAAAGACTCCCTTATAAATCTTTTAGGGATGGTGCTTTGTGGTGTATGTTTCACAAAGTTAAACATACTGTACGAATGACAGATGATGTTGCATTGAGCCTAAATTCTTGTTAAGAAAAGCAATTTTTAATTATTGACAGACCTTAATATTGAGTTCAGGCATTGTGTAGAATTGGTAGAAGGTACCCCAGAATGATTGCCTTCATTGTTTATTTTGATGAAAAAATTGTACATTTTATCTTACTTATCAAGCAATCATAAACATGTTTTGAATTTGAAGAAGAAATGGAAGTTGATAACGTGATATTCGGTGAAATTTACTTTGAAGTGTTTTAATAATAATAATAATAATAGTGGGTTCTTGTATAGCGCTCATGTCAGTCAGATTTGACCCTCCTACAAGGGTATTCACTGGTCAGATTAACCTCTTTTATTAAATAGATAGTTGGGATAGACGTTAATTGTTGATCTATGATTCTCATTAATTAAACAGGTTGTGTGTCTGCAGGAGGACACTTCAATCCCTTTGGCAAGGAACATGGAGCACCCGAAGACGAAATGAGGTGAGTCGACGAGGAGAATTTGTCTACCAAATTTGAGTAGGAGATTGTTAATTTGCAGTTTTGAATATTCAGTGTAAATTTGGATTGATTCTGAACTTTCGATGTTCATCTTGAACAGAAATCAAGACTAAAAATACCCTCAATGGCAGAGCAGGGGGTGGGGGGGGGGGGGGGCACACAGGGCGCATGTACCAGAATAAATGAGGGGGGGTGAAAGGAAGGAAAATGAAGGGAAATAAGAATCATGGGTCACTGTTTTATGTTAACTTTTTAAATTTGTTTGTTAGAGAATGCTGTAGCCCAAACTGCACTCCCCCCCCCCCCCCAAAAAAAAAAAAAAATCCAACCAGAGAATCCTGGATCTGCCACTGCAGTGACAAGAGATATTAAAGCCAGTACCCTACTGCTAATGATTATCAACAACTTACCTACATTGATATGCAATGAGAATAATGTTATTCTGAAGCAGTTTTATGTTACTCTGGCCTTCTCATTATTACCATTCCAGACATTTAAGTTGACAGATTTTTAATAGCCTGTTTTATGTCTTTTCTTCATGGAAAAATGGTTGGGAGAATTTACTGTTAATCCCCGTTAGAGGGTGTTGCACAGTGACGCCTTCAAAGAAAACCATAGATATGTTTGTGGTTTGATAATTTGTTTTGGATTTTTTGCATGTCAGAGGGTTAGTACAGTAGAAGGAATATAATAAGTAACATTTTATACAAAAATTACACAATTTTTTCATCAACCTTCAACAATGTTACCAAGTCACATTAAAGAAGCTGTCATCTATATAATTTGATGATGTTCTTGCCTTTGTTCTCCAGACATGTTGGTGATCTTGGCAACATTATTGCAGATGCCTCTGGTAAAGTTGATGTGAACCTCTCCGACAAACTCCTCTCCCTCTCTGGACCACAATCCATCATTGGACGTGCAGTGGTGGTAAGCTTCGTTATATGGGGGTGCACAAAGATCCTAAGTTGAACTTATCTCTAAGTTAGACTTAATAATTATGGAAAGCCGTTAGCATCCTTGAAAATATTTAGTAAAAGTTATGAGTGAATTGTCAAAGATTTTGTTAATCTTTAACAGAACTCAAGATTGCCCTCAATGGCAGAGCAGGGGGGAGGGGGGGGATAAAAGGAAAGAAAAAGAAGGGGAAAGGGCATCATGGGTCACACTTTTTTTAACAATGTCAATGATTTTTGTATTTGTTTGTTAGACTGTTGTAGCCAAAACTGCACTCCCCCCCCCCCCCCCCCAATCCAACCAGAGAATCCTGGATCTGTATGCAGTGACAAGAGCTATTGAAGCCAATACCCTACTGCTTATGATGATCAACAACTTACCTACATTGATATGCAATGAGAATAAACTAATTCTGAAGCAGGTTTATGGTACTCTGGCCTTCTCACTCCACGTATAACCAACTAAACATATTTCATATCAACCGATTATGACGTCAAGTGTAATATGCGTCACATTTCTGTATTTTATAACACAGAGCTCAGTTAATTTGGCATGAAAAGTCACAAATTGCACGAAATGTTTGGTTCATGTGTATACTGATGATGTAAATATGTTCATGCTTATTCAGGGCCCCATGGAAGACCACTACTTATTGGGTGAATGGGCTACCCTGACAAAAGATCAGAAAGAAATAAATAAATAATCCATGTTCTTTCTATCAAACCATTCAGGTGCATGCTGATGTGGACGACTTGGGAAAAGGTGGCCACGCGACCAGCAAGACGACTGGTAATGCAGGAGGACGTCTTGCGTGCGGAGTCATCGGCATCCAGGCTTGACTAGATACCCCTCGACTCTGAACACCACTGCTCAAACATTCACTACTAAGTGTAATCTTTGATATATGTATATGTAGGACCACTTAAATTTTGTTTGTAGACGGTGATTATGCAAGTTTCACTGCAAATTGTTTTTGTACTACCAGTTATGTAGTTAATTCTTTGTGTTTGAAATCAATATTTTCGAAGGAGTTGTCAAAATGACCATAGTGTAGTGCATCGGTGAGGGGTAAAATTTATCAAATGATGTTATAATGGTTCAGCATATATAGAGCAGAATGCTATATTGAATAATGCAACTCCTGCACACTGGCAATTTTTTTTTTTTTTTTTTTTTTTTTTACTTGTGTTGCTCCCATCCATATAACAGCGGATCGTGGTACAATTGATATTGATATGAAAAGAGATTGCGAAAGGCAAATATTTTATCAACAATCGAGCTGAAAATGATATCGCTATGAGCAAAGGTTTTGGGAATCATATTTTTCATAATCATTCGTAGTGGTGAATATGATATCTTTTGAGCAAAGATTGTGGAAGCCAAATTTGTCAGCTACAATCCTGATAATTTGGCTTTCATTCGCAATTCACGTGTCAGAGTTGTTGGCGGGAATAAGCCAAACTTTAAAGTTGAAGGATTTGTTTTCCTCAAACCATGGAATGATCAACCAACGACAGTTTTGTACAAACTTTTTAGAGGCAGAAGGCATTGCTTTTTTGATAGGAGGATATGAGAGAACGCACTTCAGGCCCTCACATGACAATACATGTACTTTCTAGGATTTTAAAGTTCATTTGTATGCAAGTACTATAATTGTTCAACATATTGATAATGTTGCAGAGCTATTTGTAGTTTAAAAACAAATGATTAAAGTACTGTCATGTATAATGAGATTTTTCCAAAAAAGGCAAGTTATTAATGTAATTTACTGCATCTAGACTTGTGCTTTATGGAACTTTCCTGCCACTTGCATTGAGATCCATGTCATTGTTTGCCAGATAAAGCACCTCTTTGTCAGCTGTCTTTTCCAGAGACTTTAAAGGGAATTTAACAAAATTATCTTGGCACTTTAAAATGTTGCCTAGATTACGAACCTAACGTATAGAATATTGTGAGCCAAGCTCCGTAGCATGTTGCACAAGAATTATGTTGATATTAAAAATGAATATAGTATTTTAAGGGATAGAAAGCATACGGTTTGTGGACTCTTTTGTTTCTTTCATGTTCAGTAGGCCATTTTCGTAATGTAACCAAATTTAATGCACAAGTCTTTGTGAAGTGCCTCAATACAAATTATTTCATTCACCTGTTGCTAGGTAGGTCAAGTCATAATGTTTGTCCAACCTAGCAACAACTAATGTATGCAGTTTGGATTATGTCTATTGAAATACTATTATTCTTACCAGGTGAATGAAATAATTTGTATCGAGGCACTTCACAAAGACTTGTGCATTAAATTTGGTTACATTACGAAAATGGCCTATTGGGTTCGGATTCTGGAGTGGAAGTACTGATGTGAATTTGGTGTGAGTTTTATTAGTTATATTTTGCAACTTTGTGTTAGTTTGTGACGTAAGAGTTCCAATTGTTGGGAGTGGTTTTGAAATGGCATGTAATTTATAGCACTGCATTCTGGACAAATTTGTAGCCCTCCTCTCTCTCCCCCCCCCCCCCCCCCCAAAAAAAAAGGGTCATACCCTGTATCTTTCTTTTTAAGTTTGGCAGGCACTCATTAAGTAGCTCAAATAAGATCTTTTAATGCTTCAATAAGAATGATCTGCCTCAGAATTGTATTATTGTTATCCAGGTGAATAATTATGTAAGTAATATGGAACATGCATAGAAACAAAAGTATGCATTGGAGAGTGATGTGTACACACAGGTTGAGAGGTGTGTAAACAACCTCTCAAAATGCTATCTCACCATTGTCTGGGCTCCACACAATCTTTTATCATTGGGAGGGGGGTTCAATTTAAATTGGTGGGGCCCTACATGCATGAACTAATAGGTTAATGAGCTTAAGTTAGAATTTTGAAAATTGTGGGGGGAGGGGGGGGGGGGTTGAGTGTGCATGCTTGGATTTTGGGTGCATGTCCTAGGCACTTGTTTATGTCCATCTCTGCATTTGTGGTAAAAAAATTATGAAAATCCCAACGTAAAGTGCCCCCCCCCCCCCCCCTATCCCAGGCAATTTGTCACATCTCAATTTAAGGCATGCTCTGTGAACATAGCTTCAGAAATGTTATCTTGTGTCAATTCCATGCATCGAGGAATGACATTTCCAGAGAATTTTGTTTTTAATAAAAAATATTACAGAAATTGTAATGAATATCTACAAATATATGATACGATATTCATGTATTTACTAATGTGAGATACTTTCACATTTGGGTTTCCTTTCAACCATTCATCAAATTTATAACAATAAGGGTACCAGTTTTCAAGCCCTGGCAAGTTATTTTCAAACCGTAGTTAAGGCTTTTTTGCGTACAAATACATTCTAGGTGATTTTCAGGCCCTCTGAACAATTCTAACTGGCATCCCTGGACAATGAAGTATGTTTACATGTTTGTTACAGAAGGACTTAAAATGATAAAGTTTTCAGTTTGGTCATTCTGTAACAAAGCTTAACATTTGGCAGAATTTGATGAATGGTTAATAGGAAACAATCGTTTTGACAGTACCTCATATTATATCATTAGTTGGTAGATTTTGATGAAAAAGTCCATGTTTTTTTATAATTGGAAATTCTCAGGAAATGACATTCTAATATAACACTTGGGAAAGACTTCCTTTACTGAGGTGCACACATGGCAAATTTTTCTTTTCAATTCCTTATTTAAATAACCCAAATGTGGAAATGTTGGAGATTCTCTACATATACCTGCACAAAAGGCACAATGTACATGTACGTTTTAATATGAACCCATGTGCCGATTTTTTATATTTTTAATTCATATAAAAATTGTGGAGGGATTAAGGAGCTGTCAATCAGGCAGAGAAATTGTCTGCCATGTATAATGACTCAAAAAAATATTGAGATCTTGGGAAGATCTTAGAGGACCCAATTTTAGGGTGAAATAATGAACAGGAAGGGGGGGGGGGGTACATCGAAGTGATTAATCCTATATTTTGCCACTGAATACTACATACCTAGCTGCCAACATTTAAGAGCTAAAATTAGGAATCTCTCAATGTAAAATTAGGAATTCATTCCATTTTGTATAATGTTCACATGACAAGTTCTGAAAAAGAAAGAAATCTACTCAATCTAGGGTTCCAAACAATAACGCTTGAACCCGGTAGGCAAAAAAAATAGGTATCATACCTCCAAAATAGGAATGGTTGGCAGCTATGAATATTGTATGTAAATAATGTAGAACACATTGAATGCCAATCCCATGCAGTATAGCATATCAGTGAAACTGCAACAGTATACCTACAAAATGTTCAATAATTACCCCCCCCCCCCCCCCCCGAGGCCAGATATGCCTTTCTAAACTCCCTTCCCAACCTCTCTCTGTGATTATAAGGTTTAAAATGTGTACCCCAAATGGGAAGGCAAATTCAGTGTGGTTCCCAAAGGATTCAATTACCAATATCATTTTAAGGGGCGAGGGCAGTGATGACCCCCTCTGCCCGCCCCCCCCCCCCCCCCTCCCTGCTTGAAAAAAAACCTCATTAGGAATATTGAGGTAGGCCTATACCTCCACCCTTGGAAGGGTGAACAGGATTTTAGTGGAGGGGGAGGGGGGGGGGTTGGAGGATGGTCCTAAATGATCGACCCATTTTATGGTTATGGGGTGTATGTATTTATTTGCACATCTTTTATGGAAATGGGGTGTATTGTTATACATGTATATGATGTTAGTACTGCATGCATTTCCTACCCCCCCCCCCCCCTTCTTGTTCCAGTATATGTACTTGCCTGCAAAAAAATGTCCATCGATCGATGCACCCACCTAGCTGTTCTAAAAATGAAAGTTTCACACAAATACCAATACAAATGAGAATATGGGGGAAATGTACTATCCACTTGTTTAATTCACCAATATGTAAACATCTAATCGACTAAACACAAACTCAAGAAACAGGTTTTATTTGCTCAACAGAGAATTCTAACACCAAACTTGGCCCTTTTACAGAAATATGGTGCCAGAGAGAAGTTTCAAGTCATAATTTTCAATACCTAGATTAACGGTTCAACTCTGGCAACATTTATTTTACTCAATTTCTATACCTAATAATTGTACATTAGTCTTGAACCAAACCGTTATATTTTTTTTTAATGTTTCAATAAATGAATATAATATATTGAAGCATTTTTTCTAGAAGTCTCTGCATCACAGCTATATACATTGAAATGTCTTTGAGATCAAATGTTGTGAAAAGGGGTAAAATCACCAAATATCGAGCACAAATTTGAAAATTACCTACCCGGTACATGTACATATCCCAGTTATCCCATCCCCACTCAATACTTCTTTCTCTTCTAAATAAGTTGCATGCACATTTAGCCCATCAAATAAACAATTGTAAATGCAATTTGGAAAATCAATTTTGAAATAAGTACGCATTGCAGAACACATTACCAATCTTTAAGCCCATGTGATTAAATCCCTCTTTTACGACAAAGAAATCAGTGCGAATTAAATATGTACAAGGTAATAACATATATATATACTGGAAATGACAAAATAAAATAATCATTCAGAACTGGTTCCCTTGCCTACGTTAGAGGCAAGGGAGTTACCTGAATGTTCTTTAAGTTCAGTTCAAGTCATGATCCAACGTTGGGTCTTTGTTAAGACCTGTTCCAACGTTGGGTCTCAGTTAAGACCTAATGCGCTTCCATCGTTGGATCTTTGTTAAGACCTGTTCCAACGTTGGGTCTTTGTTAAGACCTGTTCCAACGTTGGGTCTCAGTTAAGACCTAATGCGCTTCCAACGTTGGATCTTTGTTAAGACCTGTTCCAACGTTGGGTCTTTGTTAAGACCTGTTCCAACGTTGGGTCTTTGTTAAGACCTGTTCCAACGTTGGGTCTTTGTTAAGACCTGTTCCAACGTTGGACCTCTGTTGAGATCTATTCCAACGCTGGGCCTCTGTTGAGACCTGTTCCATCGTTGGGTCTTGGTTAAGACCATTTATGTACATCTTTCACTACACATTCATTGTTACAATATTTTACCTTATCTACAGATGCAATGTATTAGCAGTTAATTTACCATCAAACATGCCAAAATCTTGGAAAACATGATTCAATAACAATATGCAAGTATATACAAGTAGCCAAATTACTAATTAACATCCATCTTTTGGGGGGAAAAGTAATCAAAACTGTGGCCAAATAAAATTATTCTCAATCCCCTCGTAATCAGTATTTACATGTATTTGGGTTTGAGGGGTGATTTTTTTTTGTCTTTCATTCATATCTAAATCTATCCTGTCTTCTTTCTGTTTCATAACCAAATCAAAATTTCAAGTAATAACTATTCAAACTATTCTTATCATTCTCTCCCATAGAAAAATGCTTTTATGTCCTAACTGAAACAACTCTTTGTGATACGAGTTAGCAAATAAGGTAGTTAAAAAAATTAAAAAAGGAAAACAACCGAGATGGAAGGATTACACTTAGATGTGCAGACCAGTATTGTTTCATTAAAAAATTGCGAAAATACTATCTTTATTTGCACTTTTAAAGAGTAACTTAAAAGAAAAATATCCTTCAACATTTGACATCCTGCATGGTTATGACAACAGCTTGCTGGTGATGAGAGCTAATGCCATCATTTTGGAATAAAAAATGGGTTGCGATATGGCTGTCGCTATGTCGGATATCAAATTCATATCCTCATGAAGGGTAATAGATAGGTTACACAAATTTTCCTGGAGTGATTATCAAATTGGCAACATACATCGCTCTCATCACCAGCAAGCCTCGTCAGGTTTTCTCATAAAATAAACAAGTCTACTTGGGGAGAAACAAATATATATCAATGAGATCGACTCGTAACATGATTGCATCATAGTAATTGAATATTTCAGAGGACCAAAAAAAAGATTTAAAATTTCATATGAAATGAATCAATGATCAATGATCATTGAAATCTGACCAAATTATTAGGAAACTGGTACTCACTCCTTAAAATGTAATTCCTGGGACTACAACAAATTTGTGCACGTAACAAAAGTGACATAACTAAAGCTGTCAATAAAAATCTCTATGTATCCATAAAGCCAAAGCAAATAGACCACAAGAAAAAGAGATCATTAATTAAGGATCAGATCCGATTATGTAGAGGTAATAAATTGAAATGACGATCTGTGTCTCACATAAAACATACAAACCAAAAATTCTCAGATAAAGATTGACCAAAGATTGTAATTTTGAGTTTAAGATATAATTGCTGTGGGTTTTTAGTGCAATTTCTAGGTATCCTCAAGAGTAGAAAATACAAGAGATTATTTTTTTTTTTTTTCCATCACAATAAATTATTTTACTTTTCAGTGTTTGTCTTCATTATTTAGATTAGATTTATGAACTAACCAACCATGAGCTAGCTTTTAAATATTGTCAAAAGTACCTTCAAAATTAAAAATGGTAACACATCCTAAATCCCAAAAAAATCCTTTCAACTTAAAGGGATAGTTGAGTTCTGTTTTCAGACCGCAAATTTCTTCAAAGTGCATGGTTATTGCTCTTATTCTTATCTATGACATTTCTAGTGCCCTTTCAGGACCTAAATGTGCTATGATCAAGCAAAGATGATTTTGTCATTTAAATTGTATGTTCTTTCAAATTTGACACTCAGTTTTTCATTATCTCACAAAAAATTGTTTTGTGAAGCGCCCAGAACTCAACCATCCCTTTAAGCCTAAGACAACATACAGGTATCAAGAATATCATTTAAATTGATTACTTTTTTACCATGGTTTGTAAAAAGTACAGTAAATCATAATTTGAAACGTAATTGTATTCTTCAAGAATTACAATAGAAACAAAAATACAGATATTTCATGTACAGTTTGAACATTTCACAGCCAAATCAAAATCAACCATATCCTAAGAATTACTTCTATTTGTAGAAGTAATATTTGAAGCTTAAAGAGAAGGTTGAGTTCTGGGAAGAGGTGAAAAATAATTTGTGAGCGTTATCATTCTTATTATGCAAGTGTGGAAGAACATCAGATAAGACATGTTCCCTGAAAAGCATGGCTGTTCAAACGCCTTCATATTCTAAGTATGTCATGTAACATCGTAAAACTCGGGGGTGGGATTTTTACGCCACGTGTTCGTGTAGTCCCATATACATCTTTCTGTGTACAGTGTTTGTAACTTTACCAAGACTTGGCCAAAGTTTTTATCATTTTGATGATTCCAGAACCTTGCAATACACACACATTCTTATATGCTAGATGATCAACCTTTCTGGTCGATTCCACACCGTTTCTTTCACATTGCAATCGCATGACCAGAACTCAACTTTATCTTTAAAGTTTGATTGAAGTATAGCACATGGAACCCCTTGCATTGAGAGCATAACAGGTTTTGGTCATTCGTCCACGTTAACACATCATTGGGTCCTGTGCAAGAATGATTAACTTTCCTTTGCATCTTACACATTGATCAGCAAAATCATCTCACTTGTGAAGAAGAAAATAAGTTTTACAATGGTTGGTATGCTTGCTTTACCCGACTGCTAAGAAAGCATGCGTATGCTTGTAAGCAACCAACATGGGGACTGAAATCTAACAGAATTTCTTTTAAAATAAACAGTTCAGAATGTTTGGACTTGTAATACATCCATGCAATATTTGAGTTTTAAAGGAGGATAATTCATGAATACAAATATTTAAGTAATTTCATGAAATGCTACATGACGTTGCTCAATTCCATAAATTTATAAAGTATCAATTTATTTTAGGACAATTTATACCAGGTATGTAGATTAAAAATTACTGACATATCACAAAAACACATCGATGGAAAAATGATGTCTTTAATCCCTCGAGAGATCTTAATATTCTTTGAGAAAACCTGACGAGATGCAAACAAAAACACCTTGTGTTTTTATGAACCCACCTCACACTATTTCAGTGTCTACAATGAAGAGGTAAGTCAGTCACTTGGCAATAACACAGATGAACAGTGCATATAGGTGAAATATGAAATAGTTGAATCATTGGCACTTTTTGCACGGACAAGAAAAGTTCAAGATTCTTCTGGGTTCTCTTCCGCTTCCGATTGTCCAGCTTCAGGTTTGCTTTGCTCGCTTTCCACTTGGGCAGTTTCAGTAGGGGCAGGTTCGGCCGCAGCCTGGGGCATGTCTGGTGATGCTGGCATGTCTGGTGAAGCTGGCATGCCAAGGTCTGGTGGAGGGGCTTGTTCATGAACTGGAGATTCTGGGTATGGTCTAGCTGGTTCAGGCTTAGTACTGTCATCAACAGGCTCCTGAGGCATGTCAGCAACACCAGGAACATCACCAGGAGCTCCTCCTAAGTCTTCCATTGGTTCTTCTGGTGATGGAACCGATGGAGGAATGGCTGCAGAGGACATTTCCGGATAAGCTGGCTCGGTATCTTCGGTTGGTTTGTCAGGTTCGTAGCTGTCTTCTTCTTCGAAGGATGGTTGTCTCGGCTCTGCAGCCTCAAATGGCTGGGCGGGAAGCATGGCCTGTGGAGTATCAGATGGTTTCATGATAGCCTCCTGAGGAAGTCCTGGAGCAGAGGCAGAGGCATCTGGGACTGCTCCTTCAGCGCTGGTGCTTTGATCTGCTTCGGTGCTTTGAGGAGGTGGCTCTTTACCAGGGGGTTTCCATTCTGCTGAGTCTCCAGGAGGGGCTTCTCGTCCACTATCCCTCTCCCTGTTCCTGTCTCTGCGATAATCTCTTTCTCTATCGCCTCGGTCACGCCAATCCCTATTGCTTTCGCGGTCTCTATCTCTATCCCGCCCTCTGTCGCGATCACGATTGCGGTCTCTCTCACGATCTTGCCAACCACGGTCCCTCTCTTTTTCTTTGTCAGAATCACGATCATGCCGTGAATAACGATCATCTCTATCGCGGGTAAATCTATCATCCCGATCCCCACGATCTCTTCTCCAGTCCCTTCCTTGGTGATCCCCTTCATCGGGGCGACGGAATTCCCTATCTCGTGGTCCCTCGTTCATCCTCATGTCAACATCTCTGCCAAACCCTGCACCAGACGAGCCTTCTCTTCCACCTTGGTCATTATTGCCTCTGTTCCTGTTTCTCCATTCTGGTTGGTTTCCGTCTTGCCAGCGGCTTGGGAATTTATTGCCTTCATCTGGTGTAGCATTACTCCATCTACTAGGTGCCCCACTCTGTCTTCTTAGATCTTCTTCTCTTCTATTTTGTCCTTCAGGCTTGTCAGGTAATAGAGGTGGTACATTTTGTCCCGGCCTCTTGGGTGGGTCATTCATGTCAGGAGGCATTCCTTGATTCGATGGTGGCATTCCTTTGTTTGATGGTGGCATTCCTTGATTTGGTTGTGGCATTCCTTGATTGGTAGGAGGCAAACCTTGATTTGGGGGAGGCATACCTTGTGGGCGCATCATACCTGGAAGGGGTCCTCGGGGATTCCCCATCCCCGGAGGTGGCATACGCATTCCACTGTTTGGAGGGTACTGGACTCCTCCAGATGGACCAGCCATTCTTACATTCTGCATAGGTGGACCTACACGGATCTGCATACCCGGGGGGATTCCTCGGTGCATCATTTGCTGCCCAAGGATCGGACGCAACATACGTAGTGCAGGACCAGCAAATCTATTGACATCTCCAAACTCTGGCCTCATTGGTCTTGCTTGCATTCCAGGTCCGGGAAGTCGGAATCTTTGCATACCTGCCATATCTGGTCTCAAACCAGGTCGATCCCCAAACATCATCTGCAACTTGTCAAGGCCAACTTCCTGATCATCAGACTTCTCACCAGTTCCTCTATCAGAGTTTCCTCGAACTGCTCCACGATTTCCAAGCCCTTGCCTATCTGGCATTCCAGGTCGAGGACCCATACTCCCTCCCATTTCCGGCAAATTGGGTTTGTCTTGCCTATCTGGTTGTCCAACTGCTGAGGCATCTTTAGGTTCAGCTCCTAATTGTTGGTTATCTCCCTGGCCAGAGTTTGGTAGTGCAGCAAGACCAACCGGTCTCATTCCTCTAATACCAGGTACAAGAAAAGGCCTAGGAGGTGCCCCTAATCCTGGTCGCATCTGGACAGGTTGCGGTCTTGCATTCTTCAAGATGCCATGCAACTTTGGAGGTTCAGACTTCACAGCAGTAGCCTCTGAAACTGTCTTCTGAATTGCTTCCAATGCCTGTGGGGTAAGACCAAGTAGATTTGCATTATTCAGCAAGGACTGGATAGGACGAATTGAATTCGCTACCGAAGCTGCTGTGATAGACGCCGCCGAAGGCATAGGTTGGAACATGGTTGTTCTGGGTGGAGGCATCCTTTGTCCTGGCATCATCCCTGGGTTCATAATCAAACCCTGTTGCACTAAACCTGGTAGGTTGAAACGAGGTCTTATACCACCCGTCATGACGAACGAAGGTTGCGATGTAACCATTGAGCCTGTTAATCCTGCCATGCTAATATTTGCAGGTGTAGCATCTTCTCTTGGTTCCATCTTGGGCTCTGCCACTCCAGGAGATATGCCTGGTGGTGGTTTCTGTGCTTCTTGAGGCACTGCTCCAACCGCCGTTGCTTGACTGACATTCGGAATCGAAGGCTGCATGGCTGGTGGTATTCCAGATGGATGCATCATTCTTGCAGGAGGAGGCACACCCATTGGTGGTGGCTGTCCTGGAACAAAACCTGGAGGGAACCTGTAACCTTGAGTGGCCAATTGACCGAATCCAACAAACGGTGGGAAGACACCACCAGGCATGACAGGCATGCGCACCATGTGGGGTGCAGGAACAGCTGCTGGAGCGGCGACAGTCGAGGCTACCTGCGGCTGGGTCCCCATGGGTGGCATCAGTGATGGTATGGGTGCCATGGCAGATACCTGGCTGCCTGCTGGAAGGACACCTGGTGCGACAGAGATGGAAGGCTGGCCTGGCATCATTACGGGCATGCCTGGTAGAGGAGGGGCAGGGACAGCGGCTACTGCAGCCATAGGAGGCAGTGGGGCAGGTGCTACGGTGGTGGCAGCAGCAGCAGCCGCACTGGCGGAAGCTGCTGCCTCTTCTGCTGCCTTCAGAGCTGCTGCATGTGCCACTTTGGCTGAAACAAAAACAAAAAAACAACATTTAAAAATTTGTCTACAAAATAATCTCCTTTCAGTACTGAGAAATACTCCTGGACTACCTAGATATACCCATCTCTAATTGCTCAGCAAATGTTTGTTAGCACAAGTGTGTCAGATTTTAAACTTGTTATAGTTGTTGTGCTGAAGTAAAATACTTTTACTGTTAACAAATTGGATGAAGTAGACACTGAACTGTTATCATAGTAAAATTTATTAAATTAAATTATTAAATTGGATATCTTCTTGCTTTGTATTTGAGAATATTCAAGTATAAACAAGTACCGTATTTGCCGGTGTAAAGGCCGCACCCCCGCATAGGCCGCACCCCCGATTTTGACATTAAAAAAAAAAAAAAAAAAAAAGTTTTTTTGTTGTGTTGTTGTTTTGTTGTTTTGCTGCCGAAAACCCACGCGTGGAAGGACCTTCATTTAACATCGAGGTGCAGTTAAAGGCGCTGATTTGCGCTTGTAAACTTGTCACAAATAATAGTAACAATGTCGTTTTTAGAAGAATGTGTAAGATCATTAATGTGAATTAAAAACAATAAAGTACCTATGGTACCAGTGGTGTACCTTGTGGTACACCATTTGTTATAGAAAAAAATTTGAGGAACTATTATTATAAACTACATATTGAGAGCTATTAGAAAGATTGCTTTCAAACCAAGATGACAGTCAAATTTTAGTGTTGTTGTAGTTTCCGAGTGGTGAGTCAACACACTGATTACTGAGCTGGGAGACATTGCCAGGCATAGCGCCATAAATCGAAACTAAAAAAAAAAAAAAAAAAAAAAAAAAAAAAAAACTTTTTTTACTCTTTCGCCGCATAGGCCGCACCCCGACTTTTTGATATTTTCTCTTCCAAAAATACTGCGGCCTATACGCCGGCAAATACGGTAACCAAATGTTTGGGCCCTCATGGTACACAGTGAAACTATGTAAGGTAACTAGTTTGCAAAAAAACATCCCACATTTAGATTAGGGATAGAGCAACGTCAATCTGGCGCTGCTCAGTGGCTGCCGGGCTCACGATCAATTGGGCAAAAAGAATTTCCATTTATTTGGAGTGGACTTTAACAAATTATTATTATTATTATTATTAGAGAACACCATCCTAATCTAACCTTCTTTGACTTCTGGAGGCATGGTCTCTTCATCGATCATGGCTCCTTGGGCAATGACCTCGTAGTTACCACTGGACGGCAGCTCGTCCCAAGGGATGTAACTAACACCCTTCTCCACGTCCCAGTATTCCTTGTAGTTAGCATCCTTCATTCCCTTACCAAGGGCCCAGGCAACCTGTATTATCAAACCAATCAAGCTTAGAGTTAGGCAATATTCAATTAACCTGAATAAGGTAAATTGAGCTGGAGTTAAGCAAAATTATAGCAACCTAAGCAGCATCCCTAATATCCATGGTGATAGACCCCGGGGCAGACCAGCCAAGAAATGGTTAAACTGTGTAAAGGTCGTTTGTGCTACTAGATGTCTGGGACCCCTCACAGAAACGACCAGAACGTCACAAGATAGGAAGATCTGGCTTGATGTCATGAAGCAGAAGCCATCACACATCTCCCAGATGGTGCGGAAGGCTTAGGTCAAGATAGGTCAAATAGCATCCCATGAAACCGTCATAAATACCAGTTTCCCAACGTCCCATTGAGGCACATGTTGATAGTACATCATGCCTTTTAATATGATATCTGCGAACTTGAAACATGATGCTTTCTTGAGATGCTGCCCTGCATTATAAGACCAAATGACCTAGACTTGTACAATATTCAGAAAGCTTGCACCTGAGACTAATCATGGTAGAGTTAGGCAATAATCAAATGTCAATGTACCTTGATGTTATCTCTTGTTTGGTTTTAATATTTTTTCTCTTGTTTGGTTTAAATAATTTTTCAACACTTTTCGGCCCCATTTCATAAAATTTGCAATGAATGCTATCTCTCACAATTATGAAACAAGTTTGCTAATTCTGCTTCACTGATTGTTGTCTATTTATTTACTTGTTTGTTGTTCGGTCCATACACTCAAATTAATAACATTTGAGCTGGATCCAACTGTTTTCCATTACAATTCTCAACCACAGGACTGCAGGCTTACACTCACCTTCAAGTTATTGCCATGAAGTCTCACATCTTTGATTTTCTTGAGAGTTTTGTGTGCCTCTTGTCTCTTTGCCATGCACACGTAGGCACATCCTCTAGTCCCAATGATCTGTGTACCAAAAGTAAAAGACTTTTTATTTACGGCTAAAAGTGATATTAACATGTTATACAATAAGTTTTATATCAGGACAGGAAGATAAAGGGGATGAATAACCATTACATAATTTGTATAACTTTAGAAGACATAGAATCATGTCCCTTGCTCTTCCGAAACTCTAAGTAAGAACCAATCTTTTATGAATAAGCCATTTCTGCGCAAGGGCAGAGAAATGTACATTGTACATTTTAAAACGCTCTGAGACTGATTGTGGATATGTGCTCATAAAAGATATGCAATTGTCATTCATTCATTCATGCACCTATGGGACATTCAATGATACATGGGTGGAGCAGAGATGCCAACCTTTTGACACAAAAAAACAGTACCGTATCCTAAAAAATCAGATTTTCATGAAAGCTCGACACTACCACTGGCTCGTCGGCCCCAGGCCAGTAAAATTTCAGAAAAATGTTTGCTCTTTCATTAAAATTTAATGAGAAAATTGTAAAGCAAAGTTTTTGTATCTCTACAGGCAGGTCTCCAAACAAACTTATTTCTTTGGATCAATTTTTGAGTCTATATCCATCTATTTGAGTCCTATGTATACATTTTGAAATTTGGGGGTCTGAAAATAGATTGTCACAGGTGCCTGTTAGTGTCAAATCCTGCTATAGGAGAAAGTCATACGATGATCAGGGGTGATAGTGAGCACTAAACCAACTTTCCTCAGCCACCCGCCCTGGAGTAAAAAAAAAAAAAGGATTTAAAAAAAATGGCATCGAACAAAATTCCCTTCCTTTTGAGTAAGAAAATTAAAGAAAAATAATTGGGAAAAATCGGGGGAAAATCTGGAAAATACGGGATGGGGGAATAAAAACAAAACAAAACCACAAAAAAATCGGGGAACCGATTTAAATCGGTAATTATCAGGCCTGGATGGTAGAAACTAATGAGCTACCTCAACTGAGATGATCTCTCCATATTCTGCAATAAGTGTTCTGATGTCCGACTCAGCAATGCTCTTGGCCAGTCGACCTAACCACAACGTTGTACTGCACACTGTTAAAACAAGATACAAAATATAAAACATTGGAGGACTACAGTATTATCACATGAGGAGGAACGTTAACAGAACGTAAAATGGAGGTCTTGTGTGTACTGAGCCACACCCTATGCACGTTATTATGCTACACTTTTTATGAAGAGCAGGGTGTAAACCCAGGCCCATATTCATAAAACCTTATGGAGCTAGTTAACAACTAGGCTGAAACTGCCTAATTATAAACTATGAAGTCCCCCCCCCCCCCCCTGTTATCCTTTTCTTTTTCCTAAGATGATCTCTCACTTCTCTCTCTCTCAAGTTGTTCTCATTTTCAGTTTTTTTTTTTCTCTCTTTCTCTTTCTTGCTTTTTTTTTTCTTTTTTTTCTTTTCGTCTGTCCCATTCATTCCTTTATTTTTCTTCATAAGAGCTCTAGTGATGTCATATAAGTTTTAAATGTTACTCAAAATTTTGAATTAAAATTCCAAATTCAGTTTAAAAGTTGCTGAAGAATATTAATGAATAATAAGCTTAGAGGTAAACACAACTGCTACAGGAATTGTAATAAATCAATTCTCAGCATTTTTCTTCTCACCACTAAGATGTTTATCCTTCATGGATGGAAGACCCTTCTTTTCTCTTTCCTTCTGTCTCTCCCTCTGGCGTTCCTCCTCTTCTTTCTCCTTCTTTCGTTCCTCTCGTTCCCTCTCCTTATCCCTCTCTTTGTCCCGATGTCTGTCGCTATGTCTGTCACTATCCCTGTCCCTGTCGCGGTCTCGGTCACGGTCCTTGCGGTCACGAGAGCGCGATCTTCGCTTGCGGGACCGACTCCTGGAGCGGGATCGTCGTTTCCGCTTTGATCTGGACTTGGACCTGGACCGGGAGGTAGACCTGGATCTTGAGCGTGACCTGCTTCGTGAACGCCTGCTCTTCTTTGGAGTATGTGATCTAAAGAAGATACATCAATTATTTATCAAGGCATCAAATCTACTTTTCTGAAAACAATGTCATCATAATTGTCATGTTTGTAGTAAGTGTTAGCTCTGTGCATTTTGAGTTTGTTATGACAATTATCATCTTTTTCCCCAACATAAAAGATCGCATCTTTCTCAGATTACGGCCCCAGAACAACACCCATGTCCATCTTTCAAGTACAAAGAGATAATAGTGACATCAGTATATCCGCATGACACAAATACACCTGTTTTATGAAGTTGGTTGTAACCATACAACTCGGAGGGAAGTGTCCAGGGTCCACCCTGCTAGGGTATAGGTTAAACGTATAATTAACTGCTTAAAAACATTGCTAATATATTGCATGTAAAATGTCTTGAAGAAAACAAACCAAACCAACGGATTTCACGGCCATTCGACTAAGGTAATGTTTTTGTTCAGTTTGTTGTCAATCTTGTGATAAAAATAATAATAATACTCAGTTTTTATACAGCGCTTATTGCAATCGCTAAGCGCTTCCAAACTTGGAGATTATTACCCCGGCTTTACCTGAGCTGCCATTACAGCGCTCTAGCATTTCAAAGAATTAATTCCTGCCAGGTACCCATTTACATCACCTGGGTTGAGTGTGGCAAATGTAAATCAATGTCTTGCCAAGGGACATTAGTGCCGCAGCAGGTCTCGAACCGCGAACCTTGTGATCGACAGTCAGGGGACTTAACCACTCGACCATGGCACCTCTTTTTGGTGTAACTAAGGGCGCGTTCATGCTTGATTTTGACGGCCAGAATCAGGCATCTGTTACGCGTTTAGTTTAAAACACGGTTGCGTCTTAGCTTACTTTTGTAGAATCACCGAAAAACAGCGATCACGATCGCCGATCGTAAACTCACAAAAAGATGCGTTTACAATTTGTAAACGCGTTTAAATGCGGTCAACGCTCTGACCTCTAGTTGGTCTACGTAGCATGCACAGTGAAGGTTTGTGAATCCAGCTGGAAGACCAATTAAGACCGCACAAGGAGAATTGCCTGGATGAGCCAGAGAAGTAAGCATGAACAGTGCACCGTGGAACTGCGATCACGATGAGCGTTTACGATGAGCGTTTCAGATCGCTCATTCTACCTTCAAAATCAAGCATGAACGCGCCCTAACTGAGCTATAAGCCTACCTGCTCCTGTCTCTCCTAGATCTCTTAGCTGAGGAGGAGGATGACTCCTCCTGCCTGTACTCTTCCACCTCCTCAGACTGGTAGTATTCCCCTCTACCATCCGCTTCCTCTTGCCCATGCTCTGCCTCTATCTCCCCTGGCTCCGGAGCTGCAATGATGTTATCCTGGTAAACATAATAATAATAAAAATAATAATAAAAAGGTTGCTTGTAAAGCGCTAACAACTGAAGTCTCTAAGCACTATAACAAACAAAATAGACTGATAAACAAATACATATTAAACAAAACAAAAAAGTGCAAATAAACCTACAAATAACAATACATATGAAATACACATAGATGGTTAACAGAGTAATTTAACCATCAAAAGCAATTTAGAATAAAAGTGTCTTGAGACAAGTTTTGAATTGGAAAACGGTTAGACAGTTTGCCATTTTGGTATTTAAAATCATTTTTTGTAAGAACAGCGTTAAGCCAAAAGGAAAAATCAGTCTATCTAATGGATTGCGAAAAAGTAACCAGTGACCATGCCCTTTTTTGGCCCCATGTTTTTTTTGGTGAAAGTGTAAATAAGTTAACGGGTGTTAAAATGTGAAAACGCTTAAACATTACCTTGCACATTGCATGAATGACAAATCTATGTTCTCTTTACTTGTAACCATTATGCAATTCGGAGGGGGGGGGGGTAAAACAACATTACAACATGAAACAAGAGCCACTTCATTATGATAAGTACGTAAATGTGAAGGGCACTATGCATATTTCATTTACTTTGCTTTGCCACTTCCATACCTGCCAACATTTGAAAATAAGAATTACAAATTTTTAGCACGGTATGTCTTCGAAAATGAGAATCGCACTTGCAGCGGCAGTGTAACTGGCAATACGCAGTTAATACATGGTAAATCTGTACCAAAGAGCAAGTACAAATTCGCTGCTCGATCATGCAGCCATTAAATGCACACAATATGTGAACTCTCAATCGCAGCACATGATAAAACAAGCTTTATTTGGCTTTAATTAGCACCAAAAAAAAAACTCAAAAAATATATACATTTTGAAAAATCAGAATATAACGGATTTCAGGTCCTAGAAATCCAGAAAAACAGAATATTCGAGATTATTTGTAAGAGTTGGCAGGTATGCAATTCATTTATTTATGTATTTCTTATGGAAGGGGGAAGGAGGGAGGAGGGAAGGGGGAGGAGGGAGGAGGGAAGGGGGAGGAGGGAGGAGGGAGGGGGCTGACGGTTTACAGTCTGTCTGAATGTTCCATACGGAAGCGTGCCTACCCCATCTGGTTGATAATGTTGCTGCTGAGGATCAGGGTATGCCGTCTGTGGCTTGACATTATCGTGGGACTCGGCCTGTTGCAGCTGATGGGTGAGGCGTTGAACTGCCTCCAAGCTAGCCTGAAGGCTGGGGATCCTGTGAAGGGTAAGCAAGACCAAATGTTCACATATGTCTTACAAATTACATGCTTTGCAAATGGTTAAAGACATCGTTTAACAATGTTATATCTGAGATGCACGGCCCTACATGTTATCAGTGACTGTGATATATGGTATAATATTGAAGCCCTAAAGAAATTGCGCTTCAAAATGATCATGAAGTGCCTCAAAAAAGTAAAAATCTTTGAGTGACCGGCTTTACTATACCCCTTTTCCCAATAGACTGTAGTGTTATAAAAACCGTTAGGAAAACGCACAATTTGATTTCTATTTCCAAACCTAAATATCTTGATAGTCAGACAGGTGATTGGCTTGTAAAAGTCATGGGGTTCCTGACTGACCTAAAGGTTTATAATTATCATTGCAGCATGAGCTAAATCAAGGAATTTTTTTTAAGGATCCAAGACAAAGTTACCGGATCTCTTTAATTAACTTACATGGTACTTGCTGAGGGAGTGCTATCTTTCTTGACAATCTGAACTTCATCTTCCTCATCTCCATAATCAAAGTCAAGTAAAGCCTGCAAAAAAAATATAGAAACCAATGAGAATGGACCATACACTGACATGTATGCTCACAAATGTGAATATACGGGGACATACAGATGTCAATATATGGGGACACATGTATGTCAATGGGACACACAGATGTCAATATATGGGGACACATATAGATGTCAATGTATGGGGACAATGTATGGGGACACTCAGATGTCAATGTATGGGGACACACAGATGTCAATATATGGGAACACACATATGTCAATGTATGGGGACACACATATATGTAAATATATGGGGACAAACAGACATAAATATATGGGGAGACACAGGTTACAATATACAGGGACACACAGACATAAATGTATGGGGACACACAGGCAGGTGTCAATATATGGAGAAAGTGTGTTATACTCTACTAGTTTTTCCTTCCATGAGGGATTGTTTTCATGAAATATTAAGGTAAAAAATTTGAGACCACACAAAATGAGCTGAAAATGCATGCACAAAAATGGATTGTATACAGTTTGACTTAAAATCAGCAACTCAAGAATAACTCATGAAAAAATCAGTGTCCATATCATCCACTATTTATTTTATTATGGGCTTATACAGTACATAATTGTCCATTTGTTCCAGTGACATTTACTCTGGTAAATAATTCGTTGAAGAAGGCTTGAAGTGGAATTGGGTTTCTGGCTAGGTTTACGGTATTAAAGAGTTTACATTAGGTTTAGTGCTGGGTCCATGGAGAAATATTACTGGAGCATTTCTTGTATGATTGTGTAAACTCATCAACTCTTACTACATACAATGTATAGTGTTAAGTCTGCTTGGTAATTACAATATTTATGATCTTAATTTGGCAGAAATCATCTATTTCAATCATTAATTCTATCTTTGAATATTGAATGTAAAATTCAGTGTTTTTGTAACAGTTCTGTGTTTCATCATTATCAGAACTCAAGGCTAGCTGTAACTTTGTCTAAGTATTGATCCTGTCATGTGTAATTCTACTGTATTCATGTTCGTGTGTACAGTGACTGTACTTCAACAATGATGTGTAATCGTCCATGACCTAGCATCGTTTATCCATCCATGAATGAACCTGCATTCAATCAGCAGATGTATTAGATTTATTGTATTATTACCAGCGCTCCTTTCTCTCCCCTTTCCTTTTCTTCTCTGCAAGTCACCCTTTTTTAATTATTTTTTATTGTTGTATTTAAGTTGAGGGTTGCGGGCATGTCAAGCTATTTCTTTAGCCCTCCTGCATCTAATGTATGTTAATTATGCATTCAATATATTTGTTTAATTTAGTTTATTATCTGTATAAAATTATATACACTTAAAATATTGTATCAAACCATATTATGTTCATGAAAATGTATGATGTAAAAAAGAAAAAAGATGCAGAAACCAATAAATCAAATCAAATCAAAATCAAACTTCTACAAGTCAGCAAGATACTGACCTTGTTAAACCCTGAGCTGGGTTTGGAGTTTGTATTGCTGGCCTGCGCTGGTGCGGCCTTTTCCACCTTGACCGCTGCGGCATCCCCAGCCCATGCTTGGTTGGTCAAGACATTGAGTTGGCTGGTCAAGGTCTGCATCTGACTGAGAAGGGACGTGTCAATGCCAGGAGTGGCCTTGGGCGCCTGGGACTGCTTCTGGAGCTGCTTCTGCAAGAGCTGGAGTTGCTCTATCTGCTGCTGTTGTTGTTGCTGTATGTGAAAATTAGGATAAGTTACATCAATAGACTAGTTCGTAGATACAATCTGGGCATGCAGGTCACTTATACAAAATTGTAAAATCTACTGAGACTGAGACTAATACTGGACACATGGTCACAAAAATTATGTAATCATTATTCATGCATGCACCTGCAATACATTTTTTCGAACACAGGTGGAAGTAATCCTTTTAAGAGGGCAAACAAAGAATCACCTCCATGACTTTAGCTGTGATTATTCCAAAAAGGCACAAAGTGGGATTTATCTATATTTGGGGTCATCTGAACCATGTGCTACTTACGAACTGGTCTATTGTGGTAGCCTACGATATGGAGAGAAAAAGGGGCATTTTACACGCTAAAGTGCCACCATGGCCAATCATCAATTGGATACGTTGAAATGGACAAGAGACAATATATAAGAGGCTGACTAGTAACACTTGGAGCCAATGAAATTCCTGGATTCCCACACGACTTGAGAGATGTTTCCTCAATGTCCCAGATCCTGCTACTGGTCTACAAGTCTCTCAACCACCCATGTCCCCCGTACATAGCTGACTGCATGGTTCGTCGTCCTCAAGTTCGAAATACCAGCTCATCATCATCTATCTGGCTCACTCAGTGTCTCTCTAAGAAATGTGCCGGTGAATTGTCTTTCCCATCGGTTGCCGCAAAACTGTGGAACCAGTTACCTAGTGCTGTGCAGAGGGCCTCATTTGTTGACCAGTTCAAGAAATTACTCAAGTTACATCTATTCTGCTAGAAAATACTTATTACCAGCCTACATATATTTGAATGATCTCTGAGAAGTGTCTAACTTTTGTTTGTAGTGGCCCAAATAATGTTGAGCGGTGTGTGCAGCACTTTGTAACCGCAAGGAAAAGGCGCTATATCAAATATCTATGGGATTGGATTGGAAGATAGTGGGGTAACCCAGAAAACAAGAAACATTCCTTCCTACCACTTGTTCTGCTGCTTCACTATGTTTGGAGAGCCATGAGCCTACATCTGCTGCGCCCTTCTCCTGTTTGACTGCTGCAGGCGCCATGGCAGCAGCAGCATTGACCGGGGCAGGGGCAGGGGCTGCTGTCTTTACTACATGTGCCACAGCTCCGCCTCCACTACCTGCAACAGGTAAAAAATTAAAGGCATCATTTAACAATGTTAAATCTGAGATGCATGGCCCTATGTGGTATCAGTGTCTGTGATATGGTGTTATATTGAAGCCCTGAAAAAATTGCGCTTCAAAATGATCATGCAGTGCCTCAAAAAAGTAAAAATCTTTGAGTGACCGGTTTTACCATACTCGTATTCCCCAATATACTGTAGTGTTATGAAAACCGTTAGGAAAATGCAAATATTTCCAATATAAATATCTTGATAATCAGACAGGTGATCGGCTTGTAAAATTGCAGCATGAGCTAAATCCAGGATTTTGTTTCAGAACCTGATACAAAGCTACCCAATCCCTTTAAACAATCATTTTGGCAAGTCCAAGGAAGTTAGGAATTTCAGGCCAGTTTCTCAAAACCATCATAAGCTCATGGACATCCCATAGATATGTGTGTTCATTCTATAACACATGATTCAATAGGATGTTCAAGAAGTTAGACTTATGATGGTCGAGAAACGGCCTCCCAGTGTCGTGTATGTTACAAAGCATTGTGGAGTTCTGTACATACATTGACAACAACTTCCCTTAACATTTGCATAGCTGCCAACATTTGGAATTTTCAATTAGTAACATTAAGGTAAAGCTGAATATCATGTGCGCAAAGCGCACATCTACATGTATGTAAGACCTGCCAACCTCTGGAGTTCAAAAACTGTATTTTTTTTTTATCCCAAAAGCTGTATTTTACTGACAAAAATTGTATCAAAAAATAAACATGGATCAATGCCTCTTACAGTTCCTACATACAGGAAGACATTTTTTTATGGATCATTGGTTAAATATGCATGATTTCGTCATAAATGGTGTGTTTGATGAATCAATGAACATCTCACTGGTTCTCACCTGGGTTTGCCATGTCTAGGAGGGGCTGAATGACATCTTCACCATAAACCACATTCTTCTGCCAAAGGTTGAGCACTCGAACAATCTTGGCGCGGTCATCTGTGGGACACTTGAACAGGTGCAGGAACGTGGCGTGGATGTTCTTTAGAAACCGAGGTGCAAAGACATCTTTCTCTGCTCCAAACTAAATGCAACAGTATGTATTTTAAAGTTGATTATTATGTTACTGATTTGCATTAGAAAATGACGACATTAAGAAATTCAAATTTAAAAAAATCTATTTTGATAAAACTAAGGTGTAATGAACCAAGGCCACAAAATAAATAAAAGAGTTTGTAAACTAGATGAGAAGAAGCTGATACAGTTAAGTATTTCTACAAGTAAGTTTACAAAGCAAAAATAAAAAATACAATCATTCTATCAATTAAGAAAAACATTCCCTGCATTTACGATTTCCCATTGCCAAAAGTAATATAGAGATGCTACTAGTTCCTGCAGATGACAGCACTAGTTTACATCCAAACTTGCACTTTTCTTGCCTCTGAAGAGTAATAACTATTTCATCTTCTTTGAGTCATACAAGGGGCAATTTTCTGTTTGCAATCTTTCACAACAATAGGAGAAATTATAAAATGGGTTCAAGAATGTAGCCAATGATAAGTGTCAAAATGGATCACGTGTGTGTGTATTAATTTTAGCCATAGGCGCATGGGGAGTGCATTTTGATGATAACAGTCTACAAAAAAGGTGCAACATAAAAGGCATAATGCACGCTACATGTAATTTAATGGATGTTAACGAGAAGTCGCACCATTCAATGCACAGCCACTGCTGCCGCGAACGTCTGTGTGTGCGCACGTTATTTGTTATGAAGGTTGCTGGGAGACATGTTATTGCACTGCTCAGACGCCCGATGCACTAATCATATTTATTGCGTGAAAAGCTGCTTGAGCAGCAGATGACCAACATGCGACCCTTCAACGCGCATCGCAATAAATCGCACGTGAAAGAGATTTGATAGTAGACAAATTTCATAAAACAAACAATACACAGGTTTTCCGTTTGTGACGTTATGGCAATTAGGGCTGCGACGTGTAGTCGATTGCTCGAGTACCCGCACGGTTGACAACTAATCGGGTACGATTTTTCGTACCCGAATATTCGACCGCAAAAACAAAAAAAAAAAAAAAAATATGTCCAGGCCGATGCTTACCCGTGCCTGGGTGAGCAGCGGCCGCTGGCATGGTGCCGTTGGTAAAAATGTTTCCCAACTCAAGCACTGTCAAACTCACCACTCAGAAATTGGGACCAAACGTCCGGATTTCTGTTTGGACTTGGAGGAAAATGGATTATTCTGCCATCTTTGGTTTTTAAAACATCATTGTTTACTGTTATTATTATTATTAAATTGGCCCCTTCAACTGCAACTCGAGGTAAAATTGCATGCGTTTTCGCCAACAGAACTGGGATACTGCTCCAGTGGTATGTATGGTGGTGGCAAAAAAAAAAAAAATTTAAATAAAAAATTTAAAAAATTCAAAAAAATTCAAAAAAATTATAAAAAAACATGGCGTCCAAATATTTGAGTATTCGCTTGTGAGCCTGGGAGTGTACTCGGGTACCTCATTACACTGTTGTGCACAGCCTTAATGGCAATGCAGCCCTATTCAGGTACTCACAATCACAATGGCACAAAATTCACTCAGCTACGCCTCATGAATTTTATTGCACCATAGTGAATACCCTTGTGCACTGCAATCGACCATAATGAACTCACACCTGTGTATTATTTATATATTACACATTGTTCAGACAAGGTGCACAGAACAATTCCCGGAACAAAAAACATGCTGAAATATTACTTGAAGAGATAAATTAACTTTCTGTAGTGCTTGAAAATCTGTCCTATCAAAAGTGAACTACATAATGTATCAAATTTAAGATTCTTTGGTTTTTTTGAATAACTAACCTGGTGTCTAGATTGCCGCACGATGGAATCAATGACATAGAGCCCTGGAACTTTGTATTCTGGTTTACACTGTAAGAGAGGAGAAAAGAAATATGACAATAAAGTTAATCTCTTTAATAAGATTAACAGTTGAAATATTACTGGTTACTTATCATTTGTAAGATCAACATAGCATTATTGCAAGTCTCCACACTAACTACTTTTTAATAAGGTTAGGATCTAACTTTCAAAATTTGTACAGTGTATTGTATGCATGAGCCCTATGCAATTTTTAAAAAATGTTGGGGTCCGGACTACAATTTTTGGCACCAAAAATGTTGAGCCCAAATTTATGTATCTGTTTACAGGATTCATAAACACATTCCTAGGTCAATAACGCAGCAGGTAATATTTTTGCAAATAGGAGATTATACAGGGCTCCATACTTTACATATCAAGACATACATGTCTGTTTATAAACATGTAGAAGCAACAGTAATCTCACAAATTTCGTGAAAAATACAGACTTCATTTTAAGGACTAATAGAAAAAGACTTCTAACCATGACTTCCAACTATCTGGATCAGATTGTCCGATTGACTTTAGAGTAATTGTCTTAGGACTAATATTTATTTGATTGCCTTTTAGGGTGCATGTATGTAGAGCTTTCTTGATTGAGTTTATTCAAATGGAATATAGGTGGAAGTGAAGCAGGAGAGAATATATCACTTCATTATAATTGGAGAAGTACAACATACCAAAGGTGATAGTGAGCACTAAAAAAAGAAGTTCCCCCCCCCCTCGAGTAAAAAAAAATAAAAAAGGATTCAAGGAAAAAAAATGGCATCTAACAACATTCCCCCCCCCCCCCCCTTTGAGTAAGAGAATTGGGAAAAAATAGGGGAAAATAGAGAAAATAAGGGGAAAATCCAAAAAATATCAGGAAACCGATTTAAATCAGGTAATTATCGGGCCTGAACATATTTGTTTCTCATACCGGTAATTACTTCAACTGTGAAATGTACATACCTTTTGTATAAACTTTTCTACACTCTGCACAACATGCTTGTAGAGTTTGATTGCTTTGATGGCAGACTTGGTCACAGAGGTCATCTTCGCCCTTGAGATTGGCGGCTTGACCTCGTACAAGCTGGACAGCTAGAAGGACAAAAAAGGGAAAATACATATCAGAAATTTTTAGACATACATGTAGATGTTTTGTGCCTTTCGAGGCATAATATCCTTCCCTTTCTTACATATTTCATGTTTGTTATAAAAGCTGTTGGTAGAGTAGGCTGGAGTTATTATGGGTTTTGCTGAACCCAGGTTTGATTTGAAAAATTCAGGCAGGGACCAGGTCCTTGGATGGGAATTTCCCCCACACCAGAAATTGTGTGCATGCAGCGGCGGGAGTTAAGATTAAAATGCTGAACTAATAATCTGACGGAAAAGACGGCTACTGTATTCAAATCATTTAAAAAATAACTTATCTGGGATACATAATTTTTCAGAAAAAAATGACATTATTCAGAGTGACAGCTACAAGTTTCTTTCATTTCTGATATCAAGGAATGTAAGGAGTCACGCTTCACACCTTCACGGTAGTGAGCATGTTCAGAAATGGAAGCCAAAAATAGTAATTGTGTGTGATAGTATCACACACAACTTGATAAATATCCATGATATCTCACAGAAATAACACCATTTGAGAAGCTACATGTATGCATGCACTCGATATCAAGTTCAGCTAGCCATCAGTTTGATTAAAGACACTGAGACTGTGGGTGCGTTTATTGACCAAATTTTTGGCTAGAATCAGGTTTCTCAGGCAAATTTAGAAGGTGATAAACGCAAAGCCTTTTTTAAAGGTCTTTAGATATGGGCATATCTAAAGACGCAAAAAGGTGTGTTTTGAATGTGACATACAGCCAGAATCACGTTTCTGAGAGATGATAAACGCAAAGCTGTTTTGAACCCCACATACAAATTGGACCACCCAGGTTAATTTCCGGTTCGGAGGCTAGCGCGCGCCATGTGTTGTGTACAAGCATGTGTATGTAGTTGACCTCCGAGAAACTGTCTGCTTCCTGGGTCAAACGGCGCAAAACAGCTGTGCGAACACAAGGCCTTTATTTTGAATCGTGAAGAGACGATAAACACGACATTCCGCAAATCACTTTCGTATAGTGGGGTTCGATAGTGGGGTATGATAGTGGGGTACGATATGTACATATCTAGTGGCAAGACCCAATAAACACACCCTGTATCACATGACCTAAGGCCTGCAAAATTGTTCCTCTCTGCTGCCATCTACACTTTACTGCAGGACAATGTTTCTCTCATTTAAAAAATGATGGCTAGGTGACATAGTTATCGTGTGCATGCGTACACTGCAGCTCATGAAATATCGTATTTTGAAGAAATATCATACTTTGAAGAGGCATTATGGATATGTATAGTATTTTTTGTCAAAGCAAAGTATTGTTTTACAGTAATTTTGTTGAGCTGTAGTACATGTACTAGTCTTTTAAAGTCTAAGGTGATATTTTTTGGTTTGTTTAATTGTTATTGATCCGATCAGTTCAGACTTTCGTCTGCATGCATGTACATGTATGCCAGGGTAGAGTTGTATTCATGCACATCAAGCATGACAGACTCCCAGCTTAAGCTTGGTCATAATATGTAGCGCACACCCACACTATCACCCAATTTTGCTAATTACTACCTTATTGTGTTTTTTGCAAGAATTTGACTTGCTATAGAAAGTAGATCAACAACTTTTAACCCTTTAAGTAAGGGCTTTGATCGGATCGGAAGATCGGAGCGATACCCTCGCCCTGTGATCGGTATCGGCAAAAATTATCGGGCAAACACAAATCGGCAGTTTTTTTTGTTTGTTTTTTAATGCTGAAAATTTCCAAGTTTTTGGCTATCAATTGCTTTAAAAAAATGCATAGCTGGGATTATTTTGTCATTTGGAGTTGTTGTAGACCATGTTTGTTGATATTTAGTGCCTTTTCATGACTTTGAAATTAATAATATTGGTCTAAGAGAAGAGGCAAAGCATGGGGGCAGCCATCTTGGATTATAATGTAGGCACTCAAATATCCCAGAGGCTTCGATCGAGTCACAAGAAAAGTAGTTTTTAGATGGATTTTTCCTGGAAGGGGGGGGGGGGGGCGGCTCACTGAGTTTATTTCAACGTGACTTTGGCGTCAATGGAGATGAATTTCCTGACAAGCATTAGAGATTGAAGTCCGAGAAAAATCATTTTATAGTTGGTCTACTTTTTATCATGGTATTATATTCCGGGTCATTGTCATATTTACCCTTGCACTAAATAATCTAAATTATCAATGTAATTCTATTGGTCTATGTTGGAATTTGTGAAATTAGTTATCCAATGTTATAAAGAAAACAAAATGAGAATGATCCTAGTTGTTTGGATTTTTTAAAGCTGTAATTATTTTCCTTATATTAAAAACAATATTGCAATATTGGTGGCGCTAGGTCGGGCCAATCAGGAACGAGTGGCGCGCAGCATAAAACGTATGACCATTCGGTACAATTGTCTGAAAATCAAGACTATTACTTTTGGGCTCTGTAGCCCTAAAGTTGATTTGACAACTAATAGTCGTTATTTTCCCACCTCGACATTTTCAAGCCCCACCTTTTTTAGGGAAGTTCTAAATTAGTATTATCTTTCAAATGCAGTTGGAATTGAACTTTTTCATTTTTTGGGCCTGCCAATGGGACATAGTACCTTTAATGCAACAACTAACACAAACAAAAGTCACAATGAAACGCTACTGACTGTGCATGAGTGGAGCAAATGGTGGATTCCTAATCCTAGCTGGGCTATCAACCCTCCAGCATTTGGAGGGAGTCTCACGCTCATTCTTCCGCCGTCCCACTGGCTCGTAGCGGGAGATCCCGCCACCACGCCCTTCCTCCCGCTCTCCCGCAATCTCCCAGTCCCAGTTTATGAAAAAACCTCCCGACAAACGTGTAAAATGAACCAGCGTACAGTATCGTACGCAATTCTTTTGGGCTCAACGGGAGGCGGGCGATGTGAGCACTTCAACAAAATGTTTACTCAACTACTACCCCCCCCCCCCCCCCCCCCCCGTAAAAAAATGCATAGGTCTAGATCTACGATCTCCCTTGAAGTTGAAGCAGTCCCCCAAAGTTGACCGAGTTCATTATGCAGTTTTTCACATTCACAATATTCATTAATCAATCATTTCCATCGACAACAGATTTAAGCAAAGAATTTTCAATAAGTCACTTGATTACTTAAAGAACTACTACGATCTAGCAATAGCTGCCCAGTACACGCATTGGCTGTTTGGTCTCATTCATTTAATTTCATGCAAACTCTCCCAAAGCCAAGCACAGCACAGCCAGCAGGCCAGTGCGTCTCAAGTGGGCGAGATTCAGCTTCAGCGAGGTACGGCCGCTCTTACAAAGACACACACGTACACACAGTCGAAATCCAATGCAAAGACAGTTTGATTTTGAGTTTGTCACGCCAGACATGATCGAGAAATCAATTGATAATGCACTCGAATTAGTTTTCTTACCTCATTATTGAAATGCTTTACGGCTTCCATCTTGACAGATTTATCCAATTCTAAAACTTTACAGCCATAACATACATAAAATCAAATTATTCCTTCTAATCATTGTTCGTGTTCAGACCGGCTTTTCACACATGTTCGTCCATTTTTGTTATCTGCTACATTATGGGTGATAAAAACAAATTCGACCCAAGGACAAAACGACCCACAAGTAAACTCGCTAACGTAAGTAGATTACTCGGTCTTCTCGATTTTTTCATCAAAGTCTGTCTTTTCTTTTTTTATTTTGTTCGTACCTTATGTTTTCTTTCTTACTTACTTTCTTCCTTTCTTCTTCTCTTTCTATTTTCCTTTCTTCCTTCCTTGTTTAATTTTTCTTTGATTTATTTTCGTTTCTTTCTCCTTCCTCTATTTCTTCTTCTACTTCTTCTTCTTCTTCTTCTTCTTCTTCTTCTTCTTCTTCTTCTTCTTCTTCTTCTTCTTCTTCTTCTTCTTCTTCTTCTCATTATTCTTATTGTTCTTATTATTCTTATTATTCTTATTATTCTTATTATTATTATTATTATTATTATTATTATTATTATTATTATTATTATTATTATTATTATTATTATTATTATTATTCCTCTTCTTCTTCTTCTTCGGCATACTTTTTTATCATTAATTGTTTTTAATTTACTATTTTTGAAAGAAGATAGGGCTATACTAGTTTTGCTATGGCATACCAAGATCATGCTTCTAAATTCGCTTTCATGGCATGTGAATTATATTGCTGTAGTTTAATCATAAACTAAAGAAAATCCCCAAAAGTCATGACGTTTTGAAATCTATTCATCGATTTATCTTCTATCTTGTCGGAAGAATGAATACCTGTCGAATATGAGTTTTTATTGTTAACCTATAGGCTCCTTTTCCTTCTTCTTGCCTGTTAGGAAACTCTCGACTATAACATCGTCGTTAAGGCGATTTTCTTCTCAATTTATTTCCTTATTTTCCCTTTCATTAAATTCTTTACTAGGTAGAGGTGTCGTTGTGTATAGTGAATACGTCACCGGACTGTGTATCACAATAATTATAGTTCGCGGTTCTGCCACGACACTAAAATAATATCCTTTCAGGCAAGACATCAATCATAAATATTTACCACTCTCCATCCGGGTGTATAATCATATGGGTACCTTGCAATATTGCTGTGGTAATTTAGTTTCAAGACCAGCAGGAAAACGCGGGAGTACTGCTGATGTGGCTAGCCTGAGTATGCAAATTATTGTTGTTATACTAACTATTTTATTTTATTTTATTTTATTTATATTTAATCTTCACTTTATCTACTCTTATATCCTAGCTATCATCTCCTCTCCTCTAGATTGACCTTCTCTATCTTCCTCTCTCCTCTTCCCCTCTCCTCTCCTCTCCTATATAGCCCTATCTTCGATCCTCTCTCCTTTTCTCCTCTCCTCTCCTCAGTCTCCTAGCTCGCGTCTCCTATATAGGCCTCCTCTATCTCCCAGAGGCGGCCCTCCCGGGGGGGGGGGGGGGCAGGGGGGGCACAGTGCCCCCACTTTTTCAGATACCCCAAAAGTGCCCCTTTTATTTTGTAAGAAGTGCCCCTTTTACATAGGAAAGGTGCCCCTTTTACTTTGACAAGTGCCCCTATTACTTAATTAAAGTGCCCCTTCCCCCTTTTCACCTCTGACGAGTGCCCTTTTTATTTTTGACATGTGCCCCTTTTCCTTCGACATGTTCCCATTTTCCTTTGCAATAAGTGTCCATTTTCCATTCTCATAAATCTTGAAATTATCTTGAATAAGTGCCCCTTTTAATCTCTAGTAAGTGCCTCTTTTCAGGTACGAGAAGTGCCCCTCTTCACTTTTAATAAGTGCCCCCTTCACCTCTGATAATTGCCCTATTCAAACTGAGAGGTGCTCCTTTTACTTTGACAACTTCCCCTTTTTTTCCTTTGTAAGAAGTGCCCCTTCTCCTTTTAATAACTACCCCTTGTTTAAACTCGGATAAGCACACCTTTCATTTTAACATGTGCCCCTCTTATTTTCTAATAAGTGCCCCTTTTCCTTATGATAAGTGCCCCCATTAAAAAGAGAGAGCTCCTTCCCCTTCTCATAACTGCCCCTTTTAACAATCTGAACGGTGCCCCCTTTTCATTCAACAAATGCACATTTTCCTTTATTATAAGTGCCCCTTTTAATATCTGGTCAGTGCCCCTTTTCAACTCTGATAATTCCCCTTTTAATAATGATACGTGCCCCTTTTCCTTTCTAATAATACCAATGTCTAAAAAATTGTATATTTTTGCCTTGAGATTTCCCATTGTAGGTGCCCTTTTTTCCAGAAAGTGCCCTTTTTGTTGGTGCCCCCCCCCCCCCCACTTTGGAAGTCGCTCGGCCACCCCTGCTATCTCCTCTCTCCTCTCCCCGGTCTCCTCTCTTCACATTTTCCCTCCTTCTGTTCTTTAATTGACTTACAATATACAACAAAATACTATAACTGCTTCAGCAGTCAAACAAACTCAATGCTATACGCACCTCTATCGTGGTCTCGTCATATATTTCGAAGTCTTACAGAAGTGGAAATAATTAAACAACAAATTATTTCAATCTGGACAGCAGAAATCCAGATTTACACCAAAATTGTTTAATTTTCAGGTTCTGGGTTTCTCTTTTACTTTTCTTCAAGGCTTTGTGATATACACCAGTAGCCAGAATCAATTACAAATTTATTGCTCATTAAAATAATCAATAATACACATGAATCGTTAAAGATAAACTTTAGTACTGGTAATGCGATTGCATTGTGAAAGATAAGGTGTGGAAAGGATCAGAAACAGTATGTAAGTATTGGTGTGCACTGCAAGGTTCTGGAGTCATCAAAATCATAATAAATTTGACCGAGTCTTGGTAAAGTAACAAGCACTCACATAGAAAGCTATATATGGGACAACACACATGGTGTCGGGGCTAGTACTACCTTGATTTCCTTGTCTTTCTATGCTCATTACTCAGCCAGTATACATTTTCTTCCAAAATTGTTTGGCACATGTCATTTATTTGTAATCTTGAACATTCAGTGTAAGTTTCGTTTGATTCTGTGAGAATCAATTTTTTTTTTTACCAGTACTGGAGTTTATCTTTAATGCATTAAAGAAGCCACAAATAATAAAACAGGCATTCAATCAATTTGTTTTGTTAATTTTATTTTCAATTAGTAAAGCAAGACATTCAGTATTTAAAAAAATGCTTAGTACAAATAACATGATAATTTCAGAAATTCGAACATAAAAAGAAAATTACAAGACATTATGACTCTTATTATTATAGCAACATTGATGGGAAATGAAATATGCTACTTTAATTTTATTAACTGAGCGCTAAATGGTATAAGCGTTATACCAAACAACAGAAAACGAAAACTAAATGGTATAAGCCCCCCCCCCCCCCCCAAAAAAAAAATAAAAAATAAAAAAAAATAAAAAAATCCAAGATCGGTTGAACTTTTTAGACCCCTCCCCGCGACGTTGATCAATGACATGTATGTGCCCCCCTCCCCCAAACATCAAACTCTGGCTACGGCCCTGCATATAATACAACGAGTTTAATTTTCTAGAGTATACAGAGTCAATAAACAATTATAGGCCATAATTCTAATGGTGACACAGGTTTAGCATATAGCATAAGCATTTGTTACGAATGAAATATAACAAGTCATGAAGATACAAATGCAATAACGATGGTGACTATAACTTAAAAAGATATATCAATATCTGTCTCCGAAGTATTCTGACTGCGTCGAGTCCAAAACAAAGCCCTTTTAGAATGAGCAAACCCTCTATAAACTGTGAGTTAGTCCATCTTGAGTCTTTGACCAAATAATACAAAATAATAAATAACATAAAGTACATCATAACTTTTACTCAGTAGTGGAGAGTGGGTCGTTCTGGCAGGAGTGATGTTGTGATTAAAAAGACCATGAACACCGGTGCGTCATGAACCTACCTGGAAGTTGTAAGGGTTTTGACAAAAGTGTGAAGTTTAAACTTCCTGTGTATTTCCTGTAAAGGCGTATATTTGATAAGTTATTGATGATAAGGAATGTTGCATGGTCTTATCATTACATAAAATCGACTTTTGTTAGGAAATGTGTCTCCCAACAAATTTGTTGAAATAAAGTAATAAACTTTTTATTTCAATTTAAACTATACTTATAATGAAATTCAATTAATTCGATTTAACAACTATAACAATTCTCTTCTATCATTAAAAAGTATAAATAGGCCTACACTAAATTATCAAATATTTTTAATTAATCGTGATTTTGCAATATATATGAGATGAAATCATTATACAACTATTTAATAGGCCCTATTAATTATGTTCAATTGAATTTATTATCGCACATAAATCAATCCGAACTGTAAATTTAGATTAGCAAGCAATGAACAAATAATTTTTGTTTTGGAACTAAAAGAACAAATATTATTCCACTAGTGAACCTAGAGTTAAAAACTGAATGTTTATGTAAATAATAAAGTATAATGTTGCTTATCAACGTTCTGTTATATAAAATGTAATTTTCATAATAATATCTGTAATGTTCTCTCGGTAAATGTGTTAACTTATTGTAGGCGTTCCCAAATCAAGCTATGCTTTCCGGGTTTTTGCCTCCTTCCGTATATCTGAATTATTTACTGTATACTCTTTGTTGAAAAAATTGTATATCATTTATATATACATTGTGTTTCATATTTTACTGTTGAGAAGGAAATAAATGTTAATAAATACAAATACAAAATACCAGTACTGTCTAGTCAGATAAACATGTGTTAGTAAAAGTATGATCTAAATAATAGCCTTATTCAATGACACCGTAGAAATCTATCTCTCAAGCCGTGGGTGCCCTCATACGCAGGCACGTAGCCAGAGTTTGATGGTTGTTTTTTTTTTGGGGGGGGGGGCACATACATGTAATCGATCGAGGTAAAAAAAAAAAAAGGGGTCTAAAAAAGTTCAACCGATCTTGGAAATTTGGGGGGGGGGCACATGCCCCCGTGCCCCCCGTGGCTACGTGCCTGCTCATACGGGGAAGATGTCGATCAATATGTATGTGTACTTATCTATCTCACTTCCAATTCTGAACCATATAAAACCCACAATATTAAAGCACTAACAAAATAATCAGATATGAGTTTCACTCCACTTTGCTCGGGTGTTATTGTTTTTAATCATTTTATTTGTTTTCGTAGGCCTATTATTCACAAAGCGTTGAAATACTTAGACAGTGGAGCGAACAAGTATATATCCAATGCCATTCTCACTATAATTTTGTTTTGCTTATGATGTTAACCAAAAATTATCAAGATAAAAAAAATAATGTGTTGTTGTTTTACATTGCTGTATAGCATTTTATTTTATTATAATAGTACAGCAGGTTTAGTTTAGAAAAATAAACATAACATGAGTCCGCATATCAAGTCTGTAAGTTGCGTCTTCATATCATTTTCATTGATGCCTATTAATTTTCTCATAAGAAAAATCACCCTTATTTCACTTGATCCAGCCAAATGTTTCTTGTTCATGTCAAATTGGATGCATGTACGAAGTTCATTAATTATTAGAATTATATAATCAATAAGAAATCATTCCGTACACTTGCATTTTTTTTTCTTCCAGTTTTAAAGATATATCACTGTATTCCTTGGAGAATAAAACGAACTTTCACTGCCACACGTAGGCTACATGATGTTGCCTTCTACAGGCCTATAGGAGAAGTTCTTATAATAGGTGGTGACATTCACATATGTGTTCATTGTACTAAGTCAAGTAGCAATCAAGATGCAGTCGTCAGTAGATCGCCTGTTGTATCCATCATCTTCTAGGAGTTTCCTTCAGGTTCAAACAGGATGTCATAGATGTCGCGTAGAAGAAAAAAAAAGTTTCTTTTGGAGCATCTTAATTATTTATGTGGACTAGGTTGAAAAGTGCGGAATTGTAGAAAATCTGTCAAGATCCATCTTTATCAAACAGCAAGCACTTCCTCATTAAAGTTGATGATGTTGTTTGCATCCCTAATGGTGAAAAGATTAAGAGCGCCATCTATAATTAACTCTCAACAACAACAAAGAATTTCGCATGTATTATCGGAAATCCCCATTCTCTTGTCTTCGCTGTGATGACGGAACATCTTGTGATTTGCCTGGTTTTTAGACAAATCGGGCGTATTTATTCGAAAGTTTACGGCTCATGAATCTGAAATGGCTCGTCTCGTAACACAGATGAGCTTTAAAGAGGAGGTTGAATTCAACGATATAGACTTTGAGAAGGTATGACGTCAAATATCGGTACCATATTGATATGTACAAATTCAATGGGCGGGGACTGACTGTAGTCCGGTAGTATTGGGATCTGTGTAGGTCTACTGTAATAGTGGAGCTAGTCAGTAGTTTCGCAGCGGAGCTCCAGATCCTACACCGGGAAACAATTCAAACATCGGCATTGGTCTTATTTTTTGGAAATCTAAAAAATTAGTTATTAAAATTTAGACGTATAAAATTTAAACGTTACAAAGTTTTTCGACTCCTCTGGGCATCCGGTCAACCACTTGAAATTTTAATTTGAACTTTGTTTGAAGATGTCTTTGATGGAAAAAAAGGGTGATTCCTTGTCCTATTCCTAAACCAATTCATCCATGTTGTATGTCGTTGATTCAACTTCGAAGAGAAAGTATGTGTATTCATGAGTAATGTGCTGCACTGCTACCAAGTGTGCGTACTTTCTCTTTGCTTTGTTGAATCGGCGATATAGAGACCGGCGCCTAGTACTCATTTTTCCCGTCTTACCACTACCAGGCGCCAAAAGTCAGGGACTAGTAGAGTGAGATGATTTTTCCTTTGTTATTTTGAGATGAATGATTCTCTAAACTCTGGAATTTGCCCGCTAATCCGATTACTACAGTTATTTATTATATAGAATTTGATTCTTTTCCCAGGTTGTCGGCAAAGGAGCGTTTGGAGTGGTGAGTAAAGCATCATGGCGAGGTATGAACGTGGCTGTCAAGATGATTGAGTCAGAAGAGGAGATCAAAGCCTTCAGAGTTGAGGTAAGTCATATATTTATTTTGTTTTGTGTTGTTGAATTATTTGGACTGGTCACTCTTTATATCTGTCCACCATTCATTACCACAAACTATTTCACTGGGGTCTACAGCTTTACAAGCTTGCTTTCATGTGGGTCCCATCATATTTCTCTCAGTTAATTCAGTACTCTATATTGACCATTTATCTTTATGTTATTTATTATGTATTATTGATTGTTATTGTATCACACAAAACACAACTTGTATTTTACTTTGGAATGTATACCGGTATGTAACATGAGAAATATAAAAAATAAATGAAATTAAAATATTGTTATGCCATGACTTAAAATCTGCAAGATTTATTTGAAACAACAATTGGTATTATTTTATTTGAATACCTGGGATAGCCTCATCAGTATTGGTAGTGCTCTTGGACAAAGCTCTTCTTGAAGGCCCTGCAATTAATATTACCGACCCCGGCATTACCAGGTATCCATTTAATACACCTGGGTTAAGAGGGACAAATGTGGTAAAAACACTTTGTCCAATAATGTAAGCTCCAAGCAAAGATTGAGCCCAGGGGGGTGTTTCACAAAGATCCTTAGTTGAACTTATCTCTAAGTTCGACTTAAAATTATGGAAAGCCGTTAACTTCTTTGAAAATATTTTGTAAAAGTTATTGTAAAAGGCATAAAAATGTTGAATCAATTCATTCATATTTTCTATCATCAAGAAGATTTCATGTTCTTGATGTGGAATTTATAAAATGTCTTAAATACTTGAACTTCTGCTTTTGAATATATTTCATTTTAAGGCTGCAAATGGCTCTCCATAATTTTTAAGTCCAACTTAGTGTTAAGTTCTACTTAAAACTTTGTAGAACACCCCACAGGACTAGTATTCAATTCGATACTTAGATTGGATGGGATGGGATGAATGTCTTGAAATTATACAAGCTCGCATAAAACTTGCAAAGTATATATAATGATTTGATTATATGAAATATAAACATCTATAAAAGTCAATGAATTTGTTATTTCAGGTGATGCAGCTGTCCAGGGTAGATCATCCCAACATCGTGAAGCTCTATGGGGCTTGCACCACCCAACCGGTATGCCTAGTCATGGAGTTTGCCGAGGGCGGGTCTCTGTACAATGTCCTACATAGCAGCCAGCCCCAACCCATCTACAAGGCTGCCCATGCTATGAGCTGGGCCCTACAGTGCGCCAAGGGAGTGGACTACCTGCACAGTATGAAACCAAAGAAACTTATTCACAGGGATCTCAAACCAGCAAAGTAAGATCCTTTCTATTGAGTTCTTCTACCTGTCACTTACCTTTATTATATTATCCAGTGTGTCTCACTTCATTTTATCCCCACAAACCCTAAAAATGTTCTTCTTCTTGCAGCAGAACATTGAAATTTTCAATTAGATCACCTTATGTAAATGTATCCGATAATGGTCAGTTAAATGGCAAAAAAATAAAAACTTTCTAATATGACGACGTTGAGAATTTGCATGGATATGTATCAATAAAAAGATAAATCACAGAGTTAACAATATGTATTTGATCAGCTCCAACTTTTTCTTTGTTGGATTTTCCTCAAACTTCGCTAATATGTTTATCTCTTCCCTCTCCCCTCCTCCTTCTCTCTCTATCTCTCTCTCTCTCTCTCTCTCTCTCTCTTTGATTTTAAAAACAAACAAATTAGTATTAAGGTTGACTTCCATTTTAACTCTTTAAGTTAATATTTTCTGCAGACCTTTATCTAGGATATCATGTACTTTTCTACATTTGTATTGTTATAATCTGTAAGCAATTGAAAATATCTTTCTGTAGGTGTTTTTCTAAATGTCTTTTAACACAATAATACATTTTTTGTTACCGTAGTTATCAGTTCCATTAACTTAGATTTCCTTAATTCACCCTTCTAACCTCCATCATCATTCATATCAACATCATTTGTATTCTCTCTTTCTAGTTTGTTGCTGATGTCGGGTGGCACGGTGCTGAAGATCTGTGACTTTGGGACGGCATGTGATTTCCAGACCTACATGACCAATAACAAAGGCAGTGCTGCATGGATGGCTCCAGAGGTGTTTGAAGGTCAGGTCAAACTTTGCTTTCAAAAACATTTTAAGGACACATTCCTGTTGTGCTAGTTAGAATATTTACAGGAATATACAGCCTGTGTCACTAGAGCGCTTTCGCAAATACGACGGAAGGCTAGGACGACAGTAACGAGAGCGAAAAAACAATCTGCATTTGCGCGAATCAGAATTTTCTCCGTCTTGTTGATTTTCTTGACCGTACGCGGCCATGATAGTTCCCTAAACACGGCAGAAGAGCTGCATTGCCGTAATTCTCCCGTCATCTTTACTCCTGTCGTGTTTACGAAAGCGCTCTACTAATGTGTGCGTGGTCATGGATTACATGTACATTTTTTCAGGAAATATTCCGCGGAGAGGTTACTTTCAGACTAATCTTGCATTTCCTGACAGTCTGGACTGAATTTGCCTTATTTTTCATTTTGCGTGATACAAATTAACATAAACATTGAATAAAATATAAATTTTGTTGTCATGATTTCTTCATCTTCCAGTGGAACAAGTAATTGATTGAAGATTTTTTTTTTCTTTAATTTGAAAATTCTGCACTGCAGGAAGGACGTACAGTGAGAAGTGCGATATCTTCAGCTGGGGAGTCATTCTTTGGGAGGTTATATCAAGAAGAAAACCCTTTGATGATATAGGTGGCCCAGCTTTCCGTATCATGTGGGCTGTGCATAATGGTAAGTCCCTCACATAGGATGTAAAATACACAGAAATAAGGTGTGAAATAAAAATTTAAAAAATTGATGATTTAATAGCATCAGCCTTCTGTATTGTGTGGGCTGTACATAATGGTAAGTCCCTCACATAGGATGTAAAACACACAGAAGTAAGGTGTAAAAAGAAGAAAAAAAGATTGATGATTTAATAGCATTAGCATTGTGTTAAAGTAAAATTATCTAAAGGTAGATATCTCAGTTTTATAGAGGTGTGTTTGATAACAAAACGAAATTGCACTAACTGCTTTTTGATTCCTGTCCAGAACTGTTGTCCAGAATCTTTGCTCTACAATGACATAATGCTACCTAAAGAAATATGTTAACTTGAAATATTTCTGCACCATTTAATTCTAGTTCTGCATCATGTACTTACTTTAAATTAAATTTAAAACTTGTAACTTTACAATTACAATGTTACCACTTTTTGAAATTTTGATTGCATTTTTTCTCTTTTCTTTTCAGGCCGTAGACCACCCTTAATCAGAAATATACCAAAGCCTTTGGATAAGTTAATGACAAGGTGAGCATAGCTTTATATATATTGTAGATTTATATGAACTATAAACACAGTAAATTCTTGATTACAATAACTTTTCATTTCTGTAAATAGATGGAGACTCAATGATATAGTCCTATCAGTATTGTTGGGGGGTATTGTCCAGATATGAAGTCAAGAGCACTATAAGTGTATGTCCCTCTTTATAAGTCGGCTTATTGCTTACAAATAACCAGTTTATTACGAGCTATTAATTACGAGGAAGATGTACAAACAGTAAGTCATGAAAGTGAATATTTGCAATATGTTTTAATCAAATTTGAATATGCACATCTTTGTTATGCCTCGTTTCATTGCCATTGTGGCACCATGCCCCCCCCCCCACTCAGTGTTATTTATGGTAGGTGTATGTATGTTCCCTCCCTGTGAAAGCGCCCCCCTAAGCCCGGTGTGTAAAGTCAAAACGGACCAATTTTTTGTGTACTACGAGCCAGACTTTGTTGCATGGAAAGTACCCCTTAACCAGAGATTTTGGGAACACGAATTCGGTCCCTCTGTTCCCGGAGTGGGGGCGGGGCGGGCGGGACCGTGGTCTGAAAGAGTTGAAAAGAGAATTTGCATTTTTCAGGAAATCAATCATATTTTGACCAATTAATTATTAACCTTTGATTGTTTATTGCAGGTGTTGGTCTCAGGAATCCACCATGAGGCCGTCAATGCACGAAGTCGTCAGTATCATGTCAAACCTTATGTTGGTAAGTCAAATATGTCACTGAGTTTTACAAGGTTAAATTCCAACGGCATTTGAAAGATAATACTAGTTTAGAACTTCCCTCAAAATGTCTTAAAGTGGGAAATAATGACCATTAGTTATCGAATCGACTTTAGTGCTTGCAATCACTAAATTAATAGTCTGACTAATGCTCATGTACCCTTTACAGCTCATTTTATGTACGTTATTACCAAAGAAAAAAAAAGAAGTCAGTCAGTCATTTGATAGTGTCTGACAGTGAAGTCTAGCAAGTAAACAGGTTTCCTTGCATAATTTGAATATGAGGACTCTGCTAACGTTTAAGTTTCGCAGATAGGACACATGAGACAAGTTCATAATTCCTGCAAAGTTCTACAGAATTTGATGTTGGCTGCAAATTGGACATAGTACCTTTAAGAAAGTGTTGAAAACATTAAATGACTTTATGATTACAGAAGGCTTTGTACCAAACATTTGCCTGGGGTTATCAATTAGTTACTATTTTACTTTTTTCAGCTGTGTCTCATGACAAATCAATTACATGTATATGCAAAAGCTATACTCCTTTCTTGATTATATTTGTGATGTTGTATATTCTTTACTGAACAGCTGACGTTAGGGGAAGTGCAAATGAGGGCTATACTGTAAACGCTATTATTTTTCGCGTGATCAACTTTTCGCGCTGAGCAACCCCAAATCATATTTCCTGGTTCTTAAATTCGCGTTGCATGTATTTCAGCCTGTTCAAAACACGCATAAGAAGTCTTGCTTATATTTTTCGCGAGTTCTAAAATTTGTGCTTGCCGATCTTAGCGTGAAATCCGTGAAAATTAATGTACCGCGAATATTTCTACTTTTTCAGTAAGTGTAAGTTATATATGTTAACGCCTTGGAACTAACCACAGAGAATATTTGTCTATCGTTTTCTTGAAAAGGTTTTTAAAGGAGCTGACCAACCTCTTGTGTATCCTCAGGTCTCAGAGGAAGGTAAGGAAATCTTAAGTCTTTGAATACCGCTGTTGCGTTTCTTGTTACAGAGACCAATGGAGATGGGTGTTATAAGAAAGGCATGTCCTATTGAATGGGTTAAAACCTAAGATTAACACACAGAAGACAGGAAGCAATTATCTTCATGAAATCCTCTAGAAAGTGGAGACTTGTACATTTGATACTTGGAGGTATTTACTTAATCCAAGTGTATCACTTTATGTCACAGCTTCTGGAACACTTGTACATTTAGAATAGTGCAAATTGCAAATCTGTTTAGATTATTATCCATCTTCATAATTAATAGTATGCATGTTGCAACCATCCTTTGCTATTGTGGGGACTTCAAACAAAAGCCTAAAAGAAAACTTTTGTGTAACATCCTACAAAATACATAGATATTATAAATCATTTTGCCGGAGAGATCCTTAATTTTTGTTGTTGAAAGTTAGTTTAGATGCTGCTTGTAAGTATCGGCTTGCATGGGGATATAGATATACAGTAGGCTTGCAGATGCACCATGTGAGAGAGAGGGAGGATTGAGGAGTCCTTAAAAGGACTCTTGGTTATCATTCTTGAGGGTGTGTAGTCCTGAAAAGGACTGTTGGTTTGTACCTCTTGAAAAGTTAGTTTGTACCTCTAGGATAGTTGTGTAATGACAATTCTGTGTGTACCAAAAACTATGTGATCCAAAATTCTTTATGAAAATGAACAAACTGATTGAATATGTCACTTAAGGATAACTCTTGTATAATCACATGCTTTTGTAAATATCTTCTGTTTATCCAGATACCCTTATTTATATACAAACCTATTAACTGGGACCTGCATAATGCAAGCTTTGCTTATCAGTAGATCCCCCACTTTATTTAGCTTTTTGCAATGTATTTATCATACTTATGTTTGTATCTTTTGTTATAATTATTACCATGTACATTATGTTTTCTATATTGTATGTTTAGCTATAATTATTACCATGTTCATTATGTTCAATTATGTTATCGTCGATAAAGTGGAAATAAATAAACTTGAAACTTGAATTATTCAGAGGAAGGTGCTGGCAGAGGAATGGCAGACAGATTGGCGGAACAGACGGCTGATATGAGTATCTCAAGTAACTCCGGGAGCACTATCAGCGACACCGTCATACACTCCTCCAGTAGTCATAGCAACGGTCCACAAGATCCACAGAAGGTAAGATTATATAATAATAAATTTCTAAGCTCTTTGGAAGCGCATAGAGACGTTATTTCATAATGTATTATGCGCTATACAAGATCTGAACTATTATTATTATTATTATTATTATTATTATTATACTTCTTTCACTTTGGGTGTCGGTCTTAGTGTCTTTTGCAATGAAAAGGTCACTTTCAATTCAGGATAGAATACAAGATACAAAAATCATACAAATGCAAATGAAATTATGATTAATGATAATCAAGTTACTGCTACTACTACCAATACTATAATAATAATGATAATGATAAGAAGAAGAAGAAAAATAAGGAGGAGGAGGAGTATTAGTATTTCTTAATCTGTTCTTGGAGTTACTGACTTACTGACTATTAAAAATGATGTCATCCTAGTAATAGTTTTGGTCATATTATATTTTGCCCATTCAAACTACACATCTATTGCATGAGGATCCATTCAAAATCTATTCACTCCTAATAGGGACTGTGAAAGGATTAAAGCCCCACTGTCCTACTTGTAGCTGCTTGCTCCCTCTATATAGAAAACTTCCCCAATCAGTGCCTGTTGGTCCCCCATGATCCTCTATTTCTTATGTTATTTGAGAGCTGAGTTGATGAGCCACCTGTCAGTGACCTCACTGTGTGGTCTAATCCCTCCTGGCCAAACTAGTGCAGATAAGCTTTAAAGGCCACAAAAAATACTTTTTATCCCATCCGCTTGCTTGATGATAATGATCATGTTCCCCATCTTCCATTAGATTGAACCTCATGATGCCTTTAGTGATCTTCCTTCTGTTCAAGTTCTAAGGACTGTATTGTCAGTGGTTTAAAGAACATTGTTTGTTGAGAGCCAGAAGGGCATTAAGTCTGTGTTAAAGTATATGAGTTAATGCTCTACTGGGGAGTGTTTCACAAAGACTAAGATCGACTTTAAATTGGACTTAACTAGGCTGTTCATGCCACTGTTTGCTCTCACTATTTACAGGTATTGGTCTCTCAAGAGACCTACAAATCGTGGTCACAAATCTACAGAATTCACCTTTTTTGATAGTTCATTATTGACGGAAAATATATTATCTTAAGATCATAATTGAGAGACCAATGGTAAGAACAACAAGTGGCATGAACAGCTTGCCATAGTTAAGTCCAACTTAAAGTTGATCTTAGTCTTATCTTTGTGAAACACTCCCCTGTTTCTGAAGTGATGGTATTAGATGCTTTTATCTCATACTTGATGATGATGTTAATGTTTCCCTATGAATATGTCAGATTGAACCTCATGCTGCATTCAGTGATTCTTCACCGGTCCATTCAAGCGCTAAGGACCAGCAGAAACGCCATTCCGTGGACCTTCTAGACCTGAGAGTCGACAATGATAACAGTGCAAGTAAGTCAAGCTTCCTGTCTTCTAAATCTCATATGCCTGGGTGATTGATCAAAGCAAGCTTAAAGAGAAGGTTGAGTTCTGGTCAGGCGATTGCATTGTGTAAGAAACGGTGTGGAATCGATCAGAAAAGGTTGATCCTATCATGTAGCATATAAGTATTGGTGTGTACTGCGAGGTTCTGGGATCATCAAAATGATAAGAAATTTGTTCCAGTATTTGTAAAGTTACAAGCACTGTACACAGAAAGATGTATATGGGACTACACAAATATGTGACATAAAAATCCATACCGATTGTTATGCTGTTACATGCCATATTTAGGATATTAAGGCATTTGAAGAGCCATGCTTTTCAGGGAACATTTTTTGTCTGATGTTCTTCCACACTTGCATAATAACAATGATAACGCTCACAAATTATTTGTCACCTCTTCCCAGAACTCAACCTTCTCTTTAAAGAGAAGGTTGAGTTTTGGGAAAGATGAAGGATAATTTGTGAGCTTTTCCAATCTTTTTATGTTAGTGTTGAAAAGTGTTATTAAAGAAATATTTTCTGGAAAGGATGGCTATTAGTGTGGAAGCTAGAGTATCATTGAAAATAAATGTCCCCTGGAAAGAATGGCTCTTGTTATGCCCCTCATATTTGAATTATGACAAGTAACAACTAAAGGTTGTGGACCACTCTTGCATGCCACATGTGAGTATAGTCCCACGTACACATTTCTGTGTACAGTACATGTGACTTTTAGCAAGACTGGGCCAATTTCCTATTATGTTGATGATTCCAAAATCTCACAGTTCACACCAAAACTAATGTGCTTCAAGATCAGGCTTCCACAGATACTTCCCAACGTAATCACATGACCAGAACTCAACTTATCTGTAAATCTAACCACTGAGTATGACCAGATGCGTGAAGAAATTTTGAGAGGATTAGTTATTCAAATCTAAATTCTTTTTGATGAAGATCTCATATTGTCATATGAATATAAAATTCATATTGTTGGCTATTGAGGAAGAGGAGGAGGACAGCTCCAAAAAAAAAAGAGAAAAGAAAAAAAGATTTCCTGATTAGCTTATAAATTACTGACAGACAGACAACTAGTCTGACATGTACATGTATGTGCAGTAACGTACTATTTATTCTGACTAATATTCTGAAACCAGAATACATCAATATGGAACAACAGTATTCAGCATTTTATGTTGACATCTGCTGGTCTTTTTATTACAGTTTGAAAAACCCTAAGAAATTGCAATTCACAGCCTTGAAAATTGAGAACTAAAAGTCTTGGTTTCACAACTTACATAATTGATATCAGTTTATGGAGTTTAGAATATTTATTGATTCTTATGGAGCTCTGTACACACCTCAAAATTGCAATTCCTTTCAAAATATTCTAATAAGTTTTTCAGTTTCTCAGCCCAAAACTTGACTAAATGCAAATTGAAAAATTCAATCTCTGATGAAAGGGAAGGTCTTTGCAGTGTATGGTGTTCATTTTCAAGCTTTCTCTGAAAACTTTTAAAGCAGGGCCATCTTTGGAAACAAGAAACAGATAATTATGCTATCATTGCAAACTATATATTTCCTAACTAATTGTATTCCTTCATTTTATATACATGAAAACAAAAGAAATAATTGGAAATAAAATGCAATTCATTTGCGGTTATGGGCGTTTGGTCATATGGGATACATGCAGTGATACATTTCTAGTCATAAAGCTATACTTATCGGTAGTAAATATCTGACGATACTCTTAAATCCTGTGCTGATACTTTTTTTAAATGTGCAGCACTGTTGAATAAGTCAATTGATTGATGGCAACTTTAAATGCTAGTTCTGTCAATCCTCTCATTGAAACAATTTGAACTTATTAGTAAGGGAGTTATTAGTCACTTTGTTATCATGCTACGTAATTGTAGATCTACCGAGAGACTTAGCCTGATGATGTTATTTATGTTAAAACATAGATTAACTCATACTTACTTCATTGCACGGAACTAATATGTCAAGATACTTTTCAACTTTTTAAAATACATGTTGAGAAATTAGTCCGAAAGAGAATGGAAGCTAGAGTGTAGGTTGTGACAATGAATGACATTCCTTGAAATCAATCCTTTATTTACGATAATATACATGATTTAAAGATTTATTTGTAAGTTGCAGTATTAACCAATTCTTATTCTTACTGAATACTATACTGAAATAGTCATTAAATCTTTTACTGAAATCCAACAATTTCTTCAGGGACCTATTTTCCTTACATTCTAAGCCAAATTAAGAACAATTTTTTTTACTTTTACAAGTATTTCAAAATGTTTAATAATATATTTGATTCCTAGTGCTGCAGAATGGTGTATAAATTGGACCTTATGAATTGTCAACATATCATGTTCTGCCTTGTTGTATTGATGTTAAGTGTAGATAAAAGGATTTTTGTTCAGAGATTGTTGATGTTAATTATTTGTCATCTTTTATCCTTGATGCACCCAAGGACTTTTTCTTCTTCGAAGGTTCCCCAGAATAATGAAGTGTAAGAATTAAATAGGGATATGTAAAGGATAAGGAACCTTAAGACCGAATTGAATTGAATTGAATTGAAAAAAATCGACTGAAGATGTGTAGTAATGAGCTTTAGGACATGTAAGAAGATGGGGAGAAAAGGCATACATTTTTTTATCTAAAACTGAGAATAAGCTCATGTCAGAACCAGAACAATAAGAATAAGGCATAATATGAAATCAGAGATTATTAGAAAATGTTATTATCACAAGGACGAAAAAACATTAAGGCATATTTAAGGGCGTTTTTATTTTACATGTTAAAATATGGGGATGTAAAAATGATGGCATTAAAAAGTGAGGGCGCTTAGAAAACAGTGAGGAAGAGTAACTCTAAAATTTTAATATACATGTATTCTGGAAGGAACAAATTTATATACAAAACACTGTCATTATCTGAAATAATGTATAGCTCATTCTTTAATTGAATCACATTGCATTTTGCAATTTGCATTGTATGCAGTTTTAAAATCAAGGCAATGTGAAACTGTTCATTAGATATTACTTCACAAATGCAAAACTATTCTATAAAAGTAACATTGCATCCCCCCCCCCCCCCAATTAAAAAGACGAAGAAGAGCTGTTTTGCGTTGATAACATAGATCAGATTAATTTTTGTATTATTATAGCCAAGAGAGTAATATAAAATATGAAAATATGATTTGAATATTCTTGTGTTAAATGCTCCGTTACATGAAGCTCATCAGTGCCACCCAAAAAGATGTTGTACACTTCCCCCATGTACATGTAGCTTTATCTTCCCAAGAATTGACCATACATACATGTACACAGTATGTAACATGCAACCATTTGTATTGTTAAAACACATTTGAGTAATAAATGTGCTTGATATTATTGTTGTGCTACCCTCGTGTGCTTGACTTGACCAAAATAAAAGGTTAACTCGCACCTATGTACGATGCATGGTTTAAAGCATCACTGTGTTATATGAAGTAGTTCAATATTTCAGCATTTTTCTTCCATGTTTTTTTTAAGAATTTTTTTTAATATCCCGCTTTACATCACTTTATTTCCTCAGTCATGATATAAAAAAATTATCACTAATCCTTCTTTTTTGTGTGATTGATTGCTTTAAATGTTGTTGATTAAATTGGAAATGAGAATATCGGATATATTTAGTATAAAATGATAAGTTCTTATAATTTATATATTTATTTGTACTATTTGTTTGTTATTTTTGATTCATTTGTTAGAATTCATTTAACACCTGGATGACAAATGAAGATTTGATTTTTTTGTTTTAATTTGAAGTAAAGATGTAAGCAATTTACATGTGTAAGGATAACACTTTTCAGGGAATGAAAAAGGAGTCCACAAAAATTATTATTACTATTAATATTTTTGCATTAAACAGGGGACATCATTTTTTTCCAGGCATTTTTAGTTGCAGTGAAGATTATTGAGAAATGTTTGTACAATCCTGCATGATAGATGATCAAGAAAAGTTTTTTACCACACAAACGTACCTAACATGTACCTTTGAATGGAGGTGCTGTTTTTGAATTTGTTAGTTTTTAAAGAATTGTTTATTTGATTATTAGTTGTGTGCCAATTAACGTACTGTGTAGAATGGCTAATGATGATATGCTGTGCTGCATGCTAAGACGGTGTTTTTTTTTGGTTTCTTTTGTTTCTTCCCTTTGTGTTGTTTGTCTGTTTGTCCTGTTTGAATGTTTGTCCCATGTGTGATTGTGCATTACTCATACAGAGTCTGCCGTTAAATCCCATCGTCGGTGTAACTCCCACGGGCGAATCCTTGACTTTCCTCCCCTCCCTACCAAAGCACCGGTCTCCACCCCACCCCCTCCCACCCTCAACCCCCCATTCCTGGCCCCATCTCCCGTGACCCCCACCCCAGTCCTCTCTCCAACCACCAACAACCCTCCACCCCGTGCCACCACACCCACACCCATGTACCCCCATCAGTCTTACCCCACCACGCCCCCCATGCACCCCCCTCACCATTCCATATCCGTCCCCAATGACCTCTCTGAGCTGGACCACCCCCGTCAGAGACCCAACTCCTACCACAGCACCTCCTACCACACCCCACCGACAACCCTCGCCCAACCCCATCGCCACAGCTCCATTGAGCTACGGCAGGACATTACGCCCCTCCCCCAACATCCTTCTTATCCACCTACTACAGTGCTGGAGAGCCGTATGGGGACCAGGGAGTCCACAGGTTCCAGCACTGGACAGGGGCGCTATGACCGTAGCCAATCGCTGGAACAGAGAGTCTCGTCAAGCAGAATGAAAAGTATGCTCTATCTACCCTAGCCCAACCTATTTTGTTCAATGTATGATCAGATAGCCATATTACATTGTTACATCTGGGGGGTGTTTCACAAAGTTCCTAAGTTGAACTTATCTCTAAGTTGGACTCAACAATTATGGAAAGCCATTAGCATCTATGAAACTTTTTGATAAAAGTTCTTTTAAAAGGCATACAATGTTGATTCAAATCATTCATATTTTCTATTTTCAAGGAGATTTCATGTTCTTGATGTGGAATTTATAAAAAGTCTTAAATACCTGATTTTTCGCTTCTGGATATATTTTATTTTAATGCTACAAATGGCTCTTCATATTTTTAAAGTCCAACTTAGAGTTAATTTCGACTTAGGATCTTTGTGAAACACCCCCTGTACATGTAGAACGTAGCGTCTGTTTGGCTCCAGAAGGGCAGTAACTCTGTATGAAACCTTATGATTTTTACTTCCTTCTGGCCCTAAACAGACGATAAAGCATATATGAAATTGAAATGTACCTTTGTGTCAGTAAGGAATGAAAAAAGTACATGTATTTCACAAAATGCCAGATAATAAACATGCTGCAACTTTGTGTTCAAATGAGTTAAATGCTTGTATTTTTATTTTTTACTAATCTGCATTTACTGCTATACTGGTACACATATTATTCACATTTTTGCCCATGCTCGGCAACCAAGTTGAATTTGGGAGCAAGTTACCTTGGGCCATTAAAGTTTCATATGCTTGGGATAATCTGGCAGCCACTTTTTTTTTAGTCATCCATAGCCATATATTGCCTGTGATAGTTTTATAACACACTAATTATTCACTTCTTTCATTTTAAAATGAGCTTTAAAAAAAAATTATTGGGTGCAAAAGAGGTAATGCAACTTTGCTTCTTGACTCTCTTCACAAACTGATAATGACTATAACAGTTCAATGATTAGATATATATATATATATATATATATATATATATATATATATATATATATACTTAGATTTGGTCTATACCTCCGTACAGTGCTCAATGCTTATGGGCAGAGCAAAATATATATTGGATAAGGCAGACTAATGGAGCATGGTTGCAACTCCGAGTTTCACGCCTTGCGAGCGATCATCAGGCAACTGATAGCATGATTACTCTACAATCTACAATACGTTCAAAATAAGGAATACAATACAATACAAAACAATAAGATTTACTCATGGGTGAAGGGGCTATTGTGATTGTTCAGGTACTGCGATGGAATTTTAAACATGGGAGGGGGTATCGCAAAATAGTCTCCACCAAGGTGCTAGTACATAAATATATATATATTTAATTAAGTATAGTCTCTTTTGAAGTTGCAGAGGTAGAATTTGTTTTCGTGGCGGCATTTGGAGATGAGTTCTGGTCTTTTGTTCAGGAGTGTCTGTTTCTCGGCGTTGATGATGGCAAGCTTCTCAGTTAGGCACAGGTTGCATTTCTTCGTTTCGCTGGAGTACGCCTGGGCCTTGCTGGAGATCGACCACTCGATGGTGAATGGGGTGCTTTGGTGTTTGAGTTGCCAGATGTGTTTAGAGAGTTCTGTGCTGTTTTTGTGCTTCTCATGTCGGAAGGACTGTAGATGGTTGCCGTACCTCAGCTTGAATGGGGGCTCGGTGAGTCCAATATATTGCTTAGGGCTTTCTGGGCCGGAGACTTTTGCACTGTAGATGATACTGCCGGCCTGGCAGTTTCCTTGTAGGGGGCACACATTCTTTTTCCGGCAGTTGTAGAGTAATCATGCTAATCATGCTATCAGTTGCCTGATGATCGCTCGCAAGGCGTGAAACTCGGAGTTGCAACCATGCTCCATTAGTCTGCCTTATCCAATATATATATATATATATATATATATATATATTAATTCATGTTACTTTATATATCTTCTAAGATGCAAAAAGATTCTTTTTCAAGTTTTTTAACACAGTGTATGTGTTTTTCCTGGGTTTTTTTTTCTTCCAAGGGTCCCCTTAAGTGATCTTTTTATACAAGTTTCATTCTTTCTTTACATGATGGTTTTATATTTTGTTTGACAATTTGTTGTTTCTTCAGATGATGACTCAGATGTATCTATGGCTTACAGTACACTGGAACCCCATCTACAGGTAAACATACACAATCTCTGATTAAAGGTATAGACCAGTTCTGGTCATGCGATTGCATTGTGAAAGAAACGTTGTGGAATCAATCATAAAAGGTTGATTATCTAGCATATAAGTATTGGTGTGTACTGCAACGTTCTGGAATCATCAAAATGATCAGAAATTTGGCCCAGTCTTGGTAAAGTTACAAGCACCAGTTACAAGTTCCAGTCCGGATAGATATGATAATTTACCAAATAGTAGGCGGTTTCCCCAATGCTGGATATGTTGTTACAGCTATTTGCCATTCCAGAAGAGTTGCGTAATAATGAGGAATCTAGTGAATTGCTAGTACTAGTTTTACCCAAAAACGTTGTAAACGGTGTGTAGTGCTTGTGAAAACAAATTGATTTAATTATTTTTCCTATTTTTTTCAGCCTCTTCCACCAAACCCTAATTCCAGGGAATCACAAGATATATTTGATGAACACATGAGGGTAAGATCTACTAGTTATAATTTATTTATTTAATTTCTTTTGTGCTTTTTGTCAATAACTTTTGATGAAGAGCCACAAGTACACAATATACATGGTAGAAAGAGTGAACATTTCTACACACACCATTTGTATTTTCATAATACTTTATTGCATTGATACCCGGTATTCTATAATGGAAAATAAGCTTTTGAATCCCTAAATTGCGACATTATCAGTGCTAAGAAATTGCTCTTTTTCTTAGTAAAACAATGAAGGAAGGAAAGAAAAATAAGTGATGCCAAGTTTATTAGTATACACAAACACACAAAATGTTTACTTGAAGTAATAATAGGGTAGAGATTTTGAGTACCAATGAATTATCATACATCATAACTAGTACTTTAAATATTGTATGGACTTCATGTGTGAAATCAGTTATTGTTGATGAAATAATATGGTTGAAAAATTGAGTTGTGCCAGCGTAACATTGCTTGCAGCTTGGCTTTCAGTAACAAGGCTGTCTAGAATTGTTTCATATAACAGGAGCCTACAGGGCCTGAAGAGTTTCATACATGTAATGTTTTATTGTTTCTATTTGACTTTGTTATGTCTAGATGGCCCAAGAATTCCTTCGTGTTCAAACCGAGTTGGCTCTGCTCCATACAAGAAAGTAAGTCATCCATCACTAGTATGTAGGTTATAGTCAGTATATTTTGTTCATTAAATTTATTGTTAGAAAGAAAAAGAAAAATTATTAAGCAGCAAAGAAGTTTAAAGCATTTAGCTGTTTATTTTGTTTATTGCTGATTAATATAAATAGCTTGTGTCCTATGTCATCAAATGTATGGATTCATATTTAACTTAATTGTTCATTAGGTATTCAATTTTCATGGGTTTCTATTCTATATTTTCAGTATTTGTGAATTGTAGAAATACTTCTACCATTTTAGTTTTCCTTTCATGTTCCCTTTTTAATTCCTTTTTATCCCTCTTTCTCACTTTCTCCTTTCTTTCTCCTTCCTTTGCTTTCCTTCTCTCTTTCGTTGTTTCTCTTTCTCTTCCCACCCTCTGTATCTCTTTCATTTTTTGTCTTCCTTTTCTCCTCTTTCTTGTTGCTGTCTATATTCCTCTGTTCCTGTTACTCTATGTATCTTTCCATCTCCTCTCCCTCCCCTCTCTCCCTCCCCTCTCTCTCCCTCCCCTCTCTCTATCCCTCCCTCTCTCTCTCTCTCTCTTTCTCCCCCTCTTTCTCTCTCTCTTTCTCCCCCTCTTTCTCTCTCTCTCTCCCCTCTCTTTCTCTCTCTCTGTACCTCTCTCTTTCTCCACCTCTTTCTCTCTCTCTCTCTCTCTCTCCCCCTCTCTTTCTCTCTCTCTGTACCTCTCTCTTTCTCCCCCTCTTTCTCTCTCTCTCTCCCCCTCTCTCCCTCTCTCCCCCTCTCTCTCTCTCTCTCTCTCTGTACCTCTTGCTCTCCCTCCCTCCCTCTCTCTCTCTGACACATACCTATAGGAAAGAGTTAGCCGAAGCACTTGATCAGGACTGGAAGGACAAACAAGCCAGCTTCAAATTAATCGAGGAATACAACACTCTACAGGGAGAAAAGGTAACGTGTCTGAAACAAGGGCACATCATACCAGGGCCCCATTTCACAAAACTTGTCATCAATGACAAATGACAGGCTTTGTTATAAGCTACTGAAATCCTTGCTTCTGATTGGTTATCAGCAGATTTGTCACTGATTTTTGTCATTTGTCATTAAAAAAAGGCTCTGTGAAACAGGCCCCTGGAGTGCATATGACCCCCTCTCCCTTGAGATATTCCCCTTCCATACCTTGAGGTGACAACTGCTGTGGGCGGCAGATGTTGCGCAAGAATTTCAGTGCTGATTATTGAAGTAGCAAAAAAACGAGTTTGTACCTACAAGATATTTGATACTCAATTCAACAATAATACACCGCATTTATATTGAAAATTTAAGATATGCGATCATGTTTTATATAATTTGTTTTAAACTTGTTGGCATATTATGCATTAGAATGGGAGTGAAGATGTTACTCCCATCCCCCCTCATAATCCCTGATGAATATTGAACTTAACAACTACAGCTTACATTTTTTTTAGAATTGGTTGTAATAAATCAGTTTACCTGGTAACAATATGATCTGATAATTATTAGCCCAGGAAGTGACTGTGGAAAGAGGAATGATATAAAAGGAGAGATGGAGAGAGCGAGGGGGGAGGAGGTGAGGAGGGACAGAAATTTGAGGCAGTTAAAAGTCTGATTTTTTTTCAACGTTTTTTCTTTGTATTGTAGGAGAGCCTTGTGGAGCTTCACAAACGTAGAAGGTCTCAGCTTGACATGTTCAGACTTCAGATGCAGAGACAACAATTCAGGAGAATGTGAATGCATCGTGGTACTTCAAATCTCTTGCAGATTGGAAATAGTGGACATGTTCACACTGCTGCAATTGCAAGATTTAATCCAGCGAACAAACATATTTATTGATGTATCGTGAATGAGACGGTGTGTGCTTTTCTGGTATCGTCGAATGAACCCTGCAACCTCTTAAGATGGGTCTGCGATGATGATGATACCTACGCTTGCTGAAGGAGAATGGGATGTGAGACTGTATTTACACAAGAAGAGTCAGCGAAAATTAAAAATGAGTTATGTAACAAATACATATTGGCTATCTCCTATTTTGAAAATGTTATACAAATAATACACAGCAGTGAGGGCATTAGTATGAACTACCTGCACAAGGTACCGAGTGTGGGTAATTTTACGAAAACCCGAACAAAATGATGTGTATTATTTGTTTTATAAGATGATGTTTATTTGTTTTATAAAATGGTGTTTTATAACATGATTTTACTAATGACCGGTCATTAGTAAAATTACGTGTCAGGCAAATAAATGCCTGGTCACATGTACGCTCTCAACTAATCATTTGGTTAAGATCCGCTTAATCAGCTTATAATAATATCTAATGAATGATATGTGATCTACCTAGAAATCCAAGTCCTGTTCCATAAAACAAGTTATACTTATTGATATAAGTCAAATTATCAGATGTAATTGGCTTTTAAAAAAGTTTGTCATAGAATTGTGACTGTTGTGAATAATTAATTTTTTTGTTTAAAACAAGGTATATAAGTATGATCATGTGATGTATATAGTTGCTCTATCCAGTCCTGACACCTCATAATAAGTGGGTTCTCAAGGCTTTTAGTATTAGACAGGAACAAAGACACGACATATACATACTTCAACAAATTATTTGTATTACATTGTATTGTATTGTGTTAGGTAAATGTTTACCTTCATACTTAGCTACAGTAAACTAAATGATTCATACCCCTTATCAATTTAATCATGTTTGTTTTGTGCTACTGGTAATTCAAGAATATAAGGTAGGCTTGGTTTAATTAGGGCCTATGTTGAATACTTTTGGATAAAAGTTTTGATATGTCACATTTTCAAGAAACAAATCAGGACAAGTCAAATTTGTGTATACTTAAAAAATGACATAACTTGGTATTGAAGCCCCACCGCACTAGTTTGGCCAGGAGGGATTAGACCTCCGAGCATGGTCACTGACAGGTGGTTATCTCATCAAATAAGCTCTCAATTAACATAAGAAAAAGAGGATCATGGGGGACCAATGGTCATCGATTAGGCATTGTTTGCTGTATAGAGGGCACAAGTAGCTACAAGTAGTACAGTGGGGCTTTAAAGGGTATGCATAATTAATTTGTTTACTGTGTATCCCACTTCTGATGTAATGTAACATGTGGATTCTCAAGACATGGAATATTTGACAACTACAAGACACAACATATACATGCAGAGGAGAAATATGTTATAGATCTGTATTGCCTATGGTTAATTTTTCTTTTCCCTTCTACTGTTTCTACCTGCTTTCTCTTTCGTTTTAATGTGCTGTTAAATATGAACTTTCTTTATAGGTCAACATTCAACAAGGCTGAATGCTCTGTTTTGTTGACCCCTCATTCAACATAAATTTGCTTTCTGAACTTATTTCCTTGTTAATTTTATTGTATTCTTATTATCTGTAATGTTGTCCTTCTACATGTATTTCAAATTTCCATTTTTTGGGTGGTAATACTATGTATGTATTGTATATGTTTTTTATGAAAAATGGAATCAATACCAATACCAATGTATGGGTAGTTCCATACTGAAGTACAGCCCAAAAGATTTTATACCTTATCAATCTAAAATGACAACAGAGAAATATCTTCACGATTGAACAGAGTTTAAAGCATGCCACAATGTGAATGACTCTTACCTTGCCAAATTTGATTGCTATATATTTATCTACATTTGGCCATGAATTTGAAATTATTTTCCTCCTTTTTCATGAAATGATTGGGAAAATATGATTTATTCTTGATTGATAGATAAAGTTTATATATTCGCTGAACTTACTGACCAATAAAGACTGATCAATAAAGTCCTGAAAAGATTTAAACTTTATTGATATCTATCTATCTATTTATCTATCAAGAATAAATCATTTTGTCATAATCATCTTATGAGAAGAGGTACCCTTTTGTAAGACAAATTATTCCAACTTCTGGGCAACAGTATATGCTTGAAAGAAATGGAGGGGTTAACTGAGACACTGTAATATTTGTTTTATATATGTATATATTGTAAGTTTAAATTTGATTGTTATTTTTGCAAAACCATTTGAATATAGCTACGTGTATTTGTATTTTCCAAATGCAATGACATTGTTATTTTAACAGCAATATTATTGGACGTTTCTACCCTGTTTTCTTTAAAATGAATTCACATTTGCTCAAGTTAGTACAGGGAGTTATGGAATGCCATGTGCCAACCTCACAGCTCCATACTCATTGCTGCAATTCTATAACAAAATGATTGGTTGATTATTTAATCAGTCTCTTTTTAAGTTTCAAAATGATGTAATCTGATTTTATTTAGCTGCATAATCGGTAATTTGTACAAAAATTGGTACAATGGTAATTTGTTCATGTGTATATGATCCAAAGATGACACTTGTTGCTTCATAATTCGCTTTTAAGAGTACTAGCCTTACATTTTGTAAAGTTACTGTTGATTTGTTCTAATTATTTTAATATATTTCTGCTTGATGATATGCATGTATAAATTATTGTATTTTAAATTGACCTACCTACAAATTCTTGCATGATGAAAAGAAAAGTAATAATGAACTCTGAGTTTAAAGTAGGCTGTCATTTTCTTGCAATCTTTTAGGAAAAAATTCCTAAACCTAACATTGTTGTTGACTTCCACTCAGTTCTCATAGCAAATACAACTCATGTGATTATTACTTGTTGTTTGTGATATAATCAACATATAAAGAGTTTAATTCCCAAAGGAGCTAAATCCACTTTTGTAACTTTGGAGAAAAAAAGCATTTTTAAACCAGATTTTGTACAGGCATCTATGGAAAATTGATATTAGAAGGTGCATATTTTCATAACTGCTCCCAAAATTTAGGTAAATAATTGTGATGAAACACTGGTACTTGAGTGAACAATGTTCTGATATCAATAACTTAATTTTCATCCAAAGTGGAGTTAGCTCCTTTTGGAATTAAGCTCTGCAATTATAGTGTGTCATTAAAAGTGCCTTTGTGACTTCAGTTCAAGTGACTTATCCCTCTCCTAGCCACGTGTGTTGGGCCATCTCTTGTATTGGGAGACTTCCCATTCTTTCTTATTACCATTGTAGTAAGCAGGGGGCGTTTCACAAAGCCTTTTTTCAATAATAAATAACAAAAATCAGTGAAAAATCTGCTGATAACCAATCAGATGCAAAGAATTCAGTAGCTTATAACAAAAAATGTCATTTGTCACTGATGACAAGTTTTGTGAAATGCCCCCCCTGAGACCTGTTTCACAAAGCCTTTTTTCAATGACAAATGACATAAATCAGTGACAAATCTGCTGATAACCAATCAGAAGCAAGAATTTCAGTAGCTTATAACAAAAACTGTCATTTGTCACTGATGACAAGTTCTGTGAAACGCCCTCCTGATGTAGCTTATTCTGAAGATGTTGAGCCTGTAAATAGCTTATTTAATTGCATCATGATGAGGGGGATGTTTCACAAAGACTAAGATTGACTTTAAGTTGGACTTAACTATGGCAGGCTGTTCATGCCACTGTTTGCTCTCACCATTATGATCTTTAGATAATATGTTTTCCTTCAATAATGAATTATCAAAAAATGGATATTCTGTAGATTAGTGACCATGATTTGTACGTCCTTTGAGAGACCAATGCCAGTAAATGGTGAGAGAAAACAGTGGCATGAACGGCCTGTCGCTCGGTGGCCGGGCAGCCGCTGGGCAGAATTGGTTAAAAACTCGCCGCTCGGCCGCCGAGCAGGCTACTTTTGGGTAATGTGACCATAGCATTAATCATGAGCGATGTGTGCAAAAACATGTGTTAATAGTCCTATGTATAGCAAAGGCATACATTAATTGTGATAATAAAGTAGTACAAAAAAAGTAAAGAAATTATTCTGTATTTGTTATTTTAATTGAGATTCCATGTATTAAAAAATGTTCCTGTGTGAGGTGAGGTTCTGGTATGAATTTATGATTTTGATTTGTTAATTGAATTCTCTTCATACTTTTTTGTCTCGCCTGCGTAGCAGAAAGCGAGACATAGGCGCCGCTTTTCCGGTGACGGCGACGGTGGCGACGTCAACATCAAAAACTTAACCGAAGGTTAAGTTTTTGAATTTTTGATATAATTTTTAAAGTATAAGTTCTTAGTCAATGAAACTTTGACTACAGGTTAATCAAGTATCCCCAATCATGTGAGTAGAATTTCAGATCACAAAGTCAAGGTCAAAGGTCATTTCAGGTCAACAGACTTGGACTATGTTGTAGCATCATCTTCGAAAACTTAAAGGGGAAGTCCACCCTGAAATTAAGTTAGTTTTAATAGGAGTAGAAAAATGAAAGAAACAAGTCAGTGAAAGTTTGAGCAAATTCCGATTAAAGATAAGGAAGTTAGGATTTTTGAAGTTGTGATCAATCAAACACAAATTGGCAACTCTATGACGTATCATGCGAGCTCAACTTCCATTTGCTCAGTACTAAAAAAATCTAAAATTTTCATTTCCCCTCAAGAAAAATTTCAACCATACATGCACCCTAAATATAATAATTGCAAATATGTTTCTATACTCCCCCTGCAAGGAACAAATATATATTCCGTCATCGATAACGAAGAAAACATGATTTTATGGAATATTATGCACAAAGCAAATGAAGGAGAGCTCGTATAATAAGTCACAGAGTTGCCAATTTGTATTTGATTGATCACAACTTCAATAATTCATAACTTTCTTATTTTCATTCAGAATTTGCTCAAACTTTCACTCACCTGATTTTCTTATTATTCTGCCTCTATCGAAACAAACTTATTTTGGGGGTGGACTTTCCCTTTAACCTAAGGTTAAGTTTTTGAATTTTTGATATAATTTTGAAAGTATAAGTTCTTAGTCAATGAAATTAGACTATAGGGTTATCAAGTCTCCCCAATTATGCGAGTAGAATTTCAGGTCACTAAGTTAAGGTCAAAGGTCATTTAAGGTCAACAGACTTAGACTTTGTTGTGGCATCGACATCAAGATTTTCAAAATGCTTCTTCTTCGTTATTTTTTAACCGATTTTGATTCTGATCGTTTCATATTTCATTCATTTCATTTCAAAGACTTTATTTTCTGCAATCAAACAAATCAGTTATACAACAAATATGGATAATTATATAAAACATAAGGTATGCAAACAATATACAAAATATAGAAACAAATGTATAATACATGAGTAAGAGTAAACTTATACGTTGGGCCATTGCGTGTATAAAGAAAGAAAGCAGAAGGTCGCCGTTATAAGCAAAAGCTTGAGTAGACGGTCAACCGAGCTAAAATAAAAATGAGATGTGAAATATTGGCAAATTAACAAGAAGAGGGGGCCATGATACTCAAATGATATTATTACAATTAAATGTGAATATAGACAGTTGTATTCAATATAAATAATTATAGAATTAGCATATGAATCTCATATTTATATGGCTACTAATATTATACGTTAATGACAGAGATAAGAGAGAAACTAAACAAAAACAAGGGTGCAAGTGGTGCGTGTGTGTGCAAGTGCAAGTGTCCTCAAGCGCCAAAATGTTGAATCATCAGTATTACTATGTAACGTCAGACCAAAATTTAATGTAGTTTCTAAAGTTTTAGAAAAAACGCTTTAAATTTTTTTTTTTTTTTTTTTTTTTTTTAAACCTTTATACATTATATTGTGAAATAATGTGTTTTTTTAGTGTAGCTTTAAATGAATAGAGAGATGTACACTGTTTAATATGTCTAGGGAGTGCATTCCAAATGTCTGGACCGTGATATCTTATGGACTTAAGCGCTAACAAAGTTTTAGGATTGTGTAAATGAAAATCAGTACAATTACGCGTTGGATATGAGTGAACATGGGAATTAGGAATAAATACGTCATGAAAAAGAGGAAGTGAATTTTGTGTGTATTTAAACATACAGATTGCTGTTTGATATAAGTGCAAATCACTCACTTTTAAAATGTTTAATCTATAAAATAACGGATTTGTATGAGCTAAGTAATTAGAACGAGTACAAATCCTAAGTGCTCTTTTTTGCAAGAGAAAAATTATATTAATCTTAGTTATACTACAGTTCCCCCAAACTACATTACAGTATGTAAAATAAGGTAACACTAATGCATTATATAATGTATAAAGTATTTTCTCGGGTACAAGATCCCTCATTTTACCAATTACCCCAACTGCCCTTGAAATTGATGTTGTAATATTATTTACATGATTATTCCAAGTAAGCTTTGAATCCAAAGTTATACCTAAAAATTTTGTCGATTTCCTTTCAACTATAGAAATATCATCAATAACAATGTTTATAACCTGATCAAAGTGTGTTTGGGAAGCACAAAAATTTATAAAACATGTTTTATCTAAATTGAGTGACAATTTATTGCATTTAAACCATGTTGAGATTTTAACTAATTCATTATTGAGAGTATAAATTAGAGTATTCAAGCATTTATGAGAATAAAATATGTTGGTGTCATCTGCGAAAAGCACGTAAGTAAGAAGTGGTGATGACTTTACTATGTCATTAATATAAATAAGAAAAAGAAGGGGGCCTAAAATTGATGCCGGTATGATAGAGCTAAGAGGGGGATTTAAAATTTCATTATCTATGAAATTCATTATCTATGCTAATTTATGCAAATTTATTCGAAATCACAAAAAATGCTTCTCCTGTATTTCTCGACCGATTTTGATTTGGTTTGCTTTATATCGTAGAGCTAACTTTGGTACACTACACTTTTACACAGAATTTTGAAATTGTTCTCCATTAATTAATTTGGTAATTTATGTAAATTTATTCCAAAAATTACAAAAATTGCTTCTTTTCCCTCATTTCTTGACCGATTTTGATTTGGTTTGCCTTATCCGGTAGAGCTAAATTTGGAACACTAAACGATCTACACAGAATTGTGAGATTTTGCTCCATTGATTATTTATGGTACTTTATGCAAATGAAATGAAATGATGTCCCTTCCAGGGCATCAAATTTTTATTTTTTGACCATTTCAAAAGTGTACCACATAAAATTTACGATATTTGTTGTTGCGAGATGAGGGTGAGCGCTACGTCATTGACGTTCTGGTTTATCATATTGAATTGCGTTGTGCAGGCGAGACCGCCGAGAGCGTATCCCTAGTTTTTCTTTTTGTGTGCGTGCGTGGATGGGTGGGTATGCGCATATGTTTATGTGTTATTAGTTGCCTAATATATTAAGATTTCATGTTGAGTGAAGAGAGAAAAATTACAAGTAAACGTATACAGGATAGAGGATGACATTTAATCTGCTATTAATTCGAAACAATATTATTTTCATTCCAAAACTATATTTATTATTAAAGGTACATGTCTGGAGTCACGGACATCCTATGAACACCCATTACATCAATCACAATAAAGACATACAAAAAGATGGACTGGTTAACTCGTAGCATCAATAGTGAATCTTTTTGTCATAAAACGATTGTGATGTGAAAACACACACTTTACCCCATTTTGAACCTACACGAAATAGAACGTCTTGATATCATCGTGAATAAACTTCAAGATGACCATATTATTCTTTGGAAAAAACGGGAATTCTGGAGTGTTGAAAATTAGGATAGGCCTACATAATGAGAGCCAAAATCAAGTTCGATTCTTCATACATCAGATAATGCAGAAATTTGTTTTCCATTAGAGTTACAATCAATCTAAACATTGACAAAACATGTATCGTGTGCTGAAAGCCATTTACTTCCAGAAGGGCGTTAACTCTGTGCAGGGAGGTGATAGAGAAGGAGTGGAATCGAGCCGCTCTCCTTTGACCCCATGCTCCAAGCCGCCGAAAAGTTAGGCGCTAATCTGCAACTGTTGACCAGGTGGTGAGATAAAGAGCGCATGAAATATCAGGATTTAGAATTCCTACATCAGAAAATGGTATCTCAGAAAAATGTTCGCGGTCCCTTTCAATGATTTCTCATCAATTGTTGAATGTTTAATGAGTTGAAAAAGCGAACACAAACTTTTGTATTTTTCATACTTTTCATACTCTTTTTCAACATTACTGCAAAAAATACAAAAACCAAAAAGCACGCATCAGCAAACTTAAAGCTATATATCAAAGATTGTAAATCATAGATTTAATGACGGGACATTAAAACATACGAAAATGAAAATAATCGGATTATCCTAAGATATTGAGTTTTTGTCAGGATCTAATTTTTCTTTTTCTAATTTACCAACTCTGGCACACAAATTAAAGGTAGGGCGGAGTACTAAATTTGAAAAATTGTTTGATGCACCCTTCCCAATACAATCCCCATATAAGTTTATAATTTACATTGAAATTTTGCCGCTAATTTAATAAATGTGAAACTGGTGCCTGGCCTCCGAAATTTTCCGCAGTGGAAGAGCGGCGCTGAGCATGGAACTTCAAAGCCATGTGGAATGTTACGCATCCTATTGTTACGCTTTAGAACTCACGCATGCGTTTGAATAAATTACAAGAGTTTCCACTCCTTCTCTATCACCTACGTTACCTGGGCCCCGTTGCACAAAACTTACCATTAATGGTAACTCTGCCATCAATGGTAACTTCCATGGAAACACTGATTTTGATTGGCTGTTGAGCCCTGTTACCATGGTAGTTGCCATTGATGGCAAAGTTATCATCAATGGTAAGTTTATGTAACGGGGCCCAGCTCTGCGTTCAGCTAAAACCGTGACCCTCAGTCTGGCTCTCAAAGATCAACAGAACCGATGGTTTAAGAAGAATCCTATATTCAGTCTTCTGAGTTTTTATCACGTCATTAATATCAGTTGGTTTAAGTAGCCTACATTCTACTTGCCCGTTTAGTGAACTAATCTGATTTGAAATCATATAGCCTAGACTTATGCCAGATTAGTATTTAGCGAAGTAATCATCGATCTTTCTCGTCACCCGTTTATTCTCAGCTGTCTGCTGAATCTTACCAAGGTAGAGTTTAGTTTCCCTCTCCATCAACTTCCGACCTTCCAACTTATTTGAGCCACTAGCTACACTTCTATTTACATGAACTGATTCGTCATCAAATGTAAATGATGGTAAGCGATAAGCCTCTTTGTTCGTAGAACGAACGCCGTCTTTCTCTCGTCGGGGAGTTCGCCATCCTTGTGCACACCCAGTTTTCGTCAACGAGTCGGTCACCTTTTCTCGTGCTCGCAACTCGGGTCCAGACGATGACGAAAACTTTTTCCCGCCCTTCTTTGCTGCCTCGGCTTGCTCCTCACGCATTTTTCGCTGCTGTCTGCGCTTCATAAGCTTCATTGTGGATTCGACTGCTGCTTCGGGGTTCTTCGAATTGTTTCCGTGTTCCAGGGACTCCTGGACTTTCCTCTGTAGTCGCCTGTAGACGGTCAATGCTCGTGTGGAGTCGAAAATGCGCTCGGCAGAAAAGGCGACATTTCCTGTTCGTTCTCCCGGTGATATCGTGGCAACTGACGACTGTTTTATCGGTTCCTCTTTCGCTGTTTTCTCCGGATCATCCTCAAAACGCACTTTCCTTTTAGATGATGCTGTATTAGGAAAGTGTCTCGAAAGATTTTCAGTGGGTATCTGACCACGCGCGCGAATATTCCCAGGCGACATGCCTTGCAAATCGCCTGCACTCGCGCTTCTGCGCATGCCCAGATGACTATCCGCTCCTGGTGATGCCGAGTCCCTCCAAATATTCGTCAATGTCGACCCGCCTAATCTCCTCCCTTCCCCGCGTAGATGGACCGGAATCGGCTCTGTCAACCTCGCATTTCGCTGCTGCTGAAGTTCAATTTCGATCTTCCTTGTCTCCCGAAAAATCTGACCCAGTGCAAGCATCTGCTTCCGGTCGAGGTCGTCAATTTGAGAAGCGTATTTCTTCTCGAGACCTATGTTCAAGAAGCGAAATTTGTCAGCCTTGGTTGACTTTTGCAGGCGACCGGCCATGATGTAACCAAGGCGACCGCGCCTAGTCGATTGTTATTCCTAAACCAACACAAAGTTTTGCTCACGATACAATAGCTCAGCGATCGTTATTTACCTTTCCCCTCAGATATCGCTTCCTTTATGATGTCCACGAATATGATTTTATTAGCAACAGATGTACGACGATGATGATCATCAGCTGCATTCATGGGGCAAAATGAGATTTAAAAAAAAAATTCAATTAAGAAAGGTGGCTATCAAACAAGAAAATAAACAGTACAATAGTTAATCGCATATTAGATAATTGAATTCAACGTAAATCAATTACTTTATTAATCAAGTTTACAACATTTTGTGGAAAATGTTTTGAAAAAGATTGCGAATAGAAAATTTAACCCTTGGAAATAATGCTCACATTACTCACATCCACTTTATACAACATCTTTTTATTTTTGGTGGGGTTTCGTTTCTTTATGTCGTAAAGCATATTCCAAACCTGCTCTGGGCGAAAACGATTTTCATACAAATGCAGACTGCCACATAATTATTTATGATTACTCAATGCTATAATAAAAAGTATAAAGTATGACTTACAATAATGAACAAAATACATACCTGTTATGATTCATTTTTGAAAGGGTATATTACGACTCTCGTTGACTCGACCACTGTATATTCTGCTCTCATCAACTCTAATGAGGATTATGAAGATTATGACCTATATATTCGAATGTGATCTTATCAATACTTTTAAACGCCTAATTGCAGGCATCGTTTCCAAGGTTGCAGAAGACCGCCTTCCAACTATGCCAATTTCAAGTATTTGTTTACTATCCCATTGTGTCCCGATCTAGTTCTGTTGAATTGTTGAATATTGTTATGTCAACATTACTTCCGATGTGACAAAGAGTAGAACATATCTCTCCACACACACACACGCACACACACATACACATACACGCACATGGTTTTTAGCACGTACGTATAAAAATATTTGCCTATTTTCCTCAACCTATTTTTTCACAGTAGTGTTAGCTACATACAAGTATTTGAAGTAAAATAATGGAAATCTAATGATGAATGATGCTGATTGTTTACTAGTTGACAGCGTGACAGTTATCCAGCTCTCTTCTGCAGATATCCTAATAAGAAAGTTCAGCTATTTAATAATAATTTCTCAAACTTAATTCTAACTATTATAATCCTATATATGAAATGTTTTTGTTGATGCTATTCGTTTTGTTTTAACTAACAACTTGCGCCTCGGGGATCAACTCCCCCACCCCCATTATCTGCACCCTCCCCCTATTTGCGTGTTCATCATGCGTGGCACACGCCTTGTGTGCTTACATCCCCCTTCTCGCTCTCCTAAAAAAGAAAAATCTTTAAAATGCGCTAACTTTTACCGCTATGTGATTCCCCCCCCCCCCCCACCGAAAAAAAAGGGGAAAAAAAGGTGTTCATACAATCTGGCCATGACTATCTATAGACCGTATTTTATGCAGGAAAGGTGTTCATAATTTTTGCAAAGTCCCCCCAAACCTGATAACGATCGCTCTTTACAACCGAATCTAATGTATTCTGGTGAATGCACGAAATGAACGCATAATTATGTGGTAACCCTCCTCCCCCCCCCCCCCCCTCAAAAAAAAAAAAAAAAAAAAAAAATGTCTGTAGATTTGATTCCGTTGTGATATCAATAGAACGGATATCTCACCCGACATGCCATTTCAGTATTTTCTTGAGGGAAAAAAAAGTCTGATTTTTATTTCAGTACATAGCACATGGGAGGGGAGCTCACTAGATAAAGTTACAGAGTTGCCATTTTGTGTTTGATTGATCGTAACTTTCTTATTTTAGTCGGAATTTCCTTAAACTTTCGCTGACCTGTTCCTCTTATAATTCTGCTTCTATTAAAACCAACTTATTATCAGGCTAGACTTTCCCTTTAATGTTGTAAGGGGGCCATCCCACCGCGCCCCTTACCCAAATTGTAGTAATATCTAACTATATACGTTAGATTTCATATATCTCTTTAACTCCCCATCACTGAACAATCTCCATTCATTTGATAATAAGTATGCTTGCATCAAATAATTATAATGATTCCATTCCCAATTCTACAGCTATACTTTCCAAATGTAATGTTGGAGCGCCTTGAGGACCTTGCAAGGTCGATACGTGCGCTATATAAGAATCCAATATTATTAATATTATTATGGATTAAATTAATGGTTATATGATGACAGACAAGAATAGAATACCGGCCCAATTCACAGACCTAAGTCAAACCCTCTTGCTGCTTCCAAACAAAGACAAACACCTATTAATGGGTACGAGTGAACAGGAGAATCCGCGATTGACAGTTTAATAATTAGGGGCTTTTAGATTTGCACGACGAGAACGTGGACTGCGACGTGTGACATCCTTGTAAGGCAATGTGACGTCCTTTTAATGCAATGACAGTGACGTCACATTGCCATAAAAGGATGTCCCACGAGCAGTCCACGTTCTCGTCGTGCAAATCTAAAAGTCCCTAATTTGACGGGGTACAGTTACGAGTGCTTCGGTCCATTAGCTTGGCAAACCTAATTTGATAGGTTGACATGTCTATATTCATGAAACTGTCGCATTTTGGATGTAAACATGCTTGCGAGTGGCCGTACGCTGTTTCTGGGGAGAAATCACCCAGAGAAACACAATTAGGAATAATGGTGAGTACAGGATTATCTTTATCTATATTTCAACATCGATTCTAATAAGAAAAATAAAGCAGCAATTCTAATTCTTATATTTCATTTGTCTTCTGAATAATATCGTGTGAAAAAACATGTTCTTTAGAGAGAACATCAAGATTAAGAACACAAATATAATTATGTCGATTAAAAAAAAAATAATGTCGCATTCATCATTAGCTCTTGTGATCACGTGACATCTGTCCTATTTGATTGATTATTTTACCTGACTGGTATATAAGAAAGCAGGACTATTTATGAATACGCAAACAGGGAACTTACGGCTCCAAGTCTTATTTGATGGAGTTGGTCATTGGGGGTTAATACCTTACCAAAGAGCATTAGCGCATCGACTATAAGTTCGAATCCTGAATTTCGCTGTTACGAGACCACTGAGCCATCACGCCTCCTTTATTTGCATCTAGCATTTATCAAGTAATTTTGCCATGTTGTTTATTTCAACAGCATAACAACGCTTCAAACAATTTCCCTATCTATTTATAGCCTTATAACTATATATGATATTTTGTAAAATCATATTATCTTATATCACTTATTTTGTTCTTATTTAACCCATAATATACAGACATTCCTATATCTAATGGTGATTCATCTGATGATTTTCGGATATGCAGTTGTCTGTAAGTATAATTATATTGTGATATAAATGCTTATGCGTTTTTCACCCGTTTTTGAAAGTATGCATGTAAATCATATCAATAAAAAAAACATCTCCTTTTCTTGATTCGGCAATTTTTGTCCTGGTGAAAGTCATCAAGACTAACTATAATCATGCATGCAATTCAGCCATTGGCTGCGATATGCTGATGAATAAATACCATACCTTACCTTACCTTATGTAATAATAAAAAGATATTGATGTACAATGTCAAAGAAGATTCATAAAAGTCGAAATACCAAATTCAAAAGCACACATGTATTTCTGAAGACTAATATCTCCTTATGGATGAATTATTGATTGACATACAAGTTTAAGTACGCGTGGAATATGAACCTTAATGTCATCTCTCTCGGCTTATATTCATTGCGACTTAAATCCCGTATAATAATTATTACTATTATAATCTACATTTACAAGGTTTAGATGAAGATTTTTTTTCTTCTTCAGGAATCATATCTTTATCAATTATGCTAATGACTGCAATAAATGATATGAAATGTACTATACTTAACATATATTTATACATAAATGTACATATAGATGAATATTGCTAATAATCTTTAACTAAAATGGGAGGGGGGGGGGTATGATAGACGTTAATTCCACGGACGATGATTGCATTGGGTACAAGATTCTTACATTGTAAGTTCTCCTGGTCTTTGTTACTGCAGTTGTCATGGCAACGGTATCGCACTAACATTCAGAGGCGGATACGGGTTGTTGGGAAGATGAATGTGGAAATTCAATTCAATTCAATTTATTTCCATTTTAAAAACAATTTACAAATCAATAAGAAATACAAATGAACAATAGTGGCGGGATCATGAAAAGCGCAGTCTTAGTATTATTGATATTAGTTCGGAGGTTATATTAGTCCATGTTAAAAAAATGAATTCTGAGCTGTTGACGTGAGGGTTAAAGGGAGATAAAATCCCTATATGCGTTTCCAAAAAGCCCTGTAAATTATTATGCAACCTTAATCAGCACATAGTGCATTGACATGAATAATGACCATTCACATTTATTGGCAATCATGTAATTGCCTATGCTTATAAGTCTGATAGCCTATGTTATATTAATATTACTTCTCACTGATGAATAGTATAGTATTAATGACTGCTTTGAGAGAAATAGTTGTTTTTATACGCTCAAGGGAAGGTTAGAATTGTGCTATTACCCGAGGCGTGCCGAGGGTGATAGCCCAATTGTAACCTTCCCGAGAGCGTATAAAAACAACTATTTCTCGAATATTAAAGCAGTCATTAATACTTTTATATGCTGAAAAAAAATTAAAAAAAGAAAAGAAAAAAAAAAAAAACTTTTTTTCGAAGATGGGATTCGATCTCTTGCGTACAAAAGTTGATGTAATTAAAATCAGCATTCATAGTAGCTTTTTCTTATGTATACATTAAAATGGATTGAAACGGCTTCGCGTGGTGGATGCTTCGCGGCTGCTCCATTAAACAGGCCCTTCTTTTACTCTTGCAATGCATATTGGCACGAATTTAGATCAAGATCTATCGGCAGATGTTGTTTTTTTGTTTTTGGAAGTTTATTTTCGTCTTCATGTCAACAATGCAAGATAAAATTGTCGGTAAGATCGATCGAGATTCAATTGTATTGAAATTACCGACCAATTCTTCGCACACGTACGGTATCCTCGATCGCTCAGACCATTTTTTAACATGTAAACCTATGGGGTAACCATGGAGACTGACCTATTTTCCCAATAACCATGGTTATTGGGATTTTGAACTGTTTTTTAACCATGGTTACCGGGAATTTTCGGGAACAGTTAAAGTTTATGAATGCAATTTCGACCAATCAGATTGCTGGATTACTTAAGTGAGGTATATAATAAGCTACAGTGGATTAAAAGTTAACTATATTTCTAAAGATGTTTGATTGTATAAGGATTGCGTATGAAATCATTTTATTTCCTATTATTAACCTTCCCCATACCAAACGGTTATTTCTGCCTAATTTAAATTCTAAAATAGGGTCTAGAATGATTTCGAAGAATGCAGCCCCTAACTGAGTCAATTTTGAAAGATATTAATGAAAATTTGGCTATTAAAAAATTGATATTACGCAAATTTACATCATTACCATCAAGGCCTACATTTAATGAACAGATGTATCAATATCAGTATCACTATGACTCTTATACCTCAGAAATCTTTATCACATTCATTTACTTATGTTTTATTCATCATATTTTTGTTTACATGCACGAATGCTTGCCTACCCGCATAAAAGTTTAGTAGGTGCTTAAAAAATATATTAGGTTATTATTACCCCAACCAATGAAAGTTGTCCTCTGAGCACACCCCCTTTTGGATTCATATCGAAATCTTGTTTGCTCGTTTTGATGTTAAATTTTTATCAATTTTCTTTTCTCTTCTAATGACCATATCAAAGATTTATACCATAAATTAGTATCGGACAAGTAATATACAAACATAGCCATGGTATGTTTACCATGTTTATGGTTGCCAATTTCACACACCCCACCAAACAAAACAAAACAAAAACAAAACATGAAACAAAAAATCGATTATGACATGTGAATAATATATTGTTTAGTGTTAATGTTCAGTTACTTTTTACTAAGATTTACGTAAAACATCATTCTTAACATGTCAAGCACTTTTTATCTGAAAAATAGTAAATCAATTAATTGAGATCTGAATCTGAATTCTTCTGCACCATGTTATTTTTCATTATAATGACATCTAATTAAAGGTTGCCAAGGTAGCTGTGGTCAAGCCAGTGATATATGGGTAACTCCGACGTGTGAGGGAGCTGTGCAGAAAGTAGACGATGCAGTAGTTCAATTGGTACCGAAGAGACGGATCATGTCCCCGACGACGATCGGTTGCGCTCGGCCGTCGATTGTTCTGTGTCGAATTCCCGGTAAGTATATAGGAAGCCCAGTCGAATTGAAAATAAATATTTCTTATAATATAAACCAAATTGCACCCTCTATGTTTATTCATTTGTATGAGTGTTTATGTGCAGTCATATAAGTTGATTCATAACTTATTTTTGCATTGGTATCATAATAAGTGGCAATTTTAATTAATTTTTCAATTTCATAAGTTATCAAAAGGATTTTAAAGTATTACCATTCACAAAAGCACACGTGCACGTTCTCTATCTTGATGTATATTATCTTTTCGCTCCAATAGTAGAATTTTGAAATGTTATCACCATACTTTTGTCAAATCCTTTCCTTCAGATTGCCTCGCTGGGCTTTGTTCCCATGGTGACTGCACGGAGACTTTAACAGGCTATTCATGCCGCTGTCAGAATGATTGGACTGGGAATCTCTGTGATATTGGTAAGATCCATGGTTCGTCAAATTGAGTTAATAAACTGTCATAAAAACCCATTAAAGGCATCGTTTAATTAACAATGTTAAATCTGAGATACACGGCACTACGTGTTATCAGTGTCTGTGATATGGTGTACTTATATTGAAGGCCTAAAAAATTGCGCTTCAAAGTGATCAAGAACTGCCTCAAAATAGTTTTAAAATCTTTGAGTGACCGGTTTTACCATACTCGTTTTCCCCAATAGACTGTAGTGTTATGAAAATCGTTAGGAAAACGCAAAATTTGATTTCGATTTCCAATCATAAATATCTTGATAATAAGACAGGCGATCGGCTTGTAACAGTCATGGGGTTCCTGAATGACCTAAAGGTTTATAATTATCATTGTAGCATGAGCTAAATCAAGGATTTTGTTTCAGAATCTGAGACAAAGTTACCCAATCCCTTTAAAAGTTTGTTTAGATATGTCGCGGTAATCTGCCCCCAAATAGTCGCCCAGACTTTTTTGAACGTGTAAATGACTTTCAACTACAGGACTTACATGTATCTACTGAGGTTTGTGTCATGAGAAACAGAAAAGTGAAGTTATTAAACATCAACATTACAAATAATATTAATTTGATTTAATTTAATTTAATTTAGGAATTGTACATTAATCTTGATCTAAGAAGACGTGAACGAACGAACACTAAAAACCGGCGTCTTTACGACAACTTCGCCAAACCAAATACTTGCATTCAAACTATCCAGGGAGGTATTTGTCCAAGGGTTCATTGTCCTGGGGGTAAAATATCGAAGAGTTTGGGTTTATATCCTGGGTATTTTAGACCTGGGGGAGTCAATCCCAGATGGTAGTTGTCCAGGATGATCCTCCAGGGTTAGTTTACCCAATATCACCATGAGCTATTCTTAGCTAGCTACTACGAACTGTGTATTGGTTTTATCGATAATATCATGACGTGGTGCTGTACGGGCTTTGATCACCTTCTTGTGGGGAGTTGGTATAACCATATAGTAGGTCCATGGTATAACAATGATTTAGCAAGCATGTGTGTGTGATCGAGTTTGCACTAATACCTTAATAGTGATCAGTATGGTAAAGGAGCATGTCGTAGAGGATGGAGGTAGTTTTGACTATAGTATCATGATGACCGGTGCAGTGGCTTAGCAACAGGGGGCACAGGGGCACGTATCCCCGTCCAAATAGAACTACAGAAAAATGGAGAAATTGGAGAGGGGACGGAATAGCGACAGGAAGATAGCAGCCCCCTCCATTATTGGTGGCCTTGTAAATTCATCCACCTACTTTAAAGACAGAAGCACCCCTTGCTCCCATTATGCCAGCGCCCCCTCGATGACTGTGCCCACATTACTCCATTGCACTGGTGTATGCGACACTGTAATATTCGCAATTAGCGTTATAATTATGTAAATCAAATGATGAGTATTACTTCTAACATACAGAAGCGGATATGACATTGTCAGACAACACAGATCTCTCAAGCACTCCAGAGTCGCCTACGACCCCAGCCGATCGGGAGAAGGAGAACTCAAGGCAGGTCTCATCGACAGCTGAAGCAGGTAGTGGACAAGGAGGAGACAGTTCTGCTACTGTAAGTCCAGACGCCGCGTCCGAACCGAGCCAGATCACCTCTATACCCGAAGCAACCGTTGACCAAGTAGAAGGAGCTTCCTCAACAAAGGGTCCAGAAGAAGACCCTGATACAAACACTGCAAGAACGGAGTCTGTCGGACAGGCGGACCCAGCTGAGACTACAACCTCTCAAATGGTAAGCTCACAAGAAAAACCTGAAGTCTCTCAGACGTCATCATCAGACTCGCAAGAAACACCTGAAGTCTCTCAGACGTCATCATCAGACTCACCTTCTACCAGCGGTTTGAACGCGATGACTCCAACTACATCGCTCCAGACCGAGTCTTGTTCACCAAGTCCGGGTAAGAAATGATTTAAAGGGCAATCCAACCTTTGCAATAATGAGGGATACAGCATGGCGAAAGTTTAAAATAAATCGGACTAATAATAAGAAGTGTTAAGAGTGTTTGAAACATGATAACTCTCCCATTTGTCGTGTACAAAAATAACATACATTTTCTTTGTTACTTTTAAGCGCCTTCTCCCTTGGGGCACTACACAAAATATATTGTGGATAGCATAAAAGTTCTCTATAAAAGAAAAGACACACCCGAGCCATAGATTTTGAAAAATAGAAATTTAGTCTTTTGTGTGTCGGAAGAAATGCGAAGGTTGTCCGGCACTTCGCCGTAATGACATTACCGATCCTGAAGTGCCCATACGTTTAGTAATTATTACTCTCGAAAATGTTATAATTTTCTTACGTTTTGAACGATTTCGTTCAAATTTTCACCAATCTGCTTCATAGCTGTCTATTTTCTGCTTTCTTTTAGAGTAGTTTGCTGTTATGGTTGGGTTTCCATTAAGGCAAGGCGCCACTAGATATGTTGGGATCAACCCCCCCCCCCCCCCCCCTCCCCCCTGGTGACTAGAAATTTCTGTCGGACAATCTAAACTGTCGTCGGCAAAATGATATTCTATTTAGTCTTTTCTCTCCCGCCATCCCAACAAAGAGAAAAATATAATCACAACCACCTATGTTTGACTTAACCTATCTTTTTATTGGCAGACACACATTTCCAAAACTTGGTTTCTTTATGAGCGCTTTTTATGAACCACTTCCACACTCTCACGTTCCAAGCCAGCGTATCGGGATTTATAAAAAAAAAATGTGTACCATTTTGTTTCTGTAAAGTTTTTGGAATAGAAAGTTGATTATATTCTTACATCAGAACATCAACTCAAATGAATAAGCTTCAGTTACTAATATTAGAAAGTTTCTCATTTTACAAAGGACTGGCGTTGTTGTTTCTTTTGTTTTCTTGATGTCAAAGTTTCATATTGCCCCGACGATTGGATCACGCAACAAGGAGAGATTAATAAATGCTACAAACTCATCGGGATGGAATCAAACTGGCAAGCTTCGCGCCAGGCGTGTTGCGAGCTGTCCGCGACAATGCTCGTCATCGATTCCCTCATCGAAAATGAGTTCATCGAAGATACCTTTGGATCCTCGGGCGAAGTCGACACTTGGTTGGGATGCCACAACGTCGATGGCGACAATGATCGGTGGTCGTGCATGAAGTCGACATCTACGTGGGTGCGCAATGAGGATCAGTCAGGATATTGGCGTAAGTGTGCGTTCATCGTATGCCTGTTGCACACGAATTGTCATTTGCCTGACGCAAGGTTGCGTCAGCGACCCTTGTGGTCTTTGACGCATCGTGTGAGGGTGACATAGTTCAGAAATGATTGTGAAATGAACAGAACAAAAATTCGTTGAATTAATGATGATTGTATGCACTGGTATCTTACGTTCCATTTATTAGCGCATTGAAGAACGCAATCGAAACGACGCTCTGTGTGCAATGAAATATGTATCGCTTGGTTTGTCGAGTATCGGAGGAGGGACTGGTAATGTTTAAAACAAATCTTTTACTCGATCGGCGAAGTTGTGTTAGATCATAAAGGGATAATTTCTGTTGCCATACAAGGGGTATGCTTTTATTCGGGTTTTCATACACCCAAAATTTTTGTACCCCTTTTTGTCCAACATTAATCTGATGTTCCGTAATTCCTATTTATCGAAATGCGATATTAAAGGGGGGCCGCGGCCGATTCTGCACCCGTCTGGATCAGTCGATCTCTGCATAGTATAGCGTTTTTTTATGCAATTTGCCTTGGTTTGGTTTGGGATTTCGTTTATATTTAGTACACCTCTGTTTTGTTTGTTTTTGTTTGTTTGCTAGTTTTCTCATCAATCAATCATATCAGAATCTGATTTTCATGATTTGAATTTGAGTCCCCCCCCCCCCAATCGTTCTAGTGCCCCCTTAATGGGTGAACTCATTGCACGCTACGCCACTCTGTATGTTTGTACTAAATGTTAGATCAAAGAGGGTCAGACAATAGGGCATTTATTCCAAACAGTAACTGCTTTTTCTAATCTATCTCAGGATGGGAAACGGAATGGCCCGATGAAACTGCCTCTGGTTCCCGCTGTGCCTTCATCGAACTCTCAAAGGACTCGCTTTGGAAGGACACTGATTGCAACGAGTCATACCGTACGATATGTCAGATGATCCTCTTACAAGACCAATCATCCACGGAGGAAGCAGTAGGAGTAGAAGAAGAAGGAGGAGACGAAGAAGAAGAAGAAGAAGAAGAAGAAGAAGAAGAAGAAGAAGAAGAAGAAGAGAGAAGAAGAAGAAGAAGAAGAAGAAGAAGAGAAGAAGAAGAAGAAGAAGACGAAGAAGACGAAGAACAGGAAGAAGAAGAAGAGGAGGAAGAAGAAGAAGAAGAGAAAGATGAAGAAGAGGGAGAAGGCGAAGAAAATGAACCCTAGTTCTATTAGGAAAACACTGAGCTCGTTGTAGAGTTATTCTGAATAATCTAGTACATTGCAGTATAATCATGTTCTCGAATACTACGTGTATATTATACTTAATAAGGAAAACTCCGAGCTTATTGTTTTCTGACAATTATGAGATAAGAATGATCACACTAATAATAATACATTACAATATAATTATATTCTCTTTTTCGCGTATACTATGCTGAATAAGGAAAACGTTGAAGTTATATTAGATTCATTTTATTATTAATGTAATACGAATATTAACAATAACGAAATACATAGCAGTATAATCATGCTCTCAAGTATCACAATGAGCTTATTTGTAAAGTCATTCTGAAATTTAAGAAATAAGAATATTAACAATATTATACATATCAGTGTAATGATGGTCTCGTATATTTCCAAACTGCGTGCGGCGTTGCTACATGGGGAACGCGACCCTGACCAAATGGCTAAAAAGAGACTTGAAGAAGAAGAAGAAGAAATGACGAGAAAGAAATGAAGAAAGGGAGAGGTAGAATACAGCTTGAAAACAAAACAATACCCCCCCCCCCCCTCTCTCTTGCATACGCTCGCCTCAATTTGTGGTCTTGTTCTCGCACATGATATCCATCCAACTTGTAAGACCTATGCCTCGCCATTAATTATTATCATCAATGCCCCAAGGCGCGTCAATTTTTTTTCTGTACCTCCTCGGGCGTCATTTACTGCGTCATTGAAAGCCATCATGGACACATTTAATGCCTAAATAATATAACTAATATAAGTACAACTTATCACCTTAATTTCTGCCATTAAATAAGCATCATAGGTCATTCACTGTACACTGAAATAGCGTAATGTTACGTCCATCATACACGAAGTGTCATTTGCTGACGTTGGACTGCGTTGGCGGTCTTTAATCTACGCGCTATGACATCGTACAAATATTGAATACAAAATGTATTGATTGCCTTCACATGCTTCATCCCAATGGCGTATCCAGACCTTGGTCTCAGGAGGGGCACTAAGTATTTGGAGGATGGTCCGGGTTTGCACTTGCGTTACGGGGGGGGGGGGCATCGCTCAAAATTAGTTATTTGAGAATATGTCTACACGTCCGTTTCTCTGCTTGCATTTCAACCTGGCAGGAATTAATTTCTTGAAATGCTAGTGCGCCGCAGTGGCTGCCTTGCTAAAGCCAGGGTAATAATTGGGGCAGCGCCAGGAGCACGTGACGGACATGTGCGCTATATAAGAAGCCACCATTAATAGTATTATTATTATTATTACTATAGTGACTGAGACTGCATCACCCCTTCCCAATAGTCAGAAGGGGAACAACCCCCCCCCCCCCCCCCCCCCATCATAGACGCAAGTTCTTTATTCGCTTAAATAATAAGCAATCGAAATGACGTCTCGTGTGTCGGTGACGGACAAAACAAACAGCCTACGATTTAATTTTTTTTTTTTTTTTTTACAAAAGTCGACTTTTACTTCCAAAAATTTGGTTCACTTTTTCTTGTAAGTGAGGACTATTCCTGTGACATCCTCGGTAGCAAACCCAAAGTAGTCATTGAACTCTTGATAGGAAGTCTCTTCTAAGACGGATGTATCCACATAATGCTTGAGTGTGCTTTTGACCCGGTAGCTATCTGTCTCGTTCAGGGACGCCTTCCGGGTCGAGATCACCATGAAGCCACCTATCGCAAAAAATTGTTTGCATTAATCATGACGAGATTGTTATGTTCCGTGTAAGACAGTATTGTAGCCAATTTGGAGTTCGTATTTCGTACGATACAAGCAATTTTCAAGCTTCTCATGGTATCATCATTAAAGGAGAAGTCCACCTTGATATAAATTTGTTTTTCAGTAATAAAAGCAAACAAAGATTAATGACAGAAACAATTAGTAAAAGTTAGTGAGCACTATCCGATTAAAAATAGGAAAGTTATGAAGTTTTGAGGTGTCATCAGTGAAACAGAAATTGGCAACACTGTGACGTATCTTGCGAGCTTCTCTCTAATTTGCGCTGTACAGAAAATGTAATAACATTTAATTTCCTTATTCATTGATTACGCGATAGATATGTTTCATTCTGGGGTTGTATAAATAATTATATTCAGGGTGAATGTATGATAGAAAATGTTCTAAAGGGAAAATATACATTTTTGGTTTTGTTAAATAAAGAAAGGGGAGCTCGCAAGACTCAACTTAGTATCATAATCTACTTTTGTGTCGTTCGTTTGTTTGTGTTTAACTCTTGTCACATCTTCACCAGGTAAATGTCAAACTATAGGCCTCTAACAAATTGTCTGTAAGCTTATCAAATAAAATAAAAAACAATTATATATTATGAGGTCTTTCTTAGTTTCTTTAATTATTTGATATTTGTCATTAGTGTACAAACCTTTGGTATTACACGATAGTTCGTTCAGTTTACGGAAATCACTCTTGTGCATTTAACATTAAAATTTCATAAATAAGATTTTTTTTTTTTTAGCCATAAATCATTTAAAATTCAAAATCGAAGGGTGTTTACCTGATCGTAAAAGCCGAATAAGTTCAGGGATATCATTTTGATCGCAATGACCTGGTTGGAATGTTCCACTGCTTACTATCGCATCAAAATAACCTGTCAGGAATCAAACGATTTGATTTCCATTACTAACTTGATCTTCTCTGTATCAAATTGCCAATATCGAACTCTAATTATGCACTCATTGTGTTATTCAAAAATGAAAAATCACTTGTGTCCATGCGTCGTTCATTTGGACATTTTGGAGACAAAATAATGCATATACAGGCTAAATGGGGAGTGAGTGTGTATGAGAGAGAGAGAGAGAGAGAGAGAGAGATGGGGGGGGGTATACCACAATTTCCCCGTCCTGAATATGACAGGGAATGCCATTGACGCCGGGGAACAAAAAAACTGCTGCTACCCCTACCCACGGCACGCCCACTAAGATAAATTTCCCAAGACGCACCCCCTCCCCCTTTATGACCACACTCTTAGATACGCTTCTCCATGTCTGGATAAAGGATGCAATGGAGAAGAACAAGAAGAGGATGGACCCATCCCGCCCGAATTTGTTTTAAGTTTTAAATTGCTACCCCCCCCCCCCCAAAAAAAAAAAAAAAAAAATCGAAATGGGAGGGGGGGGGGGTTGGAACTTGCCCCTATCCCTTTAGTGACGCCCCTGAACTTACCATCGTCAAAACTTAATGGTGTCTCTGGTCTTGCCACACCTTGAATGATGGTCGCATAGCAGCCTTTCGACCTTGCTACGTCACAGGATTTATCAGATGGATCTAGGCCGTAGAGGTTGCTATAGCCGTCTTTATGAAGCTGAAAAATAATAATCGCGGACAGCACTTTTTTTCAACAAAAAATAATGTAAACAATTTCAGCATAAGACTTGCGCGTTGATAGGCCTTAGAAATGAGGCTAGCTCTTTTACACACCACATGTTAAGCTCTTGTCACGTGGGTGATTTTGAAGACCGCCTTTTGGGGAGAAAAGTGTTATACTGATGTTTATTTGATCAATAATTTAATAAGTATACATGGTCATGAAGTCGAAAACCATAAGCCGAATCCGAAGCCCTAAGCTAGGACCAATCCCCCTTAAAAAAGAAATCTTTCAAAATGTTTTTAAACACATAATTAGGCTTGATTATACCTAATGTCAAAGTCGGCATATTAGCTAGGAAGTTAAACTTTCGTGATTTTTTCCAATTTTGCCCAAGCCAATTTATTGAGCAATAGCATAGGAAATATATGTGAACATTACGTACCATTTCACCAAGCATTCCGGTCCCGCATCCGACATCAAGAATCAAAGCCTGCTTGTTCGGCACTACTTCGGGTAATCTTCGGTAAGCTCCGGCCGGTGCCGAGTACCCGACAAATTTGGAGTGCTGCGGTGGAAATTAGAAGGCATTGTTTCTTTTACTGAAGAAATATGTTAAAAAATATACCACCTTCAGGAAAAGTAGGAAAGTAGCAAGTATAAAAATTACGCAGTTCTTGTTGTTCTTGCTGTAGTTTTTTTATTGGCAAGCTATTCCAGTCAATAAATTAATGTTTAACGAATACGTACAGGTTCCAATATTGTCATACGAAGCAAGCAGGTTGGAATTTACATTACAAAAGAATAGGCATTTGGCGATTCCAATGTTACCCTAATGGTATTCGACTATGCCTTATATTACGTCAACTTTATATTGATCAGTCAGTGGCGGATCCAGGGGGGGGGGGCCCGGGGGGGCCGGGCCCCCCCCCCCCCTTGAGAAAAAAATCATGTAATTTTTGGGGGGTTGGGCCCCCCCCCTGGCGCTCAAGGGGGGGGGGGTGCAAATTGAAAATTTTTTGAGGATCAAAAAAAAAAAAAATGTGCTCACTACCCCCCCCCCCCCCCACTGAGCGAATTTTTGGCCGGCGCGTTTTTCAAATTTTCGGGAGCAAAAAAAAAAAAAAGTTGGGCCCCCTCCCCTAAGAAATCCTGGATCCGCGCCTGTGATCAGTATTGAACTAATTGACGATTAAACTGATCTCACTTTCACAGCATTCCGGCAAAATAATAACTGACCTGTTTATGATATATCATGATTTGGCTTAGATGTGTTGTTATATACCTCATCATAAGTTGCAGCTAACTCATCATAACTCTCTATGACTTTCTGCGGATCTCCACTGACTGGTCGAGCTTTCGTGAGCTCTCGGTAGTGCATCGCTAGCTCTTCGGAATTCTTCGCCATCCCTCGTGCATTCAGATTCTTAAACAAATAAGGGGGAGGGGTAACATGAATGGTAGCAATTAGGAGTAAAAGAAAAATAGCACAAGACCAATCTTAGATATTGCTCAATGGGTGTGTGAAAGTGAGCTTAAAGTTTACTTTTTCTTTTGTTGTAATTACAAAAATAAATAAAAAGCATTTTAGGTGGAAATTAATTTACAATAAAAGGAGAAAAGGTGACATGGGAGAAAAGAGATTAGAGAGGAATCAGAGAGAGAGAGAGAGAGAGAGAGAGAAGGGGGGTGCGGAAAAGAACAGACATAATTGCGACCGGAGTGCAGCGAGAGAGATGGGGAGGGGGAGCGGCCGGGGGGGGGGGTAGATGTGAGAGGGGAGAGGTGACAAAAGGAGAGAGAGAGATAGAGAGAGGGGTGAGGAAAAGAACAGAGATAATTATGACCGGAGGGCAGCGAGAGAGATGGGGTGGGGGCGGATGTGAGAGGGGAGAGGTGACAGAGATAGAGAGAGAGAGATGGGGGGGGGTGACAGGTGACAGGTGACAGAGGGAGATATATATATATATATAGAGAGAGAGAGAGAGAGAGAGAGAGAGAGAGAGATGCGTGAGGGGGATCGAGGGGGACAAAAAGAGAGAGAGAGAGAGAGAGAGAGGGGGGGGGGGGTTACGCAATTCTGACCCATATAAAACTTCATCTTAATAACGGAAAGAATTTGTTATAATAAACACGATCACAGATTTCCCCAAAACCAACCTTGGGCACAGCTTTCTAGAGCAATGTGCATGAACTTGAAAATGACCTATGACCATTATGACGCAATCCGAACATAAATTGTTTGGACAATAAGCCTTAAAACTGCCCTTGAGTTAGTTTTGTGAAAGTCCTTGCGATTATTTTAATGTAATGCAATGTAATATAATTCAACAGGTGCATGCCAGCTCAGTACGTCTTCTCCATTTTTAACCCCGCCCCTTTTAAAAAACAGTATGATTAAGCCTTTGATTCAATATTTTTACTTTACCTTTTTAACTGTAGTTTATCTCGCTTAGCGTCAGATGTTTTAATATTAATGGTTACTCTCCTCGATCACGATGCGACTTGCTGAGCAGCCGACATAGATTTAGTGGTCACCTGACTCGATCCTTGACAGTGCATGGATATAGGACAGTACATACGTGAAACACATTCACGATTCAGCTAATTGTATAAAATCATACGTATAGTTCAAGGTTCAAGCAATGCAATCGGAGCTCTAATTCAAGAGTTTGTAGTTCTGCAGTCAACTAAGAAGGATACAGTACAGTTCTACACGTAGTGTATGATAAAACATTGAGTTCTATACACATACGTATTTGCACCGCCGGAGTAACGTTTCTTTGGCTGAGTAGGTATAGTAATGAACTTGTATTTATACAGCCGTGGCTTGCTACCCCGGTTCGATTCGGTATACGGGTCAGGTCTGATTTCTCCACCATTTTATATGTGTGACGTCATCATAGATTTCGACTTTGACCTTCTTGTCTATCATATGCCGTGCAGCGCCGTAGAGGTTAGCCTCTTTTACCCCTCAGGGTGGCTCATCTCTCCTTCTTTCTTTCTCACATCTCGACCATGCCAGATCCATGCATATCATTGTCTAGCCGACATACTTATCTCTCCACCAGCGTATCGGGACAATAATATTTGTTCCCCTATTTAAAAACAATATTTTTTTTATATACACCCACGCCCACACATATTCTGTATAATATATATGGGAATTAAGAGAAAGAGAAAGAGAGAGAGAGAGGGGAGAGAGCAAAGAAGAGGGACAGCAAGAAAGAGATTTTAATTGGGGATGGGCAGAACAATACCACCACGAACAAGACACACAGAGAGAAAGCCAGTAATATTTCATTTATCTTAAGTGCATTATCTATCATGAACAAGGTTACAAATTGTCCCGGTATATAATTTGAAAAGTTCGTTTGGGTGAATATTATCAGACTATGAAATTAAATATTTGTACCGTCATTTATTTGCTCAATGCATACGTACCTGGTTGCTGGGTACACAATGTAGGCGTCACATTTCTCCCACTCACGCCCTTTTCAATGTAAAAAAAAAGGTGTTTACTTTAAAGGGGCACGTTCCCGACAGTGTAGTTATCGGAACATGCCATCTGCGTAAGAGCCGTATCAATAGGCAGCTATAGCGCCGTCCGCCAGCGCGTACGTATTGTGAGCGCCCTCTGGAATACGGGGAACATGCCCCTTTAATAGGCAGCGCAATGAGCATTCTGCACGTGAGAGCAACCGAGTAAAGTCAGCTAGCAGTAGGCCTAGATGTCAAACAGCAGCCACGTGTGAAACTCAGTCTAGGATCTAAATCAAAATGGCGATTTCAATCTCTTTCCGGCTCCTGGTCATTTACGTACTCGGTGTCGGTTTAGTCTCGACGATACCGTGCGCAAGTGGTGCCAATTTCCTGACAGGGTTGTTCAATCCTTTAGGCCAAGCCTCGCACATCCATTTCGTTGGACGAATCACTGCTGGTCTAATTAAACGAGGCCACACTGTAACTCTCCTGGTAGCTGATACCTATGACCTACATAGTCTTGACAAGGATAATGCCGTCACAAGGATTCTCACTTTCAAGGTAACCCCTGTACCTTTCCATCGTAACTGCGGAAAATTAAAACAAGTACCCTATAAAAAAAGCACAAACATCAGAAGAAGGCGGGTTAAAGGTTGAATGAGATCGGGTACAAAATAGTAAAGTTATTCTTAACCTTAACGTTGCAATCACTATTATACGCATGTGCACTTCAAATTGCCTGTATCGGAAAAGTCTTCACTTGTTTCAACGAAACAAATGACCAAATTTGATTCAGGAAGGTCTTTTCTTTGTAGACTTCTTATAAAAACAATATTTTATCCATAATCTATTTTTAGTAGTGCGACTAGTGAGAAAGCACCTAGGAGAAAGACATATAAAGTAATTATATTATTGTACACAACAAACGGGAGAGTTGCCAAGGACAAATCATCGACTAAATTGCCAATTTGAGATTCTCATAAATTTATGATCTCATATTTCAAATATCTAGTACTCTCTTAATATTGGTCCGATGAAATTCGAACTTCTGCCATGCTGTTTCTCCTATATTTCTGCTTTTATAAAATGAACTCATTACAAAGGCTGGGTTACCATATAAAGACATTGGTGTTGTGTTTATGGTTATTTCAACAGACAACCACGTCCTCGTCAGACTCTGGTCTAAAAGTCTTTTCCGAGTCGATGTCCGCAACTCAACAAAACGACGCCAGTTCGATCGGGACGCTACAAATATTTCTGGCCCTGAGAGATGTCTCCTCGCAGAACTGTGCGGACATGTTCAACGACCAGGTCGTCATGAATGAAATCCGGAAGAATAATTTCGATCTCCTTCTTCTCGAAATGTTCGTACCGTGCGATGCGTTGCTTGCCGAGTATCTTAAGGGTGAGTTTAAATTCATGGTAGAGAAAAGGAAAAGGATTAACATAATGTTGTATATAATTATGAACATTGTCTTCCATGTGTATGGTCAAAATATTTGTGCCAAATTGTTGACATATCTCTCACATTGTTTAAATTTATTGTTGCGATTTCAGTACCATTCATCGCTATGACGTCAACTCTCCGATTCCCAGCTTTCGACGAGGACTTCTTTAACATGGAGATTCCTTCATCGTATGTGCCATTCGAGAGCATGGGCGCCCTCACCGATGAAATGAACTTTGCTCAACGCGTGCAGAACTTCCTAGACCGGCATGTGATCGCAAAGGTAGTGCAGTACTTGAACATGAGACCTTATCGGTAAGATATTTGTTCCAGATTGAACCTATTTAGTCCTATTATTTTTCATAGCAGATTGGTTGATCAAATCATACAGCGTGGTGTTCAAGTTTTCCAGTTAGAATATGGTCTAAACTTGACAGAATCATCGTTTTTCTTTCTTACAAAATGTCTTAAACTAGATCCATGACTAGATCAAAATTGGGGTTCATCTGTGACAGGCTGGGGATACATGTCCTATTTTCTTTTCATGCAGGCTAGTCTAGTTAGCAATACACCCCATACTATTCTGGTCCACAGCAACACCCAAGTCCTCCGTTTAAAGCTCGCTGCATACTATATGATCTGACTACGATCCGTTTAAAGCCCGATGCATACTATATGATCTGACTACGATCCGTCTAAAGCCCGCTGCACAGGCCTACTGACTACGATCCGTCTAAACTCCGCTGCATACTATATGATCTGACTACGATCCGTCTAAAGCCCGCTGCATACTTTATGATCTGACTACAATCCGTCTAAAGCCCGCTGCATACTGATCTGACTACGTTCCGTCTAAAGCCCGCTGCATACTATATGATCTAACTACGATCCGTCTAAAGCCCGCGGCATTCTATAATTATGATCTGACTACGATCCGTCTAAAGCCCGCTGTATACTATATGATCTGACTACGATCCGTCTAAAGCCCGCTGCATACTATATGATCTGACTACGATCCGTCTAAAGCCCGGGGCATTCTATAATTATGATCTGACTACGATCCGTCTAAAGCCCGCTGTATACTATATGATCTGACTACGATCCGTCTAAAGCCCGCTGCATACTATATGATCTGACTACAATCCGTCTAAAGCCCGCTGCATACTATATGATCTGACTACGATCCGTCTAAAGCCCGCTGCATATTATGATCTGACTACGATCCGTCTAAAGCCCGCTGCATACTATATGATCTGACTACGATCCGTCTAAAGCCCGCTGCATACTATGATCTGACTACGATCCGTTTAAAGCCCGCTGCATACTATATGATCTGACTACGATCCGATTCGGAAGAATTTGCACTACCATTCAACGTTAACATTCAAACTTCTAAAATCATAATGAGCGGTGACATGAATAGTCATTATGATTAATACAAATTTAAAGTACAATGGATTTCAAATTCCCTTGGAGGAGGAAAAGCTAAATCGGCTTAGAATCGTGGTGACGTCATACCAGGAGTGCGATTGTCTACGATCTGAAGCCGATTCGGCTTTTATTTAGACTAGAAGGGTTAAATGCATTAAAAGTCCTGCTGTTAATATTCTTATTGTTATTTAGAACCTAAAATCATAAAGATGATATTGTTTAGATTTCAGTATCTAATATAATTGTAAGTTCTTTTAAATCGAATCGCAGGAATATCGTATAGTGTGCGGCGAAAGAACGTGACGAAAATAAATGATCTTGTTTGTTCTTGGCAGGAAGATACAGCTTGAATACAAGATCGATACGACATCTTCCATCAGGGAACTGACCGGACGAGCTCAACTCTGGTTGTGCCACATGGATTTCGCCCTTGATTTCCCCCGTCCAACCGCTCCGAACTGGAAGATGATCGCCGGTCTCACAGTGGATGCGGGGACCAAACCACTTTCTCAGGTTAAGGACACTATCCTCTATATTAGATTATCAGTCGTCCCAATAAACAAAATCACGTGAAAATCACGTTAATATCAAGGTATCGACTTGAGGAGAGTTACGTTCTTTAAACACCGGACATTTACGTAAATGTGTTAATACGTTTATTGCATTAGGTAACTTAAAACACACGTACACTAAATCACGCAATTGTCACTGCAATATCACCATTATAATAACGTGATTATCCCTACCTTGGAGACCATGGTTTGTAAACCTAATACTCCCGTGTTTGTTTGGTTATGAAATTACATCTTCATACACGAAATTATCGCTTCACAGAAACACGTGAAGCGTTAGTGATAGTTTTAGTCAAAATATCTGCGTGAAATTCACGTGAATATGACGAGGCTGACTTGAGATGAATCATGTTCTACATTCACGTGAAATTTACGTCGAAGAGGAAGTATGTTACTGTAACCCGCGGTCAAACCCAATAATTACGCAAATGTTACACAATAAATGAACCAAAATAATGACGTTCTCATCCCGTTTCTGAACATCGTGTCTTGGATCTTCCATAATTACGTCCAGGCGCGCCGGAAGCAGTTTGGGATTAGAGGGGGTTGGGTGGGGGGGGGGGGGGGGGGGGGGGGGAGTGCAAACATCCCAGAAGAGAAAGCTAGTTGCAACTGGTCCAGTTGATGATCCATTTAATGCCAACTGGTAACCCTGGAAATTGAAATGGCTAAATGATCCAGTTGATCCAGGCCAGTTATAATTCAACTGGTCTAGCTGAGCCATTAGAACCATTTGGTAAAACTTCCAACCAGTTGAACAGCAACAATACTTCAATACTGGTACGTCTGTATTTCCAATGTAAGGGCATTGGTAATAAGTAGACTTACATAGTTGAATTAATCGAGAAAAAAATCGTATACTTGTACTTTATTGAAATTATTTTAGTTCACAGTTAATGTTTTCCTTATTCATGTTTAACTATTTATACGAAGTAGCGAAATGTTCTAATAACTGGTAATTTATATATTTTGTAGTATTTTCGAAATGAATTGCATATAACTAAATCATCAGTAATTAAGAAATATGCTGTAAATTCAGATAAATTGTTTAAAAAACATAGATCTGCACGCACCCCATATTCAATATGCAAATGAATTGGTGTCAGCTGGGTCAACTCTAAATATGCCAACGCTCAGTCATCAACTGGTGCAACTGGAAATATGCACACTCCAGTTATCAACTGGTGCAATGAAAATATGCCAACAGTCAGTTATCAACTGGTGAACATAGAAATATGCCAACAGTCACGGGATTATCACCACGGAACTTAAATGGTAACTGTGAAACCATCAAGACACCCAAGAATAACTCATTTTCCCACATGGAAAACACGGAATACCCAGCTTATATTAATAATCCGTTTGAGTCACGCGATCATCACCGCGGAACTGCTGGCAACTTTGACTACGATTTAAAGAGGTGTTTTAAGACACCTAATCATGACTAATTTTTCACACCTAAAAGTCACGTATGCCCAGCTTAGATTAATAATCCGATTGAGTCACGAGATCATCACCGCGGAACTTATGGCAACTTAGACTTCCATTTAAATAGGTGTTTTAAGACACCTAATAATGACTAATTTTTCACACCTAAACACGTATGCCCTGCTTAGATTAATATTCCGTTTGAGTCACGAGATCATCACCGCGGAACTGCTGGCAACTTTGACTACCATTTAAATAGGTGTTTTAAGACACCTAATAATTACTAATTTTTTACACCTAAATATCACGGATTCACAGCTTAGATTAGTTATCAGTTTTAACTACGTGATTATCACCAAGAAAGTTATGGTAACTTTGAAACCATTTAAATAGGTGTTTTAAGACACCTAATAATGACTAATTTTTTCACACCTAAAAGTAACGTATGACCAGCTTAGATCAATAATCCGTTCGAGTCACGAGATCATCACCGCGGAACTTATGGCAACTTTGACTACCATTTAAAAAGGTGTTTTAAAACACTTAATAATTACTAATTTTAACACCTACATATCACGTTTTTCACAGCTTAGATTAGTAATCAGCTTGAGCCACGTGATCATAACCAAGATATTTATGGTAACTTTGAAACCTTTTAAAGAGGTGTGTAAGACACCTCAGAATTACTAGTTGAATATAACCAGAGATTCACGGACAGAACAATAAGACGATTAGCCGGTGTAAGTAACGTGATTAGTACCATAAACCTTGGATAACCTGTGAAACCAATCAATAAAGGTGCTTACAAGACCAAATAATTACGTATTTATCGCCACCATCGGTTAACTGACAAAAAACTCGTTGGTTGGTCAAGTGGTTATTTGTTCATAAACACTTGATTTACAGAGGTAAGTGGAATCACGTTACTCCAGTCGCGTGATAAACTGGTGGTTTTTAGGTTAGATGAAAACGTGAACAGGAGTACCTTTTTTGTTTAAATGAAGGCACGTGTCGATAACGTTTAAATCTAGTTCAAAAGGCCCTATACTTTAAATCACTTAAAATACACTCCCAAAAGAGGTTACTTTTTGGTGTTCTATTTATTGGGGTTATAAGATGATGACGTGGATCCTAATCAAATGATTGGTTGAAAGCGTACACGTGACCAGGCATTTATTTTGCCTAACGCGTAATCGCGCGTAATTTGGGTAATGACCGGTCATTATCCAATGGTAATGACCGGTCATTATCAAAATCATGTTAGAAACATCATCTTATAAAACAAAACAAAATATGAAAGATAAAAATAATACACATCATTTTGTTCGCGCATTAGTAAAATTACCCACACTTGGTACCTTCAAAACAGTCCAAACGCCCTCGGCATCGCTTCGGGCGTGTTAGACTGTTCCAAAGGTACCTCGTGTGGGTAATTCTTACTAATGCCCCCACTGATGTGTATTATTATTATCTTCCATACACCCACAACAAAAAGTGAGTCACCCTTACTCAAATTGATGAGTCACTGGTTTGTCCGTACAGCGAAACACTTGAAGGATCATGTGAGTCACTATGACTCGATACAAATGAGTCTTATTCAGCGGCTGGCTGAGTCGTTGCGATTTTTTGGGGAGTCGTTGCGAAATGTTTGGTCCGATTTTCACCTCCCCCCCCCCCCCCCCCCCCTCCTTGAAAAATTCCTGCGTATGCCACTGTTCACGTGAGACATCTTTTTGTAATAGTTGGACTGGATTTTGATATGTCAGTGGTACTAGGTGGGCCTACCAAAAGCACATCGGCTTGGAAGTTTTTTTTTTGTATCGATGTACTGCTCATGATCTGTTAAAGTACCAAAAACGCGGGTCCTCGGACTAACATGAAATCGAAATTTTTTAATTTTTTTATTTTAGTATGAAACCTCTGTTGGTCTATTTCTCATATTTGATTTTTGTTTTAATGTCATGAATGTAAAGGTACCAATAATGAACACATCCGATTTTTTTTCTGCAGGATTTGGAAGCCTTTGTTGAAGGATCAGGTGATCATGGTGTCATCGTGTTCAGCCTGGTAAGACGCCCTCATTCAGACTAGCAATGTTGTTTGTATAATCATAGAAATTCCCAAAGTCCAAACTCAGTTAGAAAAGGAAAAAATCGCAAATAGCAAATCGTAGTTTTGAGTCACTTTTCACAATGTTCCCGTTTTTTGGATGGTTCTTTGCAGATGATTATCTTCAAACAGTGAAACAGCGAAAAAAGATCTGATTGTCTTCTTTAATTGCTCTACAAAATAGTTGGGGAAATCGGTCCTCCTTTTACAAAATCCTAGGGCCGCCCGGATAGTGTGAAATGAAATTTTCCTCCTTCTTTCACTACAGGGTTCAACCGATGTGAGCCTATTGACTGAACAAATGAACGAAGATTTCGCACAGGCGTTGAGTGAACTGCCTCAAAGGGTACTATGGAAATATGACGGCCTTCCTCCTCGTAACCTTGGTAACAACACCCGACTAATGTCATGGTTACCACAGCGTGACCTCCTCGGTAAAAAAAATTTGCGTCTTATTTTTATTTATTAAAAAATGAACAAAAACTGTTAATCAATTTTATTTGTCAGGCAGATGTTCTTTCCAATTGATTACCATCGTTTGATAAGTTTGTTCAAACTTCAAATACATTTTGATATGAATATTCACTAAGTGTCTTCAAACTCAAAAGGCAAAAACAACAAACTCACGTTGTGCTGTAATCATATGCACGTAATAACACATGTGTCAGTATCAAAGATCATATTAATATTTACACCTTTCCTCGCGGTTTTCTCAGTCTATCATTTGCCATCGATATTAATTATTAAGTCTTTTTTTACTTCATGGTCGAGATACTATCGAGGTCTTTTCCCGTATTCCATCTGGGGTCTAAGGGCTTGAGTTTGGTTGGTGTTCTCTTCCATCCACAGCTCACCCCAAAACAAAACTCCTCATATACCACGGAGGACTCGCCGGCGTCTATGAGGCTATGCACTTACAGAAACCCATGGTGATCCTCCCTGTCTTTGCTGATCAGCCCGCCATAGCAGCCCGGGTGGCGAAGAAGGGGATGGGGGTTGTCTTGTCGAGGGCCACTCTCTCCGCTGAGATCATCAATCAGCGATCATGCAAGTCCTTACCGATCCAAGGTGAGTTTTCACTTATCCACGCTATGAACATGACGGACAAAGAAAGAGGACAAAATATACAGTTCCTCATTCTACCCTCAACAATAATTGCTGTATTAGAAAAAGGAACATCCCTTCACTGCTATTATGTAAAAATGTGTAGAACAGGTGAATATGCATGTGACACCTGTTCGACACATTTTTACATAATAGCAGTGAAGGGATGTTCCTTTGTCTACTACAGGCTACAGCAATAAGGGTAGAATGGGGAACTGTATATTTTGTCCTCTTTCTTTGTCCGTCATATTCATAGTGCTATTTGACTAATAATTAATCAATACAGCGTTTTACCTGTGTTTGATTACCTCGGTCAGTGGGTTCCCTTATGATTATTTACTCCACTTAGGAGCTTCCTAGCCTGGGGGCCATTTTATAAAATATGCTTTTCCATCAACAATGACATTCGAATCCTACCGTGTACACATTAAAGACCTGGGTGGAGAGAAGCAAATCGGATGAAATGCCTTCCTTTAGGACATGGGTGCCGTGAAGGGGCTCGAACCCACAGAAGTTGTATATCGATAGTCAAGTAACTAAACAACTCGACTGCGATGAATATCAAAATAGTGTTGACGGAAGATATGTAGATAGATACTAAAGGGCAATGCAAATTTTGTAATAAGTTCACCCAGGGGCGTACGCAGGGGGGGGGGGGTCGGGGGTTCAAACCCCCCCCCCTTTGGATTTTTTTTTTTTTTTTTTTTTTATTATTAAAAAAAAAAAAAAAAAAATGCCCACGGCTAACCTAAAAAAGGTGACCTTACCCCCCCCCCCCCCAACGAAGAAAAATGTCAAATTTTCAAATTTCGAGACCAAAAAAAAAAAAAGTGTCCGCTTACCCCCCCCCCCCCCCCCCCCCCCCCCCCCCCCATTGAGCGACTTTTCGGCCGGCGCGATTTTAAATTTTTCGGAGCAAAATATTTTGGGCCTGATTTTAAAACCCCCACCCCCTTGAAAAAATCCTGCGTACGCCCCTGAGTTCACCTGTATGAAAGCAGAAAAACAGGATGGCAAAATTATGAAATATATCGGACTAATTATGAGAAAGTTATGAATTTTTGAAAATCAGATCCCTATAAGTCTATGCGCTTCTCAAATCGACAGTTTGGTCAATGGATTGTGACGCAGTCGCGGATAACTCTCCCGTTTATCGTGTACAAAATATCATTAATTTTTGTTCTTCTCCTAAGTGTCTCCTCCCTAGGGGCAATACTTAAATATGTATTATAGATTATAAAATAAATTATCTTAGGTCGGAATAGACCCTCCTGAGTCATTTTCTTGAAGAAGAAAAAAACACGTTTTGTTTGTTGGAACTAATGGGAAAGTTGTCCGCCAATACATCCCAGAGACATTACGGATTCAGTCAATTTGAAGGGCCAATACTTTTAGTAATTACAACTTTAAAAAAAGAATGAATAATAACTTTTGATTTATTTAGCGCATAATAATTAACACTTAATTCTCTATGCGCTTTACATTAAAAGAGTACGCTTTACAATCTACATCAACATGATATATTTTTAGTCCGATTTCCTGCAAACTTTCACAAGTCTACTTCTCTGATTTTTCTACTTTCAACTAGAGAAGTTTGCTATCAAGGTTGGATTTCCCTTCAATGTCTACATGACCTTCAACTCTGATCCTGACCCAAAAATATTCATAAAATTCTCAATTTTTGTCCGATTTCATGCAAAATTTCGCAAGGCTACTTCTCTGATTTGTTTAATTTCATCTAGTAAGAGTAGTTTGCTGTCAGGGAGGTGAGACTATTGTTTAACCTCCCTGTTTGCTATCAAGGTTGGATTTTCCTTGAATGTGTACATAAACTTCAACTCTGATCCTGACCCAAAACCTATCATAACAAAATATATTATCATAACTTTATCATAACGTTCTTATGTATATTCCTGAACAAAGGTCAAAATATTGAATATGCTATCCGTCATATTATCGTGTCGTGCCGTTTTCCTTTCCAAAGGGTTCACTTTGCTTTTCCTCATTACTTTTCATCGTCAGTTATAAAGCCAACGTTGAGAAATTCGGATCCATCAGTAAGGATACAATCGTCAGCCCATTGGAGACCGCCATGTTTTGGATAGAACATATCGTCAAGTTTGGCGGTTCGCATCTCAAGTCTAGAGCTGGGGAGTTGAATATCATCACTCTAAACTCACTTGATGTCATCGGTTTTCTCAGTGGCATCGTCCTGTGGGGACTATACCTAGATTTTCTTATCCTTCGTTCATGTTACCGCTGTTGTATTACCAGAAATAAAGCTAGAAAATCAAAATCAGACTGACAGTCTGAAATTGTGGCAAATCCGTATAAGTTATCTCGAATATAAAACCATACAAATGTGAAAACAACATTGTATAATAGCACCCTAGTTAATCACTCCCACAATTATTTTATGGGATAATTCTTTTTTTTCTACTTTCCTCAAATAAAGACCTTTCTTTCTGTTATGGCGTAAATGATGTATAATCTCCTTTTCTATATAAACTTAAAGTCAATGTAATATAACCAAGCATGCTCCCATACTAAATTGCTTTATGGAATCGTCTGGGTATTTTTTACACTGTTAATGAATTGTACAAATTATATCCTGTAAATATTGTCTGAATACCTTGTGAAATAAAAGTGACTGATAAGATCGATGTTAATTTGAAGTGATATGAATACCGCCCTTGTACTAAAATAGACTACTTTTCCGGATTTCAATAAATAAGGGAGTTTACAGATACAATCTGCGCATGGACAGATAAAGGTCATTTGTACCAAAATGGTAAAACCCTCAGAGATGAATACTGGATATGCGCTCATGAAAGTAATGTAACATCATTCATTCATGCACCAACGGTACATTATATGATACGCAGGTGGAAGTATTCTTTTCAAGAGGTCAACAAAAGGTATTCATGAAGCACATCTAGGACTTTGGCAGTTATTATTGTAAGATGCTCAAAGTGGAACTTTTCCATTTGTAAAAGATCTGCGGATATTTGGGGTCATTTGTACCATGTGCTATCTGTAACTCCCTTATTCAAGCATTGTTTACGTTTCGCTCAATACCTAACTTCTTATTTTTCAAGCTGTTATGCTATTATGTAATATTATAACCGAAATAAATTACCTTTGACGAAATCGTGGACAAGGTGACAAGTATTGTTATTATTTAATGATTTCTTTTGTATAGATTTGTTGTATTTCTCAACTTTGATTAGGCAGTACTAACTGAAACAGACGGATAGAATACTAACACTTCAACAAGCTCTGCTTCAAGATAATTCCTCTTTTCTCGTGCTATTTCCACTATATTTATCGTTTCATTACATATTTGTTGTGATATAATTATTTTTGTATTATGTTTTGCATGAGAAATAAAAATAAATCATTTCATTTCATTTCATTTCTACTCTGTTTAATACAGAATGTGCACACACACCCTAGTATACTCAAACATAATAATAACATTAATAGTAATAATACTGATACTAATAATAATACTAATAATACTACTACTACTACTAATATTAATGATGATGATGATGATAAATACCCAGGTAGGTAACCAGTAGGAAGGGATTCCTTGAGTCATGTGAGCACCGAAGTCGATAGCCTAGCAGAACAGGAGTAATACTGGAGCGCCTTGAGCATCTTACATGGTAGATAATGTGCGCTTTAATGGTTTTATGCATTCCCTGTCTACCACCGTCTAGTAAAACAGTGTTATGCAATACACCTATATTACAAGAGTTTCACCGGCTTGATTATTTTGTTTCTGATAGAATATTACTTATGCTATATAATAGTCTAATTTTACCACTCTCTCTCTGTCTCTCTCTTTCTCGTTCCTAGCTGGCTCTCTTCTCTCACGCAAAAGTCCCCTCTCTTTCCCCTTTTCTCTCTCCCTCTCCCTCTTTATATCTCTCTTTCTCTCTCTCTCTCTCTCTCTTTCTCTCTCTCTCTCTCTGTCTTACACCCCGTTCTCTCTCTATCCCCTCTCCCCATCTCTCCCCCATCTCTCTCTCTCTCTCTCTCTCTCTCTCTCTCTTATATCTATGATAAATGAGCCCATCATACACCTATGCTATCGTTCTTAAAAGTCTGTCACAATGACATTGGCGCATGAAATGAAACAGTATGGTAAAGGAAAAACATAATGTAAAGAACACATAATAATTATAGCTCTCTTTGTGGACGGTTCTTACTTATCGAACATTGAGGGGGCGTTGCAAGAATGTTGCGATCGATTGCAAGTTGTAAAATCAGTGCAACTGATATTGCAATCGATTGCAACTCAACTTCTTGCAACGCCCCACTAGTCTCCTAAATTTCCTAGGATTTTGTTAGGATTAAAGTTTTAACAATTAAAAAACATAACTAGATCTAGCTTGTATCCCCCCTCTCTCTCTCTCTCTCTCTCTCTCTCTCTTTTACTAATGGGGTGTTGCAAAAAAGTTGAGTTGCAAATTTGCAATTAATTGCAAGACTTACGCTTGATTTGGGGTGTTTGCAATAATTGATTGAAACTTTCTTGCAACGCCCCATAAGACTGACGATGAAATTCTATAATATGTATTTGCTGTACTAAAATGTTTAATAAGATGTATAAATAAACGCACGTGTCATTTCCTCGGTTACAAAAATATATTGTGGTTCACTATTGGTATGTCTTGCAAACAAAACCCATCTTCCAAGGTAGTTAGTCAGATTGAATTGAATTGAATTGAATTGAAATTTATTGTCCCTTTCAGGAATTTCTGTTTTCACTGGTTTTACAGTCATTGTACAATAATGGCAAATTTACATCGTCACAAACATAATAACATTCTGAAAATGATTGTTACATTGGAAACGGAACAATACATACAATGGACATTGATTGCAGTATAACGTGAACTGCATCTATAACATTTCAAGTGAAAATTTGAACATTATTAAGCTTACTATGTGTTTATTTGAAAAAGTAGGTAAGTTTAGTATTATGAGCCCTAACAAAAATTAAATTAAAAAAACAAATAATAAGTTGAGACCAGTATTTACGTTTGAGTTCCAGACCTCCGGGCTTGTGCGTTAAAGAGGTGAATGGCGTTGGGAACAAAAGATTGCCTGAGACGGGTTTTCTGTATGCGCGGTGCACACACTCAGACGTATACCTGAACGGTTAAATTTAAAGTTCTCGTTGAGTGGATGGGTCCTGCATTGCCTGTTTAAATTTAGATGAGACTCTCTCTTGGTACAGATTATCAAGGAGTGGCAAATATATCCCTAGTATACGTTGAACTATTTTTCCTGAGTCGCCTTGTCGTCGATGATCACCAAGCAAGCGTCGCTTTGACGTCAATGATGTATTCTTTGGTGGGAACTGGACTCCTTCTCGAGCTAGTCACGTACTCCGAGATGCCAGGCTGACTGGCGATGAAGTCAACAAATGCCTGCATAGAGTAAGAAAAAAGCTTTGTGAAACATCAACAAAGAATATTATAATCTTTTGTAGGCGCCTTTGTTGAATCGTCCCTTATAAAATATGTACTATGAAATACCAGATTGAGCCTGCACAAATCAATATTTTGATATCTTGATAGAAAATATTTTCAAGTCTGGTAAAATTCAGACCCCCTCCCATATTTCCTTTCCAGTATATTTTAGGGAAGCTCACGTACTTACCGCGCATTTGGGATACCCCTGAAGGACTGAGGCGAGTTTTGGGTAGGGCGAGTCGGTGATATGTGTGAGGGAGTCAAAGGCAACGATATCTGCGATAGAAAGACGAGATCCAACGAGAAAACCGGAGCTATTCTCTGTCAGAGTCTGGATGGATTAGGAGAGAGAGAGAGAGGTGGAAAGGGGGAGAGAGAGTGGAAATGGGGAGAGAGGGGTGGAAAGGTTGAGAGAACGGGAGAACCAGAGAGGAGAGAGCCAGACAGAGAGAGAGAGAGAGAGAGAGAGGAGAGAGAGAGAGAGAGAGAGGGTGGAGAAAAAGAGGGGGTCGGTATAAATTATCATTATAAATATAAAACAAAATCGAGGGATATAATGACGGTTTATACAGAGAGAATAGGACATTATTTTTAAGAGGAGCGTAACCGTAGAACGGGTGAAAAGGGAGTGGGTATATATTTATATAAAGAGAGAAAATAAATGGGACAAAAAAGAGAGATTCCCGGAGCAAAGGACAGGGTTCATCTTTGAAAACGATGACTTGACAATAGAGAAAAACGATGACTTGACAATAAGAGAAAAACAAACAAGAGTCACAATTGGGTATAAACATAAGAGACAATGGATATGATAGCAGAGATAACAAATATCAATCGTTAATACATGTATTGCAATGTTATATGTACTCACAAAGAAAGATTGCAATAAACTGAAGCATTTGGCAGACTGAAATGCACGTAGCATGACTAAGCTGTTCGGAGCCTCTTGACTTATGTCATTATACCTTTGTTCCTGAATACCTTTGAAACCATTATCATTATCGTTATAAATTGGGGACTTTCTTCCCATACCATTTGTATGATCATTAATGATCTCTTCCGATTGACTTTATTTGTTTCCGTTTGAGTATTGTCCTATCTTATGTAATTATTATCTTATTTTCCTTCTTGTTATCAAACTGTTATCTCAGGCTGTGTTGAGGATAACCTCCTCGTTTCCATTTAAAATCAATGGTAATACATGAACATATAATTCCGATACAGAAATTGGTTTGCAATATATAATAATGGTTTATGCTAAAATGCTTTCTATTCTTTATACATTATTTAATTACATTGTTTTGATATTGTTCAGATAAAGTCGAGTTCTGGTCATGCGATTGCATTGTGAAAGAAACGTTGTGGAATTGATCAGAAAAGGTTGATCATCTAGCATATAAGTATTGGTGTGTACTGCTAGGTTCTGGAATAATCAAAATGATAAGGAATTTGGCCCTGTCTTGGTAAAGTTACAAGCACTGTACACAGAAATATGTATATGGGACAACACGAACATGTGGCATAAAAACCTGTCCCGATTGTTATGCCGTTACATGCCATATTTAGAATATGAAGGCATTTGAAGAGCCATGCTCTTCAGGGACCATTTGTTATCTGATGTTCTTCCACAATTGCGTAATAAGAATGATAACGCTCATAAATTATTTGTCACCTCTTCCCAAAACTCAACCTTCTATATGACTGTTGAAAATGATCCTAGCTCTTTGCAAATTGGAGAAGTAAATAATTGAAATTTTATCGAAAATAAATTGAAAACACCGAAGTTAGGAGCAATTTAGACTAATAGTCTCCTCTTTCTTTCTTATACATAATCATTCAAGGTAAATATGTTTATAACTTTGAACGAATGGTACCATAATATTCTAATTTCAATTATTTCAAGACGACAGAGCCTCCGTCCTACCTTTTCGAATGCTGGGAGGTATTTGTCGTTAGCTATCGTTAGGACCTTTCGTTCGATGATGTCTTCAGGATTCGGAGCAAAGAGGTAGCTACCAAGTGCGCCATCAAAAAAGTCCTTGGCACCCATCACAAGAATATCGATCCTGAAAATAAAATCCAAAACTATGATGATTTTTTAATCAGTGTTCAAAACTTACCGCCAAGGTAAAGTGTGAAATACTGAAGGGCAATACATACTTTGCAATAAGTTGAAGCGTGTAAAAGAAGAAAGAGACCAAAACAAGACTGATCGACATTGGGAGGGTATTTCAATATAAAATGTTATATAATTTAATTTATACAAATAAGCATCTATACACTTTCAAACATGCAGTAAGCAATCTTTGCTCCTTTTGCAATAAACACGAAGAAACCTATGAGCATCTGTTTTTTACCTGTGAAAAGGTAGCAAATATATTGAAGGACTGCGGTGACCTTTTTGCTTTATCAGCGTTAAAAAATCTACACTGGCAAGAAATTCATATCGGGATAAAAAGATCCAATGCGGGAGAAGAACAACTGTTAATCACATTATTCTTTTAACAAAACATATGATTTTTAAATATAGTTCAACTAAAAATAGACCCCCAATTCCTCAAGAAATTAAAAAAAGAATTATAGAAAATAGGCAAGAAGAAAAGGAATTAGCGGGGAGAGAGGCACTTTAACACTGCACTTCAGATGGGACAACTTCCACAGTTAAGGACGGCGAGGCAAATACTTCTTTCTCAGACTCAGACATTTTTTTAAATATATAATTTGGTCTTAAGGAAAAGGAAGAGACAGGATTTCCAACAAATATGTAGATGTGAATGCTCGGGAAAAGAAGGGGGATTTGTTGAGCTTTGGAATGAAGGGGGAGGGGGATATGTAAGTTTGTATGTCTTCTGAATATGTGAGCGTGTGTGGTGTGTCTGTCTGTTTGTAAGTAACTCTTTAATTTATAATATTCGTTCAGTATAATTAATTTGAAAACATTATGTACTGTGTATTAAACTATCTTATGTATTTTTTGAGAGATGTACAATTTTCTTTATATTTTGATATGATATGTAAATCAATGAAGCTGTATGTTTGTTTGTTATATATTTTGTACTGAATGAATACAATAAAACAATGCTACAAAACAAAAAAATACTTGAGCTATCATCATTAGCGAGCGTCGCTAAAGCGGGACTCCCACTTGGAGTTGGAGCCTCGAGTTGTGGCGAGCTGGCGCGAGCTTGAACTCGCGTAAACTCGTATGAACTCGCTTGAAATTTACTTATTTTTATGATATTTGCATGAATGATCTACGACGCAACATCGAGTTTCCTACGATGAATGTGACGAGTAAACCGAGCGCGATACGAGTCACGCGAGGTCGGTATGAGTGGCGATGCCATGTGTACGACTTGTACCGATCTACCAACGAGTTATCAAGCTCTTCTAACGAATGATAAGAGTTTTCTACGAGTCATATGCGGGCGGGAAATACATAATTTTGGCGCTCTCCAAAGCCGCAAGTCCCGTGGGCAACTCGGCATGACTCGCAGCACGATCGTCGTGCTCGTACTCAAGTCTTGGAAACTCGAATAATACTCGGTATACTGAAGTATAATAAGGTATAATTAAGTATAATTCAAGAAGGTGGCGAGTTGCTACGAGTTATGAAGAGTGAAGCGCGAGCTTGTTACGAGTAATGCGAGTATATTACGAGTGTAACTGGTCGCGACTTCGAGGATAGTCTTGGAATGTTGTAAAGAGTGACGCCGAGCCATACCGAGTTGTCCCGAGTTACAAAAAGAGCTTTTCGCGAGTTACTGCGAGTGCCTCTTTGAGGGATCTCACCACGACTCGCCATTACTCGCTAATACAACTCGGCTAAAGCAGGGCTCCCACTTAGCCGAGTTGTATTAGCGAGTTAAGGCGAGTTGTGGCACTCGCAATAACTCGCGAAGGTTTTTCTTGAAACTCGGGATAACTCGCGACAACTCGGTATGGCTCTGCGTAACTCTTTACAACATTTCACAACTCTCCTTGAAGTTGCGAGCAGTTCCAAATTTTGAACATGTTCAAAATGTTCACTGCTTCGTTATAACTCGAAGTGAACTCGCTTACATTCGTAATATACTCGCAATACTGGGAAACAAGCTCGCGCTGCACTCTTCATAAGATGGCGAGTTGCTACGAGTTATGAAGAGTGCAGCGCGAGCTTGTTACGGGTAATGCGAGTATATTACGAGTGTTAAGCGAGTTCACCTCGAAGTACAACGAATCAGCGAAAATTTTGAACACTCATAATATACTCGCATTACTCATAACAAGCTCACGCTGCACTCTTCATAAGATGGCGAGTTGCTATGAGTTATGAAGAGTGCAGCGCGAGCTTGTTACGAGTAATGCGAGTATATTACGAATGTAGGCGAGTTACAACGAATCGGCGAAAATTTTGGAACTGCTCGCGACTTCGAGGAGAGTCGTGGAATGTTGTAAAGAGTTAGGATATTAATCACGGACTAATTGTCGCGGAAGCATTTGCCGTATGAAGCCCCCCCCCCCCCCCTCAACCCCCCAACCCGCCCACTCCACCCACTCCATCCATTAAGAATGGTCTCGCGACGTCCCTGATCATCGTTTTAAAGTCAGAAATCGTCCATACCTTGCTTTATCTTCATTGGTGTCACCATAGAGATTTCCTTTCCTGCCAAGGTACCTAACTATGCTGTCACTCCCAATAAGCTTCAACCGTCCATCTCTAGCAGCGGTAGTTGTCCGAATAACAGTTTCCCATCTTCAAGTAAACGAATTAAATAAAGACAAAACAATTATGGATATGCTAAGTAGCATAGTTTTACTTTTTGAATGTGCTATCATCGGAAACACGGTCTATCTCAATCACATTTTTTCAAATAAATTCGACAATATGAAGAAGAATCGATGTTGGGCAGGAGGTTTATTTCCAACCCATTGGCTTTTGGGGCGGGGTTCGCCGGATCCCTTGCGGTGTGGCTGAGATGGGCTGGATTAGGGGGCGGAGCGGTTTTGTTGTTGTTAATGTTTGACCGTTTCTGTGTTGGGGAAAGAGGTGTAGTGCCTGTGAATGGTGCCTGTGAATGTGCGCGTGTGGGTGTCTGAGGGTGTGTGTGGATGTTTGGACCGCCCCGCTCCTTGGTCCTGCTTGTTTCAGTTTCCCCTTTGATGATTGGGTGTTTTCGATGGTTGTCCAGATGATATAGATGAGACTTGACGTATGGTCGCTCGTCTGTATGGATAGGGTTGGGGTCGGAGGGGGTCCGCTATTTCACCTTTTTGTTGTCTCGGGGGGGGGGGGGGCTTCGTTCTTGAACAATATTTATTTTGTAACGTTTTCAATTTTCTGCCTTTTAAATTTTTATTTTGTACTATTTAATATACTTTATTGTTATTGCTTTATTCTGTTAAGTGAATTTGTCTTTAATTATGTAGATTATCTATAAATATTGTGATTTCTCTTGGTTTACCAATAAAAACACAAATTAAAAAAAAAAAAAAAAGAAGAATCGATGTTGGGTATAAATAGGTCAGGAATGCGCAATGCAATACACGAAGAAGTATGAAATCGATTAAATAATTCAAACCATCACCAAGCTTCAAGCTTAACAAGTAATACGCAAGAGTAATCTTTGACAGGTTATCATATAATTGATCAATCACCTTCTATTCTGTCTAATGACAGCTGTCATGAATTATATCATTTAAATTGCGTAAAAACAGGCAGCGCATATTTCGAATTGATAAAAACTCTTTCTTTTTTTTAAATTTCACCTTTGATCATCTGGAGAAATGGCTCTCTCGTCCTAAGGTTGGTTTCATCAAACTGCATAAATAAACATAGTGAAATACATGTAGTATTAATATTGTTATTATTATTATTATCATCATCATCATCATCATCATCATCATCATCATCATTCTTATTATTGTTATTATATTGACTATTGCGCAAAAAAGACCGTTTTTGATTTTTCTTGAAAGACTGTGATTGAACGAAAAGCAATAAGTTCTATCAAGTTCAATATTGTATCCTACTCTACTGTCCAAGTGTTTTCCTAATGAGTCTCGTTGTGCCCAGTATAGCTGCCTCCTCCTGTAGGTCGCGACGTGTAGATTCGGTGAGATCTTGGTGATGAGACCTTTAAAGGGAAAGTCCACCCCAAAATAAGTTTGTTTCGATAGAGGCAGAATAATAAGAAAATCAGGTGAGTGAAAGTTTGAGCAAATTCTGAATGAAAATAAGAAAGTTATGAATTATTGAAGTTGTGATCAATCAAATACAAATTGGCAACTCTGTGACTTATTATACGAGCTCTCCTTCATTTTCTTTGTGCATAATATTCCATAAAATCATGTTTTCTTCGTTATTGATGACGGAATATATATTTGTTCCTTGCAGGGGGAGTATAGAAACATATTTGCAATTATTATATTTAGGGTGCATGTATGGTTGAAATTTTTCTTGAGGGAAAATGAAAATTTTAGATTTTTTTAGTACTGAGCAAATGGAAGTTGAGCTCGCATGATACGTCATAGAGTTGCCAATTTGTGTTTGATTGATCACAACTTCAAAAATCCTAACTTCCTTATTTTTAATCGGAATTTGCTCAAACTTTCACTGACTTGTTTCTCTCATTTTTCTACTCCTATTAAAACTAACTTAATTTCAGGGTGGACTTCCCCTTTAATTCCCTTCTTCACCATAGCGGTGCATGTGTCCTCATAATGGAACCGTTTTCCTCTTTCCTAGACTACACAAGGTTGATGGTTGATGTGATGTCACGAGGGACAGAGACGTCTCCAAAGGGGAGACGGCTGTGGGGGGTGCGACATCCCCCCCCCCCCCCCCCACCTGTCAAGATATTGTCGGTAAAATTGCGCTGCCGTCGGGAAAAAAAGAGAATGGGGGGAAGAGGGAAAGGGAAAGAAAAGAAAAAAAGAAAAGAGGAGAATCAAACAAAGAGAAAAAAAGAAAAAGGAGAGAGAGAGGGGGAGGTAGGAGCTTGAGACAGGAGGGGTGGGAGTAAAAGAGAGAGGGGGGTTGTTGGGTGGAGTCGTATCGTCGAGGGAGCAAAAAAGACACGCATAAATATGTTGCTGTGTCGGTCAGCTGTGTCGGTATTCTTGCTAGATCCCCGTGTACTATATCAATGCAGAAGTTTGAAGTCGGTGAGATGTATAATGTCGGTCGGCCGACATGATTTTTTCCTACGAACTGTGACCTTTTATCCGCTGTGACGACTTCGAGAGAGACTGCACCTATAATACTTGTATTTTCTCGAAGTTTCACTTTCCCATAATATCAGCTTAAGAAATCAGAGGTTTAAAATTTTCGGGGAAACTAAATTCAACTAAGGATTAAGAGTCAAGAACGTTACATCGAATAGTCTTTTTTCTCTAATATTTTGATGAAACGCCATAGCTTCCAAACTTCGCGCGGGAGGGGGAAACTTCATTCAGACAAGGATTAAGAGTCGAGAACGGTACAACGAAATATGAATAGTCTTCTTTCTCTAATACTTTAAGGAGACGTCTAAGCTTCCGCGCTTTGCGCGGGAGGGGGGGGGCGGGGGCTGAATTCAGTCACGAATTAAGAGTCGAGAACAGTACAACGAATCGATTGCTTTTTCTAATAATTTAAGGAAACGTCTAAGCTTCCGCGCTTCGCACTGGAGGGGGGAAACTTCATTCAGACAAAGATTAAGAGTCGAGAACAGTTGTACGAATCGTCTTCTTTCTCTAATAATTTAATAAAAAACGTCTAAGCTTCCGCGCTTCGCGCGGGAGAGGGGAACTGAATTCAGACAAGAATTAAGAGTCGAGAACAGTTGTACGGATCGTCTGCTTTCTCTATTAATTTAAGGAAGCGACAAAGCTTCCGCGCTTCGCGCGGGGGGGGAGTCGAATTAAGACAAGGATTAAGAGTCGAGAACAGTAGTACGAAACGTCTGCTTTCTCTAACAATTTAAGGAAACGTCAAAGCTTCCGCGCTTCGCGCGAGAGGGGGAGACTGAATTCGGAAATTAGGGCTAATCAAGAGTCGAATCTTCTTCTTTCTCTAATGATTTAATGAAACGTCTAAGCTTTCGCGCTTCGCGCGGGAGGGGGGGGGGAACTGAATTCAGACAAGAATTAAGAGTCGAGAACAGTTTTACGAATCGTCTGCTTTCTCTATTAATTCAAGGAAGCGACAAAGC